ATCTCTATGGCAATTGTAGGTTGGAGTATAAGGTATCTGATTCTGAAGGTCGTTGATAAGGTTCTGAAAGAAACTCTGAAGTCGACTTAAATAGAAGGATAACTGGTGCATGTCATTATAAAACTCGCCATATCAAAATCATCCATAAGATTTAATGCTCTGTTTCAACGTGAATACAGTGTCAAATATGGCGGCGTCAAAATCAAAACAATACACTTTCTAAAACCTGGGACCTGGGCACTAATATATTTAAATCTATATGAAATCCAGAGTGGATCGCAAAGCATATGCAACACGATGAAAAGCGCTATACCGTATAAGGAAATACGATGTCGCAATCCTGTGCATACGTACATGGCCAAGAAAGAATAATGCACGCATTGTACCTATTGTAAATGTTTTCAGCATCATAATTGCGCCTGTCAAATAAACTGAGAAAGAATTTACATACTTCACAAGGATTACACCAAAAATGATTGAAAATAAGAGTAAAATAATGGTCGTTGAAATTGATAAGAGAATTATAGTTTTATTTCATTGTGTATTATAGACACTGCTTCTGCCTACAAGAATGAAGAAGACATCGGAAAAGCTTGAAAACATTGTTACCAAAATATCTTAAGAGATCTGACATATTCATAACTAGCAAGCTTGGTGAGTGTCGAAAATATTGTCAATGATCGAAATATTTCTCTCCATTGGGAAAGAAATACCCTTGACGCGCTGGTCGCTTGTAGCACTTGTGATGTACATATTGCTGTTGTGTGGCGATCTGAGAGACTGAGAATATTAAAATATTCAGAAATCAACCGAAAAATAGGTGTATAATGTTTGTAAGTATTAGGACTATATAATGCGTTATTACTGTGGAGTGTACGGAATACAATCTCAGTATAATGGCTAACTCAGACCGCCACACCCGGACCAGTTTGAGATATTTTTCAGCCTCACATTTTGTTGGTCTGTCTAGGACAATTTGTGATGTCGTGTTTTTTCGTGATACAAAATTTTCAAGGCTTTTTCATTTTGCGAGCGGATGCAGATGTATGAAGTTTTGATATAGCGAATCAGTTGAATTATTTTCTCCTATAGGCAATTTTCAATTTGCATGTTATGTCATAGCAAAACCGCTCTGCATTAAGTCAGTTTTTTGCAGTAATTGGTGAAGAGAGGACACGTATTCCTTAATAGACAAGACAGTAAGCGTAAATAATTGCAGGATCTAGCTACAACAATAATCGTAAAACGGGAAGACGGTTTTTACTTCTGTACGGTAACTGCTCGATGGAAATTCCAATCTGAAGACAGTTTGTTGTAACCATATTTTTATATTTAAAGCTCTAAATGATCAAGGTCTTGATACTGCGTACAGTGCGTGTTTACGAGCAATAAACTTCGGATGAATATTTAGATTTATATCTGATTCATTGGCCTGGAGCAGCGCAACTTAAACGCGAGGATCAATGTTGTAATCAATTAGAAGAATGGTGAAGTGAATATAAAATTTATTCGACCAAATTATCCAGCAAGATCCTGCATACGTACATGGCCAAGAAAGAATAATGCATGCATTGTACCTATTGTAAATGTTTTCAGCATCATAATTGCGCCTGTCAAATAAACTGAGAAAGAATTTACATACTTCACAAGGATTACACCAAAAATGATTGAAAATAAGTAGAGTAAAATAATGGTCGAAATTGAGAGTATTTTATTTCATTGTGTATTATAGACACTGCTTCTGCCTACAAGAATGAAGAAGACATCGGAAAAAGCTTGAAAACATTGTTACGAAAATATACCAAAGATCTGACATATTCATAACTAGCAAGCTTGGTGAGTGTCGAAAATATTGTCAATGATCGAAATATCTCTCCATTGGGAAAGAATGTACCCTGACGCGCTGGTCGCTTGTAGCACTTGTGATGTACATATTGCTGTCGGTGTGGCGATCTGAGAGACTGAGAATATTAAAATATTCAGAAATCAACCGAAAAATAGGTGTATAATGTTTTAAAGGGTTATATCACGAATTTTAGCCCCTTTTTATGAGCTTAATTGAAAATTTGGATTATTTGGAAGAACTATGACATGTCGCTGACTTAAACAGATAAATATAAGGTTAATTTTGCCTCCAAAATCGGGTACTATTTGCGAATTTTTTACGACGCCATATTGATTACTTGTGACGTAGATAGTTGAACACGTCTGTTTCCGTCAATATAATATTATATTATAGAAGGATTTTGTTGTCGTTTTTCTTGTCTTAAAACAAATAATGACAGTTTTTTCAATAAAATATTAAAACAAGTTTTCCGGAAAGTATGGCCTCAAATCAGTGCTCAGATAATTCCATTGATGTCTGAATGCGTATCTGATTGGAGCTCGGAATCCGTGGTTTGTCGAGCATTAAACGACTTCGCATATGACGATGAACCGCAGCGGAGATGGTGATGGTGCATACTCCAGATGATCCCGAATTCTCCCTTACATTAGAACAACGAAGTGATGGCGTAATTCCACTGGTGAATGGTGTTGTTGTTTTCTCTCCTGTTTGTAATATACATATAAAGTTACTTTATAAACCAGAATGCTCACACGTTTGGTGTAATTGTCAATGCTGTCATACCGATTTGTTAGAAGGCGCATTAGAGTACAGATGCTGTAAGGAAATTGGACCAGCTTTGCAGAAAATGACATTCGATGGCAGCATTGAGAAAAATCATGCATAACACAGCATGCCAAATTTGGGCCTTTAGTTCATGAGGCTGTCCTTGAAAACGTCGGGCCACTATTGAGAGATAGGAATGACGTGCTTATCGCCAAGAATCATAAATATGGATTGTAATTGTATGAGAAACAATGTTATAATCAACATTGTTTCATCAACAATAATTAGTCCAACCTTTTATTTACTTCAGGTACTTGAGATGTGGCATACAGATGGTTGATGAGATGGTTTTGTGGGTCATGGGATGGGAGAATACTGGCCTTTACCTGCTTGTGTTTACCACTCTTTATTCGGAAAGCATATCCAAGTGGTAACACAACAGGTTACATACCATCAGAGGGGCAATGATGGAATAGTCTTGTGCACTGTAGAGACTGTTGACCTCTTTGCTGAGTTTGGAATGGTCAGGAAATATGCCTAGATGAAAACCAAATAGGAGATACATGGATGCACTATATAAGTTGACATGCAGTTTAATGGTTTGAAACAGAAAATAAAAACAAATTGGGTGCAACTACTGAGAGGTTAAGCTGAAAGAATTAATGAAAGAATATCTTTTCTTCAATGTCAGTCTGGGAAAAAAGACAAAAGAAAAAAAAAAAAATATATGGAATTAAATCTCAGCATAAATGTAAAATGGAAAATAGCAAGCCGTTCAAATGGCGAATCATTTGCTTCCCAGTGCATACTTAAACATGCTCAGCTTCATCACTAGTAGATGGTAACTTCCTCATTGAGAGAGAACATGTTTCCTTCAGCGATGGCTTATGGATAGTATGTCGAATAATCTACAAACTTATATCGAATTTATATATGACAAAAGAAAAATTAACATAAACAAGCGTAAACTTACTTGTTCGCCGATCGGTTGTCCTGTAATGGTTCAGGAATCAGCCACGTCAATGGTTGGGAAAGCATCTTTCTTCAACCTTGTTTTGAGCTTGACTTACACGCTCAAATTTAGGTCAAAACAAAGAATCTTCAAAATGCGCAGAACACAGACACGAGGTAGAGGAAGCCTCAAACCCAGTCTGTTTACAAAATTTTACCCATTTTCTATGTATTTGCGGCTCTGTTTCTTTTTTAGGAAACAGATGCATCGACATTCCTTCGGTTTTTGAATCATTGGCGCAACTAATTTGATTAGGTCCGCCAGCAACACAATTTCCGCGTTTATAAAGATTACTAGTAGAACACGCCATGTTGACATATGTGTTCAACTTTCTACGTCACATGTCATTAGCATACCGATGAAAAGTTCGCAAAAAATGCTGAAAGTCGTGACTTTGAACGTCCGTAAAATCACTTTCACCAATCCAATTTCAATTATAATTGCAGATTTAAATCACTGAAACAAGGTCTTTCAATTTAGCTAATAAAAAAGGGGCTAAAATTCGTGATATAACCACTTTAAGTATTAGGACTATATAATGCGTTATTACTGTGAAGTGTACGGAATACAATCTCAGTATAATGCTAACTCAGACCACCACACCCGGACCAGTTTGAGATATTTTTCAGCTTCACATTTTGTTGGTCTGTGGCTGACAATTTGTGATGTCGTGTTTTTTTCGTGATACATAATTTTTCAGCAAGGCTTTTTCATTTTGCGAGCGGATGCAGATGTATGAAGTTTTGATATAGCGAATCAGTTGAATTATTTTTCTCCTATAGGCAATTTTCAATTTGCATGTTATGTCATAGCAAAACCGCTCTGCATTAAGTCAGTTTTTTGCAGTAATTGGTGAAGAGAGGACACGTATTCCTTAATAGACAAGACAGTAAGCGTAAATAATTGCAAGGATCTAGCTACAACAATAATCGTAAAACGGGAAGACGGTTTTTTACTTCTGTACGGTAACTGCTCGATGGAAATTCCAATCTGAAGACAGTTTGTTGTAAACCATATTTTATATTTGTTTAAAGCTCCAAAGGATCAAGGTCTTGATACTGCGTACAGTGCGTGTTTAAGAGCAATAGAAAACTTCGGATACGAATATTTAGATTTATATCTGATTCATTGGCCTGGAGCAGCGCAACTTAAACGCGAGGATCAATGTTGTAATCAATTAGAAGAATGGTGAAGTGAATATAAAATTTATTCGACCAAATTATCCAGCAAGATCCTGTGCATACGCATGGCCAAGAAAGAATAATGCATGCATTGTACCTATTGTAAATGTTTTCAGCATCATAATTGCGCCTGTCAAATAAACTGAAAAGAATTTACATACTTCACAAGGATTACACCCAAAATGATTGAAAATAAGTAGAGTAAAATAATGGTCGTTGAAATTGATAAGAGAATTATAGTTTTTATTTCATTGTGTATTATAGACACTGCTTCTGCCTACAAGAATGAAGAAGACATCGGAAAAGCTTGAAAACATTGTTACCAAAATATGGTCTTAAAAGATCTGACATATTCATAACTAGCAAGCTTGGTGAGTGTCGAAAATATTGTCAATGATCGAAATATTTCTCCATTGGGAAAGAAATGTACCCTGACGCGCTGGTCGCTTGTAGCACTTGTGATGCATATTGCCGGTGTGGCGATCTGAGAGACTGAGAATATTAAAATATTCAGAAATCAACCAAAAATAGGTGTATAATGTTTGTAAGTATTAGGACTATATAATGCGTTATTACTGTGGAGTGTATGGAATACAATCGCCAACCCGGACCAGTTTGAGTTCCCAGTTGTCTGTGGTTTTTTTTTTGTGATACAAAATTTTTCAGCAAGGCTTTTTTTCATTTTGCGAGCGGATGCAGATGTATGAAGTTTTGATATAGCGAATCAGTTGAATTATTTTCCTATAGGCAATTTTCAATTTGCGTGTTATGTCATAGCAAAACCGCTCTGCATTAAGTCTGTTTTTGCAGTAATTGGCGAAGAGAGGACACGTATTCCTAATAGACAAGACAGTAAGCGTAAATAATTGTGAAGGATCTACAATAACTGTAAAACGGGAAGACGGTTTTTACTTCTGTACGGTAACTGCTCGATGGAAATTCCAATCTGAAGACAGTTTGTTGTAACCATATTTTTATATTTGTTTAAAGCTCTAAAATGATCAAGGTCTTGATACTGCGTACAGTGCGTGTTTACGAGCAATAGAAAACTTCGGATACGAATATTTAGATTTATATCTGATTCATTGGCCTGGAGCAGCGCAACTTAAACGCGAGGATCAATGTTGTAATCAATTAGAAGAATGGTGAAGTGAATATAAAATTTATTCGACCAAATTATCCAGCAAGATCCTGTGCATACGTACATGGCCAAGAAAGAATAATGCATGCATTGTACCTATTGTAAATGTTTTCTGCATCATAATTGCGCCTGTCAAATAAACTGAGAAAGAATTTACATACTTCACAAGGATTACACCAAAAATGATTGAAAATAAGTAGAGTAAAATAATGGTCGTTGAAATTGATAAGAGAATTATAGTTTTTATTTCATTGTGTATTATAGACACTGCTTCTGCCTACAAGAATGAAGAAGACATCGGAAAAAGCTTGAAAACATTGTTACGAAAATATGGTCTTAAAAGATCTGACATATTCATAACTAGCAAGCTTGGTGAGTGTCGAAAATATTGTCAATGATCGAAATATTTCTCTCTCCATTGGGAAAGAAATGTACCCTGACGCGCTGGTCGCTTGTAGCACTTGTGATGTACATATTGCTGTCGGTGTGGCGATCTGAGAGACTGAGAATATTAAAATATTCAGAAATCAACCGAAAAAATAGGTGTATAATGTTTTAAAGTGGTTATATCAATGAATTTAGCCCCCTTTTATGAGCTTAATTGAAAATTTGGATTATTTGAAGAACTATGACATGTTGCTGGACTTAAACAGATAAATATAAGTTGCTTAATTTTGCCTCCAAAATCGGGTACTATTTATGAATTTTTACGACGCCATATTGATACTTGTGACGCAGATAGTTGAACACGTCTGTTTCCGTCAATATAATATTATATTATAGAAGGTGATTTTGTTGTCGTTTTTCTTGTCTTAAAAACAAATAATGACAGTTTTTTCAATAAAATATTAAAAAACAAGTTTTCCGGAAAGTATGGCCCAAATCAGTGCTCAGATAATTCGAATTCGATGTCTGAATGCGTATCTGATTGGAGCTTCTAATCTGTGGGTTGTTGTCGAGCATTTAAACGACTTCGCATATGACGATGAACCGCTAGCAGGAGATGGTGATGAAGTGCATACTCCAGATGACTCTGAATTCCTCCCCTGCGACATTAGAACAACGAAGTGATGGCGTAATTCCAATTTGGTGAATGGTGTTGTTGTTTTCTCCTGTTTGTAAATATACATAAAGTTACTTATATAAAACCAGAATGCTCATACGTTTAGGTGTAATTGTCAATGCTGTCATACCGATTTGTTAGAAGGCGCATTAGAGTACAGATAAGGAAATTGGACCAGCTTTGCAGAAAGACATTCTGATGGCAGCATTGAGAAAATATCATGCATGTCACAGCATGCCAAATTTGGGCCTTTAGTTCATGAGGCTGTCCTGAAACGTCGGGCCACTATTGAGAATGGACGCGACGCCGCCATACTAAGCAATCATTAAATATGTAAGATTGTAATTGATGAGAAACAATGTTATAATCAACATTGTTTCATCAAAATAATTAGTCCAACCTTTTATTTACTTCAGGTACTTGAGAGCTGTGGCATACAGATGGTTGATGAGATGGTTTTGTGGGTCTATGGGATGGGAGAATACTGGCCTTTACCTGCTTGTGTTTACCACTTTTATTCGGAAAGCATATCCAAGTGGTAACACAACAGGTTACATACCATCAGAGGGCAATGATGAATAGTCTTGTGCACTGTAGAGACTGTTGACCTTCGAGTTTGGAATGGTCAGAAATATGCCTAGATGAAAACCAAATAGGAGATACATGGATGCACTATATAAGTTGACATGCAGTTTAATGGTTTGAAACAAGAGTAAACAATAAAACAAATTGCGCAACTACTGAGAGGTTAAGCTGAAAGAATTAATGAAAGAATATCTTTCTTCAATGTCAGTCTGGGAAAAAAGACAAAAGAAAAAATATATGGAATTAAATCATAGCATAAATGTAAAAATGGAAAATAGCAAGCCGTTCAAATGGCGAATCATTTGCTTCCCCAGTGCATACTTTAAACATGCCTCAGCTTCATCACTAGTAGATGGTACTTCCTCATTGAAAGAGAGAACATGTTTCCTTCAGCGATGGCTTATGGAGAGAATGTCGAATAATCTACAAACTTATATCGAATTTTACATATGACAAAAGAAAGTTTAATATAAAACAATGCGTAAATCTTATGGTCTTCGCTTTCGATCGGTTATTTCTGTCCTGTAATGGTTCAGGAATCCCAGCCACGTCAATGGTTGGGAAAGCATCTTTTCTTCAACCTTGTTTTGAGCTTGACTTACACGCTCAAATTTAGTCAAAACAGAATCTTAAATGCGAACACAGGTAGAGGAAGCCTCAAAACCCGGTCTATGTTTACGCACAAAATTTACCCATTTTCTATGTATTTGCGGCTCTGTTTCTTTTTAGGAAACAGATGCATCGACATCTTTCGGTTTTTGAATCATTGGCGCAACTAATTTGATTAGGTCCGCCAGCAACACAGCGTTTTCTCCGCGTTTCTATAAAGATTACTATGAACACGCCATGTTGACATATGTGTTCAACTTCTACGTCACAAGTCATTAGCATACCGATGAAAAGTTCGCAAAAATTTCCGCTGAAAGTCGACTTTGAACGTCCGTAAAATCACTTTCACCAATCCAATTTCAATTATAATTGCAGATTTAAAATCACTGAAACAAGGTCTTTCATTTAGCTAATAAAAGGGGCAAATTCGTGATATAACCACTTTAAGTATTAGGACTATATAATGCGTTATTACTGTGAAGTGTACGGAATACAATCTCAGTATAATGGCTAACTCAGACCACCACACCCGGACCAGTTTGAGATATTTTTTCAGCTTCACATTTTGTTGGTCTGTCAAGGACAATTTGTGATGTCGTGTTTTTTTCGTGATACATAATTTTTCAGCAAGGCTTTTTCATTTTGCGAGCGGATGCAGATGTATGAAGTTTTGATATAGCGAATCAGTTGAATTATTTTTTTCTCCTATAGGCAATTTCAATTTGCATGTTATGTCATAGCAAAACCGCTCTGCATTAAGTCAGTTTTTTGCAGTAATTGGCGAAGAGAGGACACGTATTCCTTAATAGACAAGACAGTAAGCGTAAATAATTGCAAGGATCTAGCTACAACAATAATCGTAAAACGGGAAGACGGTTTTTTACTTCTGTACGGTAACTGCTCGATGGAAATTCAATCTGAAGACAGTTTTGTTGTAACCATATTTTTATATTTGTTTAAAGCTCCAAAGGATCAAGGTCTTGATACTGCGTACAGTGCGTGTTTAAGAGCAATAGAAAACTTCGGATACGAATATTTGGATTATATCTGATTCATTGGCCTGAGCAGCGCAACTTAAACGCGAGGATCAATGTTGTAATCAATTAGAAGAAGTGAAGTGAATATAAAATTTATTCGACCAAATTATCCAGCAAGATCCTGTGCATGTACATGGCCAAGAAAGAATAATGCATGCATTGTACTTCTATTGTGTTTTTCGCATCATAATTGCGCCTGTCAAATAAACTGAGAAAGAATTTACATACTTCAAGGATTACACCAAAAATGATTGAAAAATAAGTAGAGTAAAATAATGGTCGTTGAAATTGATAAGAGAATTATAGTTTTTATTTCATTGTGTATTATAGACACTGCTTCTGCCTACAAGAATGAAGAAGACATCGGAAAAAGCTTGAAAACATTGTTACCAATCCATTAAGTAAAATTACCTTTTAAGCATTTCATTTTACCATTAAGTTCATTTTTCGATACTCCTAATAACTCTTTCACATTGTAGTTGGAAAGAAATGCTTTCGTACAAGCTCTATCCAGGTTCACTTTAATTACTGCGACCAGTGGCACGCATATTCATGAAATGAAAACGAAGAACATGGAGACGATCAAGACACTTCTTACCATCGCTCAAACGGATGGTAATTACATCGGGAAGTCTTGGCTCGAGGTAGAGAGAATCATCTTGCTATATATTATGGTTGGTGTCTACGACTGAAAATATGATCGATTGTTTTTTCATCAAAGGAAAAAGTCTAGGTCTTGTCTGTAGTCTTATCTTCACGATATTGCTACAGTCTTTACCTTTCATTTTTCCAAGTGCTTTGTTGACCGTATTTCATACCCTTCATCAGAGAATCGTATCACAAATGTACATCTGTAATAAATATACATAAGAAAATGAAGTTTTTTCTCAAGATATTTTTTATTTGAAGATATTTTCTACGTATGTATTTAACGTTTATGTTCGTCTTGTTGAACACTCGTTTTCGTTGCTCAAATGCTCGTTCCGCTCGGCGCATATTTTACTTTTCCTAAAGTCATTGTTTTCATTCTAGATACTGAAATGCATTTCCCAACTTGAATTGGCTCAACTTATCGGTACTGGTGTGAAAACGCGATACCTTCACACGGCGTCCAGCGGTGTTACTAATTCACCCACAGCATTCATCGCAAACAACAAGACATCTTATGATATAACCTCAGGTTGCTTATAACATTGTTGTGACGCTCGTAAATGTCAAATACTAACGTTGGGTGCTTTTCTTTGTTTGTATTTCTATGAAGGTCGGATGCCTGTTGCCGCTGACTCGAAAAGCGGCTGGCTCACAGGAAGCCATTTGGGAGACCGCTGCACAAAGTGTTGTCGTTGCAGTTGACTGGTAACGTTTACTTTAATGATAGCTATGTGGATTGTCTTTTGTGACCTATCTCCCACCCCAGGGGCGAAGCTAGAACTTTAATGCAGGGGAGAGGTGAATATTCATATATGGTCATACATTCCGCTGTGACCAACTAATTTCTTTTCAAATTAAAATAGCTTTTAAACCAAATCAGTCAAGCAAAACTAAATATTCACCCTCCCATCCAGCGTTCTTGCTTCTTCCCTTCCCCTGCCAGAAATTTAAAATTGTCTTCAAGGTAGAGTTGGGCTTGTAACAGCAAGAAATGTTGATGGATGATTCTCTATGTAGACATGTTCATTATCCGTGTTAGCAGAGTCCTGAGAAGGACTGTTATTGTTATTGTTGACTGACGTTTTGACATCCTTAGCGGTAGTCATCTTCAGGCTTAAGTGAACCAGAGAACCTTGAATATAAACATGAAAATAAATTTTAAAGAACTCCTGCACTGTCTTTGCGTTATGTTCTCTCAGCAGAATATCTTCATCTCAACTTCTTCATTGTGTTTTATTACGTTTAGAGTTTTCACGGGATCAGTGAAACTGGATGGTGATGCTATCGGTAGGTTTGCATGTATACATTAAAATGCATCTTACATAAGATTTTTATACATCTAACTTGACCATAATTCACTGACCATTCTTTATCCCAAGTACCCAATTCCCAAGTACCCAAATTTCTAGTATCCAAATTCCTGTTCCCAAATACCAAATCCCAAGTATCCAAATCCCAAGTATCCCAAATCCCCAGTATCCCAAATCCCCAGTATGCAAATCCCCAGTTCTCAAATCCCAAGTATCGTTATCTCCTGTATCCAAATCTCAAAATGTTTTCGTTTTTCTCCTAAGTCGATTTCGTGGAAGGTTTACGTCAAGTCTCGGAAGTTCAGCTTTCCAATCCTACAATGATACGTATGTTTAGTCTGCAGAAGATCGTAGAGATTGCTTATTACAATATTGTTCGTATTCGGCTGCAATGGTCACGAATATGGGCTGTGTTGGGAGATCATTATAACAAGGTTAGCAATTATTAACGACTAAGACTGTATCTTGATATTATGGTTAATAACATCACGTTGTTATGATGTACTCAGGTATAGTAACAAGATAATCATTGTCTTCAATGTTCTATGAACTACACTATCAGATCAATTGTGAACTATGATGATATTTTAAAACACAGTTCTAGTTTCTTTCATATCTCAAGTATAAAAACAATATAATCAATGCCTTCATCTCCAATGTTCTACCAACTATAGTACTTCTCCATCTTAGATAATTCATGTGTCATTTTAATGTGGTTGTAACTCTAATAAAGAAGTTGCGTTCTTCTTTGCGACAATTATCCATGAAGTTCTTGGAAAAGGGGGAATTGCCAAATTTCCGATTTCAAAAGGATTTTCTCCGACCCTTCGAACACATAATGAAGAAAAACAGGTAAGTTTATGCAGGAGTCAATTCTGTCAGAAAATGTAAATTTTCTTGCAGCTTGAAAATCTTTCTCTCAAATAAACAAAATTTGTGGCAGACTTTGTAGATTCTTTTCCAAGTTATAATTTTACGACGAATTTTACAAAGGACGTCTTTCGATCAATCGCTCTGTCTTGTCTCTTATAATTGGAAGGATTTGATTAAAATTCTTTCTTCAATATCTTTATGAACTTGGCAACAAGGACTGCAATTTTCAGTCTACGATTTGCTTGAATCAACAACTGGATTTTTCACATTTTAGTTCTTCCACAATTCGAGATATGGTCGTACGATGTGTCACACAAATGGTTCATTCGCAAGCCGCAAACATCAAATCTGGTTGGAAAAATGTTTTCTCCGTTTTTCATTTGGCTGCGTCCGATCATGATGAAGGAATCGTGGAACTCGCTTTTCAAACAACAGGTTTGTAGTTTAAGGAAGGAGATTTTTCTTCTAATCTTACCGCCGACCTGTCTGTTGTTCTCTTGGGTGAGGTTCTTGTATCGGTGCAAATTTTAAAATTTTAAAATAAAAATGATTGCATATGTTTGAAGAAATGATGGTGAATCCGTTTCCAAGCATGAACGACTTAGACATCTGTAAAATATTGAATTAAATTCAAATTGAATTTGAATATCGCTTAAGTAAATGTGTTTCTCGGATGTGACGGAGAACTTCGTTTATTTTGCAACAAGAATTTTATGTGTTCGTTCTTTTCCATGGTAATTCAGCCATATTCGTATAAGTTTTCAAGGTAAACTTTTATTTACCATAAAGTCGATGGATTATCTTCTCATGATTCATGAATGATAATTAAACGAGAGTTAATGGAGAAATGAAATAAATGTATGAAACAGTTTTAGTTGATGCAAATTACGTGTCAAAAGGCAAAGTTTTAAACTTTTCTAGCCCTGTTTCTCTACTGTTTCAACGTCACTTGTAAATCAAAGCTTTGACAGATTCATTTATCCCACAAGATTATCAGTGTATAAATTTCACATCCCCATTCTCTCTTTCAGCCACGATTTTGAGAAATATTTCTCCGCGACCATCGACTCTTTCCAAGATGCCGTCAAGTGTCTCTCGGAATTCGCATGCAACGCAAGTTTCCCGGACACGAGTATGGAAGCAATAAGACTGATACGAAATTGCGCCAAATTTCTTTCCGAAAATCCTGTAGTACGACAATTGCAAATCTACTTTCTTTTCACCTTTGAAATTTATTTGAAATTTTGCAAAATCACATCAAAGCTAACCACTTTGGATCAAATCAAATCCTAATTATCTATTTCAATCGCTTTTTCGTGTAGCATTTTTCAATGGCGTCTGTTTTCTTTTCTTATATAAACAGATATTTAAAGACTACGGAGTAGAGAATGCTGGGATATCAGAGCAGGACAGAATCTGTGTGAAAGGCTGGTTTCCAGTCCTTTGAACTTTCGTGTATCATCAACCGATGTAAACTAGATGTCAGAACAAGGTATGGTGGAAATATTGAGTTGTTTGTACTGTATAGATTAGTATGCATTGTATAATTTGAATGTGAGCTATTTTCCATCCATCAACTAGAGGCCTAACCGTGATGTTTGAAATCATGAAAACATACGGGAACACGTTTCTCCAACATTGGTGGCGTGATGTGTTTAAAGTCTTGTTTCGAATTTTCGACAACATGAAACTACCAGACAGACAGATAGATTGGCAGGAGGTTAGAAAACTGTCATTATTTTGCTCTTATTATATGGCAAGCGTCACTTCCGGCTAAATGGCGCGCTTTGATTCGCTGAGAAACATTTTTCCGGTCCATTATTCTCCGAAATCGACCACGTTTCAAAACGCGTAATTTATAATATGTCGTTATTTTGGTCTTATTGTCTATGATTGCCATAAACACACATTATATCGCAAAAAGTCAACTTACATACACGACTATCCAGTTCCACATGGAATAATATTCATTTCATGTGTTCATGTCTATCCACCTTCATTCCTCAATCACTCATCCATTTCAATTGTGTATCCACTCCATTGAACTAAAATACATGGAACGCTACCTGTAATAGAAAACCGTAGTATTTTTTGAAGCCAATTTACACCCAGACACGCGGGTGTAGTTCAATCAATTTTCACTGCGCGAGAGAACTCAAAACACTAAACACGCGTGTGTCTGGATGTAAGATTTGGCTTCAATTATTTGCTTCATGTAGCGTTCCATGTATTTTAGTTCAATGATCCCCTCATATCTTCCTCTATTTCTTATTCACCTTTATCCACTTTCATTCTAGAGTCTCTACTTCATTCTCTATCCATTCTTATCCTCTTGCATTCCCTATTCACACACCGATTTCATTTTGTGTAAACGATTTGTACCAGTATGGAAGTTTTGAAACACTCGTTTGTGAAAGTTACCCACCTGTAAAGAATGCTTTTGCCTTTAAAACCGGAGGGAGTAGTTTTAAACTACGGGAAGGTCGTTTCCTTTACATAGAATAAAGTCCGTGTATAAGGTGTTGTATTTCCTCGTTATAAAATGAGACATCAGCTGAGGTTGTTTTGAAATTTGTGATGTTTCTTTATAGAAATCAGAATGGATGACAACAACTTGTAATCACGCTCAATCTGCTATCATCGATGTTTTACTCAGTATTTTGATATTCTTGCTGAAATTTTTCTTGATGATATGTATGGCCATCTAGAGTGGTGTGTCAAACAAGGTAAGCTTGAAATTACGCAACGTGTTTGTGCTTGGCATATGCCTTGGTGATTGGTTCGTTGTGTCAGAACCAATCACCAAGTGATTGTCCTGCTTTGTTCGTTCATTCAATACATGTCCTGCCTTTCTCGTTCATTCAATATGTCCTGCTTTGCTCGTTAATTGGTGATGTCCTGCTTTGCTCGTTCATTCAATACATGTCTTTAGATAACGAGCAGTTAGCGAGGTCTGGTACCAATTGTTTGGAAAATCTCGTCATATCCATTGGCAACACGTTCTCCGAAGACGTCTGGGAAAAGACATATCAATGTGTAAAAAACGATATTTGAATCAACCGTACCTCACGAACTATTGAAATGGTGGAGTCCACCCACACCTGATGTCACTCCTCCGTCATCACCACTCAAGATAAGTTACACTTAGGGCCTGATTATACGGAGGCGAGCTGGCCCGGATAGCGAGCTAGCCCCGATGATTTCAAGGGATTGAAAAGAGCCAAAACTTCAAGGTTAAAAATTACAAATGTTTGCGAAGCACCACACGTCATTCTGGTTGTAATTCTCAAATTATGGCAAGTTGGTTGTTTTAATTTTAAATGTTTTGCGTAGTTATTAAATCAGAATTTTGTGAAATTGCTTGAGAAAATTTATCTGATAATAAGTATTGAATCGTTTCTTTAAAATTTCACTGTAAAATTTCAGACAAATTTTCATAACTATTCTGTTTGTTTTATGTATTTATTACCTTTAAAATTGACGTATATTGTAGATAATGTTACCTGTTGACCTGGAGGATGATATCGTGCCCAAATATCTGGAAGGTAAATAAAAAGTTTTTGAATTCTTTTAAAGGAAAATGTTGCTTCAATTGTCTCCATGATTGTAGGATTGGAAAATATTTCATGGTAAGCTAAAGCTCGCATATTAAAAAAGCTCATTTGAACCAAAAGCTCATATGAAGCAAATGTTCGCATATTACAATATAGCTCGTGTGAATCTTTAACTCGTATGGACAAACAGCTTGTATTCTTTGAGTAACAAGTGAAAATTTTTCCGTATTATTTTTTAGACGAGGACGAACAAGATGGTCAGCAATCGTCAAAAGGTTTGAATGAAACAGAGGAGGAAATGCCTCAAGAAACAGTTGAAGAAACAAAAGAACAAGACAGCATCAGTTTACATAGTACGCCTAGTTTACGATTTGAACCTGTCGAAGAACACGAACCAGGTAACTATGTGTTAGAAATCGAGATTAATAATTTGTTGTCACAGCCTGCTGCCATTTACGTGTTTAATTTATTTAATTTGTTTAATTTACTTTTATTTTATTTATTTATTTATTTATTTTTGGTTTATTGGAAAGGCGTAGAAAAACGTATAATTGATATATGCGTTTGAAAAACTCAATCTGAAGTAAACAGCGACGTCATGTAACATTTCCTGAAACTGCTTATGTTCTAAAAATTTACATTTTTTGCAATGTTTGAAACAATAATGTTGTTAATTGTTGCTAATAGAACTAATAATGTTACTAATTTGTAATTATTACTACTTCTCCTTTTAACACTTATTTTTCATAAAAAATGGCACTAACTTAAGGAACTCGTTTTTGCTTTATTTTTTGGCATTCGTTGCTTATTTTATTTTATTTTAGAAGACCTCTAATAAGATAAATTAGCCCTTTGTTTGACATATTCAAAGTTCGATTTTTACCGACAAATGAAAAATCGTCTGTGCGTGAATACGGAAATGTTCAACAAACACCCGAGTGTCATTTTTAAATTTTTTCATGTATCTACTTTAACGTCGTAAAATCATCTCATTATTTTAGTTGTGCAGACGGAGAGGATGCTGTTCAATTCATTGATCATTAAGTGTGTCGTTCAATTGGAACTTATCCAAATGATCGACAATGTCGTCTTTTTCCCAAGCACCAGCAAGCGAGAAGATGAAGATACTATGGCTGAATTACAGGTCAGTTATAATTGCGGTCATTGTAGGTAATACTGAGATAAATTGCTTTGTCGTAATGTTGTTATACCAGAGTTCCCCTTGGTGGCATAACAAAGTTCTTAGCTGAAGTACAGAATATGTAATATACAGAAAAGTCACTTGTGTCGGAACCATTGATGTTTTTATCCTCAAGCATATTGTGCCGCGCATATCGACTGGCATTATTCCAGCAAGATTGTTTATTGTTTCCAAACACTAAAATGAACCGACGTCATTTCTTATATTGAAATATTTTAATTTCATTACGAAGTAATGACGTCATGTAATTGTAGTGTTTGGAAACAAATGAAAAACCCTAAATATATCTTGCTGGAATAATGGCGGCCATGAGGACGCAGTGCACACTTGAGGCCCTTCTCTATAATTATTATTCTGTGGTTGTAGGGCTGGGGTGGTCACAAAGTCATATATGCATCTCTTAATCTGTAGAGAACAATTGATTTCACTGGAAGTTAATACAAAAAACATGAGTATATGAACCTCCCTATTTATCGAGTTCACATTTGGTACCTCTTTCTTTAGACACGTAAAAAATTTCAATAACTATCCTCAAGAGACTTTATAGAATAAACGATTTCCTTGGGTTGAATTCCTTAAAGTTCGTTATGTGTTGTATGCAGGCTTGTAAGATCCTCTTTCACCTGATTGGTCAAACTGATTCTCTAAATCACCTACAATGGTGTAATAAATCATCTTTCACTTGATTGGTCAAATTGATTCTCTAAATCACCTACAATGGTGTAATAAATCATCTTTCACTTGATTGGTCAAACTGATTCTCTAAATCACCTACAATGATTTAGTAAATCTTTCACCTGGTTGGTCAAACTGATTCTCTAAATCACCTACAATGGTGTAATAAATCATCTTTCACTTGATTGGTCAAACTGATTCTCTAAATCACCTACAACGGTGTAGTAAATCCTCTTTCACCTGATTGGTCAAACTGATTCTCTAAATCACCTACAATGATTTAGTAAATCCTCTTTTACCTGGTTGGTCAAACTGATTCTCTAAATCACCTACAATGATTTAGTAAATCCTCTTTCACCTGATTGGTCAAACTGATTCTCTAAATCACCTACAATGTTGTAGTAAATCCTCTTTTACCTGGTTGGTCAAACTGATTCTCTAAATCACCTAGAATGATTTAGTAAATCCTCTTTTACCTGATTGGTCAAACTGATTCTCTAAATCACCTACAATGGTGTAGTAAATCCTCTTTTACCTGGTTGGTCAAACTGATTCTCTAAATCACCTACAATGGTGTAGTAAATCCTCTTTCACCTGGTTGGTCAAACTGATTCTCTAAATCACCTACAATGATGTAGTAAATCCTCTTTCACCTGATTTGTCAAACTGATTCACAAAATCGCCGGGATTGATGTAAAAATAGACAAATTGCAATTTTTACGAATTTTACTTTCCTTCGCGAAATACCAAAAGAAATCATAGAACTGAGCTATGTGATCACCGGAGTGCTATCGTGGTGATTACACTATTATATACACAATTGGAGTCGGACTATTTACTTAAAAAATAGCCATTTAAATACCATATGTAGCTACAACCGTGTTTTTCCAGAGAGTGATTGTCAACCATGATCCAATCAAATGCGCTCTTTGAGAGTTTTGCATCTTGGTTTTTGACGTTTATTTAACAAGAGCTGAACTTTCATACAATTTCATGTCTTGACATTGTTATAAGTAGCAACGATACACTGTAGTCAGAGTTGTTTACTTTCAATAATCGTACATGTCTCATTATAATTATTGACTTAGTTTTCATTATTTCAGTGTCTCAACACTCCTCGACGAACCGGTAAACGAAAACACGACGGAATGTTTCCACATCTTACATCTAACCAACTGTTTTTGTTTTGCGAAGTGCTGGAGAACTCGTATAAGTTTGCTAAAGGCTTCAATTTTAACAGCAAGCTGAGGACGGCGCTTTGGAAAGCTGGTAAACGCTTCATTAATATATTGTACCATTTGACACGAGCGACACATTTTTGTACAATTTCTATTCGAATTGGAAATTAATACACGAGTAAAAACATCACATTCAAAACGTTCAAGCAAAAAGGCAAATTTGTGGCTGTCCTTCCTATTAGGGCACTCACTCCAAAAGCTGTACATGTCCGTATACCTAGACACCCACATGCAGCGTGACCAAGTTTGTTTACCAGATTTGGTCGTATAAGCTTAAATTGTCCTCCCCCCCTTTTCTGAATGTTGCATCTACATAAAACAGGAGGAAAATTCTAAGGTCATTAGACTAAGTCTTGTGAAAGTAAGAAACATTTGCTTTTATGGTTTTTTTTCTAATAAATAAAGATAAAAGAGGCAAATTCAAAAGAGGAGAATGAAAAAACTTGATCCAGGTTTTATAGGACAGGGAGTAAAGATGCCTCAGATTTTGCTGGACTTCCATCAAAACTTGAATCAGAATCCTCGGTGTCATAGGCTTGATGAGGACACTTTGATGTTGTCCATGTTTCTTCTCCTTTACGTTTAAGCGGGGTCCTCGATTGCTCGTACTCTGATAGCGTAATAAAAACCAAAGGATAATCCGTTCCCCTTTTATTTGGGGTTCTTCTTATCAAGGCAAAATAATTTGAGCAAATGAAAGTACCTTGTGCACCAGGCTTCGGGTTAAAGTCATCCGCTCTGCTGTTTGCAATTGTTTTCACCAAATTTCAGCAAGTGCTTGATCTTTGGGCCACTTATGAAAACTAAATTTTCTACATGAGACCTCTTAACTTGGTAATAGGGATAGCTTATATCATTATCGCAATATCCAACTGCACAACGCGCATTTTTTACCATTTTGGCTATGACTGCTCACGGCTACTCGGCTAGTTTAGGGTTTAGTTCGTTTGACTTGGCTTATGAGATCCGCACATTTGCGAACCCAAGAACATCGCTCAAACGACGGTCAAGTTGTTCAAAAACAAATGTTTTCTTTAACTTTCCGCTTTTGATTACCACAAAATTGGACTCACGTGTATAAAATTGCAAATAATAGTTTGACTATTAAAATGGATGAGTTTGAGAAATATTTTTGAAAGAAATGGCCAATATGTATATTGTATAAGGGTAATTTTTGCGCATTTATTAGTAATTTATATGGACGCCATGCGTGACCGCGCGCTCGGCGCAATGTTTTTGCACCCCCTGCAACATGGCTGCGATAACCTTGAAAAGGTCTATTATGAAGGATCACGGTGGTCTATTTTTACAATTTGAAGATAAATAAAAAAATCATGTTTCAACTAGGATTTTGTGATTAAATCTTTCAATTTTTTGTTCTCAATGTAAGAGGCCAAGTGCTGCAAGTAAATAGTTGGCTTTCACTCGTTATTTTTTTAAATGGATACTAAAATATTTCAGTTTCTAAAGAAAAATTACAACATAATAATCTATTTTAAAAGCGTTCATTGAATTTCTAAAGAAAAATCTCGCTAAGTAATTGCATGAAGCATAAAAACTTGTGCGATCAACAAAAAAGCAAGAGACACCAAGTAACAGGAGTCAAATTGGAAAAGAAAAATTTTAAACTGCGACGTTATTTCAAACTGAATCAAAGGTTTTACCAAAATCAAAGGAGACCACTCGAACAAAATCTGTATTCTCGTTCAACCATTTTAACCAAAGTTACCGACGTTTGTAGCCCATGCAACTTAACTAACATATATTACTGAAAGTACTTAACAAAAACGGAAAATGCCAAATGAGAAATTAATTTAACCTAGTGCAGAGAAGCCTAACCTCATCAAAGGAGCCTTTGTTAAAAGATATTATATCTTTCTTAAATGAAGTACGATTACTCAATGTTTCCTGTTTCTAGTTTGTTATTTGCATTTTATTTGATGGAGAAACTTTTCCTTTTTGTTTCAATGCAATAAACCATATTTAATCATTAGTACTTTGCTTGAAGTTTTCTCTTGTGCCAAAGAAGACAAGTACCTCTAAAGTTTGAACGCTTCTACCAAGGTATTTATAAAAACAACTAATATTTGAAATACCATCGATCAATTTTCTAAAAGCGATTGTCCCTCAAGTTTAGTCACGCTATGAAAATTTCAGAACTTTATGATCATTTATTTCTTTGGAAACCTATTGTTTTCATTGAGAGTCTTTCACTGATTATCAGAAAGTTTAATAAAATCAATTGTGTTTTTTTAATGTACACCGTGAATGTTTATCGACATCAAAACAATGTTCTAAAGCTATTCATCCGACATCACTATTTACTTAATAAAAACTTAAACAGAGAAAAAACAACTTAAACTGTGTTTGCATTAGCCTGTACAAACGTGCGTATCTGAGCTACATGAATTATATCAATCAAAGATAATTTGCAAATGAATCATGAATACATGTTAGAGAAAAATTTTAAACTTTCTTGAAGTTGTCTGTTTCGCATTACTATTATTTAAAAAGAACTAAAAGATGTTTTTGTGTTTGTACTCGCTTATGTAAACCTTGAGACGTAAGTGAGAACTCTCTAGCTGGTGCAAACTGTCAACTTTCGGTGTAAAGCTTGCACTAACATTGTCTCCAGTTCTACCAAATATCACTTCCGTTTGCTTAACCCTGTACAACAATTAAGCATCTTTTATTTCCAAATCCCATCCTATATTCAGTCTTTACAATCCTCTTGTTTAAATTTTTCGTGGGTGTGCAAGAGGTGAGGTGTGACCTTTCCCTTACTAATTATCAATATACCAACAATTAAATTTTTTATTTTATCTTCCTGTCATCCATTAATATCCATTCATATTATCCATTAATGTCCATTCGTCCTTTATTGCAGAAGCACAGACTGTCGTTGATATATATTTAAATTACGACTGTGAATTCGCTTTGTCGAATATCTTTCAAAGATTGATCAATGATTGGTCTAAAGTTGCCCAAGGATGTCAAGCTCTATTGAATTAGGAGCGACACCAGTAAGTTGATGAATATGTTTCAAACTGTTTAGTTCTCTACATTTTCTTGTTCATATCTATGCCACTCGAAAAGGACTGGAACGTAGTCTATTATGAAAAAAACTGGGACATAGTCTATCAACATGAAAAGGAGTAGAACATGTCTCTAATTTTTTGTGCTGACAATGTTGATTATAATACATCTTTTATCACGTTTTTATATGAATAGTATCAATGTCATCTTGTTTTTATATGATTTTCCAGGTTCAAGAACGCAGTATTTGTATCAAAGGTCTGGAATGTCTCGTTTCTATTCTTAAATGTATGGTAGAATGGAGCAGGGATCTTTACTTTAAACCTGGTTCTCAGGAGGCCGATAATTTTGGTGAGTTTTAACATCTTTATGAAACTGAAGAAACTCGCATGTAGCGAATATAAACTTAATATTGTTATACATTTCGATAACTTATCGCTTTATGATCCATTGTACTTCTCTTTTGATATCGGCTACACTGAAGAATTTTGTCTCCATCAAGATTCCATCTTTCTATACTCTGTATCCCCTATTTATCGAAGGTACTCCATTATTTTCTTATACACACGTTAATGTTCTTAATCATAACTAGTTGTTCGACAATTGTAGTTAACCTCTCAGGATCTAAGTTATCCCTTGGTTATCTTTTTTCCCTTGCTGGTGTCGCTGTGGATCAAGGCTAAATCTTAATGTTTATAGTTACTGATTATTGACTCATGCTACCCTCAATGTTCTAGTCTATCTCTCAATAATCTATACTATCTTCCCGATAATCTAGGCTATCTGTTAATGATCTATGCTAACCTCTTAATGATCCATGCAATCCCTTATTGATCTTCAAATCATCATAGTTATTCCTCAATACTTCTGTTTAATCTCTTCCATATAAATTTCCTGACAGATCTGGTTGATCGTGCACGAACAATTTCTCGAAAAGGAAGCACCAAGGAGAAGAAAACAGGGGGAGCACGGTGATTTATAATCTCAAAAAATGGGGGGTAGTCACTTGTCTCTCAGAAGTACAAAAGCCATCGATAATGCTGAAGAATTTGAGACTCTTAAACAGAAGAGGAGACGAGAGAAAAGGGAATTTAATTGTAAGTTTGGTCAACAATTTGCTTATCTTTTGTACTTTTATTCAATTTTACTATTTACTTTAAGATTTAACAAGAATCCATCAAAAGGTATGGAATTGCTTCAATCTGAAGGTCTCCTTCGTGAGACAGCAACCAAAGTCGCTCAATTCTTACATGCAGATGATACACTAGACAAGGTGATGATCATTTAAGTGTTAATCTATGAACCATGTGTTAATTTTTTTTTTCATTTAACATCAACAATAATTTAGGACAGGTTTTTGACGATTTTCGGTTGACAATGTTGATTATAATACATCTTTTACAGATTTGCAAAGTGAGAAACATCGTCGTATGTTGTATTCTATGGAAATGGAGCAGATGGCGGAAAACGCCAAAAAACAAATGGAAGACGTGAGTCATATTCAGACGGATTTCGTCACTGCGACACAGATTGGTCACGTGAAGACAATGTTCAAGGTACGGGGGGTGGAGTCTGGAGGATAATCTATGTGGTGTATGTAAGGATTGATTAACGAAGCGTGAATTGTGATGTCAACTTATATGGACAGTGCCAAGTACGGGGCGTAGATTTCAAAACATGATGACATTCATCTTAATCTTGTTAAAGAAAAGACTTAGATTTTATGTAATGAATGTTTGCGATGACGAAGAGTAAATCTGTTTGATAATCTAATATATTAACTGAGCAGTGAATGATTTGACTGAATTTTCTTTGAGATAATCCACTACTTAAGCTAAATCTGCTTCTTACAACCTGCCCAGTCCCCATTGTTAACCATTTTGTTTTGTGTGTTTAAGGTTGCATGGAGTCCGTTTCTTGCCGCGTTCAGCTTCAATCTACAAGACAACGACGATTCTTCTGTTGCTTTATTTTGTCTTGATGGAATCCGCTGTGCAATAAGAATATCTTGCATATTCAGCATGCCTGTAAGTTGATAAACATACAAAAATGTTCTTTTTATATATTTGGGTATGAAATAACGACATTAATGTCTCTGCATACCTTTTCATCACCTGGTGACCCTTTCTCGGACATAAATATGTATTCAAAATATGTTGAATGTTGAATTGTTGAAATTTATGAATATATTTACGTAGTTACATACACGTCATGTTCTTTGCGTGTTATATGTTCAAGGTTTAGATTATACTCATATGTATACAATAAAACAGATGTTTGTTTACCTTTGAATTAATTGTCTGTTTGTGTACATATATGGATATATCAGAATGCATGTGAATGTGAAATAATCTTTTCTTAAAAGTTTTTCAATGATTACAGCTAGTTATAATGATGTTAGGGAATATGAATGGAGATTCTTTACCATTAAGTTCATTTTTCGATACTCCTAATAACTCTTTTCACATTGTAGTTGGAAAGAAATGCTTTCGTACAAGCTCTATCCAGGTTCACTTTAATTACTGCGACCAGTGGCACGCATATTCATGAAATGAAAACGAAGAACATGGAGACGATCAAGACACTTCTTACCATCGCTCAAACGGATGGTAATTACATCGGGAAGTCTTGGCTCGAGGTAGAGAGAATCATCTTGCTATATATTATGGTTGGTGTCTACGACTGAAAATATGATCGATTGTTTTTTCATCAAAGGAAAAAGTCTAGGTCTTGTCTGTAGTCTTATCTTCACGATATTGCTACAGTCTTTACCTTTCATTTTTCCAAGTGCTTTGTTGACCGTATTTCATACCCTTCATCAGAGAATCGTATCACAAATGTACTTCTGTAATAAATATACATAAGAAAATGAAGTTTTTTCTCAAGATATTTTTTATTTGAAGATATTTTCTACGTATGTATTTAACGTTTATGTTCGTCTTGTTGAACACTCGTTTTCGTTGCTCAAATGCTCGTTCCGCTCGGCGCATATTTTACTTTTCCCTAAAGTCATTGTTTTCATTCTAGATACTGAAATGCATTTCCCAACTTGAATTGGCTCAACTTATCGGTACTGGTGTGAAAACGCGATACCTTCACACGGCGTCCAGCGGTGTTACTAATTCACCCACAGCATTCATCGCAAACAACAAGACACCTTATGATATAACCTCAGGTTGCTTATAACATTGTTGTGACGCTCGTAAATGTCAAATACTAACGTTGGGTGCTTTTCTTTGTTTGTATTTCTATGAAGGTCGGATGCCTGTTGCCGCTGACTCGAAAGCGGCTGGCTCACAGGAAGCCATTTGGGAGACCGCTGCACAAAGTGTTGTCGTTGCAGTTGACTGGTAACGTTTACTTTAATGATAGCTATGGGGATTGTCTTTGTGACCTATCTCCCACCCCAGGGCGAAGCTAGAACTTTAATGCAGGGGGAGAGGTGAATATTCATATATATGGTCATACATTCCGCTGTGACCAACTAATTTCTTTTCAAATTAAAATAGCTTTTAAACCAAATCAGTCAAGCAAAACTAAATATTCACCCCTCCCATCCAGCGTTCTTGCTTCTTCCCTTCCCCCCTGCCAGAAATCTTTAAAATTGTCTTCAAGGTAGAGTTGGGCTTGTAACAGCAAGAAATGTTGATGGATGATTCTCTATGTAGACATGTTCATTATCCGTGTTAGCAGAGTCCTGAGAAGGACTGTTATTATTGTTGACTGACGTTTTGACATCCTTAGCGGTAGTCATCTTCAGGCTTAAGTGAACCAGAGAACCTTGAATATAAACATGAAAATAAATTTTAAAGAACTCCTGCACTGTCTTTGCGTTATGTTCTCTCAGCAGAATATCTTCATCTCAACTTCTTCATTGTGTTTTATTACGTTTAGAGTTTTCACGGGATCAGTGAAACTGGATGGTGATGCTATCGGTAGGTTTGCATGTATACATTAAAATGCATCTTACATAAGATTTTTATACATCTAACTTGACCATAATTCACTGACCATTGTTTATCCCAAGTACCCAAATTTCTAGTATCCAAATTCCCTGTTCCCAAATACCAAAACCCAAGTATCCAAATCCCAAGTATCCCAAATCCCCAGTATCCCAAATCCCCAGTATGCAAATCCCCAGTTCTCAAATCCCAAGTATCGTTATCTCCTGTATCCAAATCTCAAAATGTTTTCGTTTTTGTCCTAAGTCGATTTCGTGGAAGTTTACGTCAAGTCTCGGAAGTTCAGCTTTCCAATCCTACAATGATACGTATGTTTAGTCTGCAGAAGATCGTAGAGATTGCTTATTACAATATTGTTCGTATTCGGCTGCAATGGTCACGAATATGGGCTGTGTTGGGAGATCATTATAACAAGGTTAGCAATTATTAACGACTAAGACTGTATCTTGATATTATGGTTAATAACATCACGTTGTTATGATGTACTCAGGTATAGTAACAAGATAATCATTGTCTTCAATGTTCTATGAACTACACTATCAGATCAATTGTGAACTATGATGATATTTTAAAACACAGTTCTAGTTTCTTTCATATCTCAAGTATAAAAACAATATAATCAATGCCTTCATCTCCAATGTTCTACCAACTATAGTACTTCTCCATCTTAGATAATTCATGTGTCATTTTAATGTGGTTGTAACTCTAATAAAGAAGTTGCGTTCTTCTTTGCGACAATTATCCATGAAGTTCTTGGAAAAGGGGGAATTGCCAAATTTCCGATTTCAAAAGGATTTTCTCCGACCCTTCGAACACATAATGAAGAAAAACAGGTAAGTTTATGCAGGAGTCAATTCTGTCAGAAAATGTAAATTTTCTTGCAGCTTGAAAATCTTTCTCTCAAATAAACAAAATTTGTGGCAGACTTTGTAGATTCTTTTCCAAGTTATAATTTTACGACGAATTTTACAAAGGACGTCTTTCGATCAATCGCTCTGTCTTGTGTCTTATAATTGGAAGGATTTGATTAAAATTCTTTCTTCGATATCTTTATGAACTTGGCAACAAGGACTGCAATTTTCAGTCTACGATTTGCTTGAATCAACAACTGGATTTTTCACATTTTAGTTCTTCCACAATTCGAGATATGGTCGTACGATGTGTCACACAAATGGTTCATTCGCAAGCCGCAAACATCCAATCTGGTTGGAAAAATGTTTTCTCCGTTTTTCATTTGGCTGCGTCCGATCATTTATATATATATATATATAATATATATATATAATATATATATTATATATTATATATATATCATCGTTATGCCCATTTAATATGCCCATTTATATAATAATAATAATAATATTATATATAATATATAATATATATTATATATTAAGTTTGAAAATTTGTAATCCAGGCATTGAATATATAAAAGATAAACGTTTCTCCGGATTTTTTAAATGATTTTTATTGAGCTTTCGACTCGTTGCTTCGAGCCTTCATCAGAATGAGGATATTCATTTACACGTGCTTTTTAGCTTGGAGACTCGATTGCTGTTGAAATCGAGTATTTGGTCTGTGTGGGTGGTTTTGCTAAAGACGAAGAACACGACAAACAACTTACCTTCCTCGACATCCTACTAACGAGAACAGATGACGGTACACTAAACACACAAGTATACCGCAAAACCACCCACACAGACCAAATACTCGATTTCAACAGCAATCATCCAACACAACACAAAATAAGCTGCATTGGAACACTTTTCAACAGATAAACACTCATTGTAATACGGAAGAAGCCAAAAAAACAGAACGCAAGTACTTATACTCCACACTTATTAAAAACAATTACCCTAGAAACTTCATAAACAAAACTATACACAAAATAAAAAACAAAACACAAACCGACAAAAACAACAAAAAACCGGACGAAACAGTAAAAATCGTCACATTACCATACATAAACGGAACATCAGAAATGACTGCCAGACTTCTTCGACCACATTAACGTCGCCCACAAACCTACACAAAACTCAAATCATATTTCACCAAACATAAAGACAAAACAACTTCATGATAACAACGCGATCTACATGATACCATGTAAAGACTGTTCAAAACAATACATAAGACAAACATCTAAGAAAATTGAAACAAGACTCACAGAACACAAAACGCCATAAACGACGAGATCCGAACTCACTACCGGCAGAACATACCCACGGACACAACCACACATTCGACTGACAGAAACTAAAGTACTCGGACGCGCACAGACTAAACACGCACGCGAATTTAAAGAAGCTTGGTACAGTGAAGACAACGACACAAACAGACATATCGACATACCCATCATATACTCACAACTAAAGAAAAAGGACAAAAAAACTACAAACAACACCAAAACTAAAACACTACATTCTAATATTATTAACACCAACCATATTAACAACACACCAAAACCCATGGCAACGCATTTCACTCCATCCAATCACATTAATCCACCCACTAATCCAATTAGACGCTCTAAACGTCTCCAAGCTAAAAAGCACGTGTAAATGAATATCCTCATTCTGATGAAGGCTCGAAGCAACGAGTCGAAAGCTCAATAAAAATCATTTAAAAAATCCGGAGAAACGTTTATCTTTTATATATTATATATTATATATTATATATTATATATTATATATCTATATATATATCGATATATATATTATATATTATATATATTATTAATGATATCGTTCATCGGAAGAAAAGTCTAGGGTTGTTGATTGATTGTTTCGACAACCTTAGCGGTAGTCGAAACGTCAGTCAACAATAACAACAAAACAGTCCTTCTCAGACTTTATTAACCTGGACGATCATCATTTACAAACATATAACGATACCCCTGGTTCAAACCATTTACTTTATATAATATTATTATTATATATTATATATATATCGTTATGCCCATTTAATAATAAGGGTTTATACTTTCGTTATCTCTTCATTTACACATAACAGCATACGCGCACAAAAATTCGAATACTAACAAACGTAAGTTCAAAATTAAAAAGGAAAAGCCGGCAGTCTATTACTTGACATTGCTTTCCGCTGCTAAACACTACTTTAATGACTTATGGAAGATATCATTCGCAACTATTTTACTAAAAACTACACGTATGATACAATCCTACAGCTATTACAAAATATCATGGAATTCGCATCTCCAGAAGTACTTTGCTGAATAAGCTTAAGCTTTATGGATTGCACCGACGTGGAAATATCGTTGATAAAGACCACGTAAGAAGATGCATTGTTCGAGAACTAGATGGAAGTGGTAAATTGTTCGGCTATAGAGCCATGTGGAGACGATTGCAGTCAAAATATGGCTTGCAAGTTCCTCGTTTGGTTGCTCAAACCACTCTTCAAGAAGTGGATCAAGAGGGATCGAAATGGAGACGAGCTAACCGTCTTCGTAGAAGAGCTTACATGAATCCGGGGCCAAATTATTGCTGGCATGCCGATGGTTACGACAAACTTAAACCGTATGGTTTCCCCATCCATGGGTGTATAGATGGATTTAGCAGGAAAATACTGTGGTTAAATATAGTTCCTTCAAATAATGATCCCCGCGTAGTGGGCAGGCTATTTTACGACTGCATATCTAATATGCAACTCAGTCCTAAAATTCATCAGCCCAGTGTTTCTTACGCCGAGATGGTACGGACACACATTCTGACGTCAATGCTCATCAATATGGATCATCACACAGCAATCAGCGAATAGAAGCATGGTGTTACGTCGCTCGTGGGCCTCGTGGTGGATGAATTTTTTTAAGGATTTGATAGCTAAAGGGGTTTTAGACACAAGCAACGTACTTCAACTTGAGTGTCTATGGTTTTGCTTTAGTCCTGTCTTAAAAAAGGACTCGAATTCATTTCACGAGAAAACATGAGCCCAACAATATTGACCTGCTCACCACTGTGTGACTTCATAGCTCAGTTCAGAAGGGCATTACTAAATATGATGTGGTCTAAAATCTTTAATTTTATACTTTCATCAAAGACAGCTCCAACACATCGATGAAATTATAATCATGATATATCACTTACAAAAAAGCATTGAGGATTTAATTTTCGTTCATAATGATCAATCTATATGTATATATATATACATGCTATTCCCACTGATATTATAATATGGCTTAACATGCGTTTTTTAAACTTAATATTTTGCAGTATTGTTTATGAGCACATTGCAATAAATTGACAAACATTGTATTTTTGGTTTGGGGCAGTGCATTACTTGCTTTTGTTTCCAAAGTTGTAAATGATGTTATTGTTCTTATCATTTTTTCGCTTTTTCTGGCTCTTGGCTAATTTTCCAGTATTCATGAACATGAATTTGTTCAAGAAAATTGAACACATTTGAACAACTATCCCACCGTTACACTTATTTTAATTCATGAAATCGATGCCTAGTCATATATAGGCCGTTGTTTGTGCTGTTGTTTGAAGAACATGATCAAAAAATCCATCATAACAAATCCATCGCTCACATAAGGATTTACTGGAAAATAATGTCGATTAAAAATCACGTGCTTATTCATGAATACAAAATTTTCAAAAAACAATCATATCTCATATCATAGCACATAGGAAGAAACTTTCTATGAATTCTTTCATACGTAAAACTTACGTCGTTTGCAAGGTTGTTGTCCTTGCGTGATAGAGAACTGGAACGGTTTGGGTGAGCTGGAGTCTTTAACAGTTGACATGAGTACACTCTGTCGAGGTGGGTATAATGTTGTTATGGATGATGGGACGTCTGTCGTTGAACTGGGTTCGTTGTCCTGGTGTTTGTTTGGCTTTGAATTAGATCCCAGGTCCTTTTCATTGCTATCCCTTCCAGGTGAAGCACATATACGTAGCTCAACCACAGCTATACCTTCAACCCTAGAAGTGACAGAGGAGAAAGTACGAGCCTTTGACATACATGTATATCACATATAATACATGTATGTACAATCTCATTCCTTATAATCCCTCAAATGCATACTATAAAATAAAAGTACTTAAATAACGTACCCACATTCCAGTCGAAAGGATAAATGTGTAGGTCGTCTGTTCATTCCTCCAACACAAGAGTTGAAGCATGTAAATCTAAACAATTCCTTGCGATATCCGCTATCTGCAAAATAATTTACAGCAAAATTACTAAATACCTGTGTATGTAAAGAAATTAAAGTGCTAAAATAAAATACAAGAACAGTACATATACCATCTGGTTTCACAGCATTCAGCGGTATGAATATAGACAACCTTTTTGTCTTTGGACAACTTTCGTATCTTGTTTGTGGATTATCACATCTCATTACATGCTCAGGATACTCTTTTAAAACAAATAAAGTCAATTCATATTAAAACTCGTTTCATTCTCAAGTTTTAAAAAGTTAGATGAGTCTTACTTTCTGAGCAGGTATTTTTATGATTTGGACAAAGGACAACAATTTCTCCATAATTTTCAGGTTTTTGTACATAAGAATACCACGAATTCCGCTACCAGACGGTGGATTGACTAGATAAAATATTCAACATTACATTCGTCACAAAATTGAGAACAAAATACAATTATGACCATTTACCTTCATTACGACTACGTTGGTTGTCTCTGGACTCGATTTGACACCATTTTGTCAGATGGATTTGTTTGTCCCCACGGTAAATACCATGGGGACAAAGAATACAAAATATTACAGGGATCAAAGTGCCATGCTTCTTCTTGGGTCTAGTGACTTTGGCACAATCTCCATGCTGTGTTTGAACCAGTTCTGGCAGACAAGGTAGATATCCATGGGACGAATTTTGAGACACCGCAGGTAAGTTGTGTGGCAAACGCCACTGACCGTCCTTGACCTCGAACGGACTTATCGCCTTTTGTACCAATTCCTTGCAGAGTTGAATAGTAATAGGAATTTCTTCGCTAGCCTCAATGACGTTAAACAGTAGGGGCATTTCTTCATGAAAAGTTTTAAATCAGTCGAAGGATTGTCTTTGGATTGGCTCCATCAGACATCCTTATCAAGAGGTTCAAAACTTCTTCTTTAGGGGCACAATTGCGCATACTGGTTTGTCAGAAGCCAATGCTGCCAATAACCTTCTGCACGAGTTTGGACAACTAGTGATAAATCCTTGTTTCTCTAACCATTCAAGTAGAGTCCTAAGCCCCTTTGAAGATATCTATAAATACGAGAAATTGTAGTATAAAATGAGCTATGGAGTGGTCATACAAAATTTTGTACTCGTGGGGTAATAAATTCTTCTTACTTCAAATTTTAATTATTGAAATTCGTCCCAACTTAGCTTTGAATCACTGTACTTCTTCAATAAAGCTCGCACATTTCTATTGTTGATGAAATTGCGCATTTCAAACCTAGCATTGGACAAAAGAAAACAGGTTGTTATTTTTATAACTATAAGCTGTGTACAAAAAAAAAGTGAGAGAAGTCACCATCATGCATAAAATGCTTTCTGATACGTAGATGAACACTCGTATTTACTAATTAGCAGACCTGTATATACTATATACTACAGATAAACTTCAAAAATACTTATCTTCCATGTAGCAATCCAGTATCAGACTCTCTTAAATTATTTGGTAAGAAAGTTTTCTGTATTCCAAGAGTTGTTCCATCCATCACCACCTTTTGGGGGAATTCTTCCACATAATTCACAAAAAAAACCATTGTCAAAATCAATATCAAGCAACCTTAATAAGAGAAAATTCAATAACTTAATAAAACAAGCGATCACTATCTCAATGGAATATTCATATTTTACAGCTGAAAATAAAATGATGCTTACCGTATCATGGCAATGATAGCGAGACGAAACTTGGCGTAAGTTATTTCCTTTGGGAAATTAAAATTACCCGAAGACACTTGCCTTTGTACATATGCAACATAATATTTGTACATAGGTAAACTGAACAAGAATAAAAAAGAAAAAACATTCAAAAGAGATAGGGTGAGAAAATTAAATAATGGACAAACGTAGCTTCGGAAAATTTTCATTAAAAAGTACCTCGACGTTATGAAAAGCCGAATGTAATCTTTTAGAACGGCATGAGATATTGCATATGATCCAAACCATACAATCCTGTTTTCAATGCCATCATAATGCTTTTTCGTAGCACAAGAGGAGCAAGGTCTACAATACACTAAATAATTTATTTAAGTCAAATAATTATGAAGTGAAGCGTAACCTATCACAAATCAGAACTTACCCTTCACATCATGGATTGAATAAAAGTACGCAATTGAACACAAGTCTACGTACAACCATTCATCTTGAATAGAACGTTTATCCCACTCTGCACCACAAGAACAAATACCACTTTCAGATGGCGCCAAAATTTTATTACCATTTTTTTCAGGAAGATCAGTAAAATCGCTTGCATCATTCTCATTGCCTAAAATAATTAAATTGTAATATTTACAAAATGCTAGAAAGTGCTAAATACCATACCGATAAAGGAAATAGTATATGTAAAGCCAAAAGGATGTTCACCATTGCAGATTATCTTGCATACCTGTTTCAAATAAAGAAACCTTTTCTTTGCTAAGTGTAGCCAATTCAAAATACTCTCGCATCTCTGGTGTAATTCAAAAGGAAAACTTAAAAAGTGCCAATGGAGAATACATTTCATCCTCTTCAACGATTTGCATGGCTTTTGCAAAAAAGTTATTTTCACATAACAAAATATACTTCTTCAGGTTTCATCTCATGGTAGGAATGATCACTGAAAACAGACTGCATCATAGATGTGGATTCTGCATTCATAAAAGAAATTGGATGAGATAAATATATTGTGTAAATAATCATTCACAAGTTTTAACAATAATTTTGCTTGTAAAGCTGTGCTGGTTAACATCCACATGTAATAAGAACAATGTCGAACAAGGGTCTTGTAAAAAACACAGAAGGATAACTTCACAAGGGTTTGAAAGGTACAATAAACTGATATTTAAGGATGAAGGCATTTCCTCCCATACCTTGTAACGATGTAATTAAGTGGTACATAGGGATGTGCCAGATACCAATATTCAGCATGGATGAATTTACTTGGGGGGGAGAAGGGGTGTCACCTCCCAAAACTTCAGACTTCACCCCTTTAAGTAACATTTAACCCCCCCAATTTTAGCTAAACAAATCATTTCTACAGTTGAACTGAGTTTTTCAGGGTAATATTTCAACTTATAAGTGGATAGTGCATATTAAGTTCATTGACTGACATAGCTCTGAACATATGTGGTAAAGAATATATGTTCATATCTTTACCACTGTGCTTATATATTGTTGTGGCAACATGTATTCATCATCCCAAGACATTTGGTTCTTTTCAGATAATTTTGCTAGTAAATGCATAGTTATAACTTATATTTATAACTGTATTAATTTGCTAGCATCTCCGGTGCAAATTTCTCTTTCGGGCGAGAAAATCATTTTGCATTCTTGTAAGCAAAATAATAGTTTGTTCAATACCTGGCAAAAATTACAGATATCAAACATTGTTGGTAAACATATATTACCAGATATCAAATGCCGTTATTTGGATGCAACATATCCCAAAATTGGCGTTTGACACATTCCTAACCAGAATCCCAAGCAATGTGACCAGACTTGGTAATTTTTAGACAGCCCCACCTGATTAAATAATTCCAACATTTGGAACAGGGGGAAGTATTCTGCACCGATCAACTTGTTTTCGATAATAAATGATTCATGTATGTTCACACTGATCTCTCGTTAATATGGGTGTGTCATAGTTGGCACAGTAGTTAGAACATTAATTGGAGGGGGTGTTTATTCATATATATTCAGTTGACCCGACTGATTTCTTTGGAAACTTGAAAGTAATTAGGCTTTCCGAACTGAATATATGATTAAATACTAGTCAATTAATGTTCTGGCTATGGCCCTGGTCACAGTGTTTATTATCAAAGTTTATTGTTTATGTATTTGTCTGTCAACAATGCATCACATGCCATCCTATAAAAGAATATGTTCAATTGGACCACAGGTCCACATGGCAACATTTAGACTGCAGCATTTCATTATTCCACGTTCAAAAGATATGATCATTAAAGTCACTGTCAGGGAAATAATCTGTTTCGATAAAGTTGACAATTTTAAGAACATTTGAAATTTGTTTTAGAATACAAAAGTTTTATCTTCCCAGACTTTTTGAGCCTCAAAGTTGGCTTTTTTTATTTATTGACAGTGAGGTGCTGTGACCGGGTCTTGTTCACTGGATGTGACGTACATTGGAAAACATGCTGCCTTTTAATGGTGTAGGTTAGATTGAAATTTGTAGCAAAGTCTAGAAATTCATTTTTTATTAAACTTAAGTTATATTGTGAGCTTTGTTATTGAATCACACTGTAGTTCTGCAGCATTGAAAATCAGCATGTTCTCCAATGTACCTCATGTCCAGTGAACTAGACTCAGTCACAGTAACTCACGGTCTAACACAAAAAAAGCCAACTTTAACACCCCAAAAATCAAGGAAGGTCAAATTTTCGTCTTATAAAATATATTGCAAATGTTCTTAAAATAGTCAACTCTATATAAAGAGGTAATTACTCAGAGGGTGATATAGGGACTTTGAGTGAAATAGTCAATAATTGCAACTAAAACAGATGGAGCAAATATGGGTAACAAGGGTCTTGTAAATCCACAGAAGGATGACTTCACAAGGGTTTGAAATGTACAATAAACTGATATTTAAGGATGAAGACATTTCCTCCCATACAACATGAAGAACTTTACATTGAAAAAATAAGCCAAATACAAATTTGAGACATTCACTTCATGCAATGTCAGATTAATATGTAACAAGTTCTCACATCTTTGACAAGGGTCTTCAAACAAATAGTATGTAAGTGTAAGTCAAAATTTGGTGAAGCTGTTCAGACACCTTATATCCTGAAAGAGTAACACACAACACTTACTTTTTTCAATAAAATCTTTGGCTTCAATACCAAACTTTCTATCATACACAACCAGATATTTTTCAATTGCTAATATGTGTATGCAACTGGGATATGGTATATCTGACAAGTACAAAAATGTTGTTTGGCCTGTTTTAATAATTTCATTTCAGTAACATCTATTTTACATACCTTTTTGAGGATCTAATTGTATATTATTAGGTAGGGCTTCAACAAATTGCTTTCTATTTGCATCACATGAGCAGCACAATATCCAACCGTAGCCATCAAGCAATAGGTGGGGATATCGATGAACAAATACAAATGAATTATGCTGAAGAAAAAAATACATGCAGATTATAGCACCAAAAAAAGAGTATTGAGTAATATCATTTAGTTGGGTATATACCCAACATTGAAATTATGGAAATAAAATTTGACATCACCATAATTGTTCTTTTGTCTGCATTATAATCATGAACAACAAAGGATTGCTGATGGATACATTTGATGCAAAGTCAAACTGTAACAATAGCCCAGTATAGTGGCCAGTGGGTGACAAATGACTCTGAAAGAGCAAGTACACAGTAATTATTAATGTTCACTGTTTCAAAAATATCTATTGTAATATATTTTTATGTTTGTTGAGCACATTTCTACGAGATGTTAATAAAGTTTTGCTACACAGTGTCTCATGCATAAGCAATCAACAAGCATATTGTCAATTTATAACACATTAAAAACATGACTAGTGGTAAACAGTATAAAGTATAACTGTATAAGTGAGAACTACTTGACTATGTTGACATGGTTGTTTGGATTCCTCTGTACTAATAGAGATAGATTGCTTGGTAAAAATATCTTCAGAATCCTACAAATAAAGACCATTATTTAATTTAAAATGTGTACAGACTTTTAATAAGTGTTGAAATAATGCTTGCCTTCTTTAAATTACTTCAAAATTTTTTAGTTTTTTCTAGTGAAAGCAGTCCTACCATTTCCAATGACTTTTCATGAGAAACAATATCAATATGTACATTAAAAACCTGTGTTTTGGTGGTTAACTCTTGGTGCTTGTCATAATTTCCAGCAATATCTTCATTTTGTTCATTCTACATATAAATGAAAAAAAACCATAAACATAGCGTATTTTTATATCTACATAGTTTTACAGTATATGTAAACTTACCAAATCCCCAAATTCATTTTCTTGTTCAAAAAATTGAGATTCATATGACACACTGCTATTCTATTAACATACATTGTGATTAAAGGATGTAGAGAATCCAGACTTGAAATTGGAAAATGTGCTCAGAATAATCGTTTTTCCTTACACAACATTGTGGGCATAAATAAATTTGTACACATACTTTTAAAACATTCACACATACTTTTGTTAATATAGCTGTGGTAATAAATATAAATTAATATGAAATTGTGCAACCAGAAACAAAAAAAAGAACACTTTAAAAAGTCCTACCGCATCATCTTTTTGTGTGTTCCTAAGTTCCTTTCCTCTCCACGTTATTGTAAAAGAAGTCCTTTGAGCGTCTGAATTTCTTCCTAAATTGATACATTTTGCAAGTGTACCCAAAAAATAATACCCCGGTTTGTAAAAACCAGTACTGCACGTGTTCTTGGATTGACAAAGTTAGCCTAGAATTAGTCTAAGTACAATTCTCCCAGCCAGACTTCTCCGATAGATATTTAAAAAAGTACTAAGCATAGTATTGAGTGACTGAGCCCTGTTGATCGATTGCCTTGCTTCGAACTTTTGATGTTGCAAACTCCTAAAAAATATGAATACACGAAGAAATATTGTTCTCATACATGAACTTTGAAAAATGTAGTAAATGGAAGCCCTGAAATTTCTTTTTTAAGCTGCACCAGTCGGATGGTTGCATTTGCGGTTGAATATGCCATTTTACGGCAGCGAAACACACCACTGGTTGTCAAGTCAGCGGAAAGACGCGGGCTCATAAAATAATTTTTTTTTCGCCCACCCGGATTTGACAACCACAATTGCGATTATATGAAACATCAATGCCAAGCACAAAAACTTTTAGAAATTTTATCTTTAAAACATGCTACAAACTTGTTTGGTATACGGATGCTGAAGTAATGCCAGAAAAGGAAACATTTCATGACACCGGTAAGCAACGTAAGATTGTTTACCATTTAAAGTGTTCAGTGTTTTGTTTTAAGTCAATACTTGAAGTGTGATGGTATATATTTTGTGAATGTTTTTACTCCTAAGTTATAATTTAAGTTATGTTTATCCAGTCTTATTTGTTCTTTACTTAATCGCTTGCTATACGAGGCAAAGCAACCAATTCTTATCAAGATATGCATATCTTAAAACTCCTTGTTAAGGCATCAAAAGGAAGGAAGGTATGCTGAAAAAGTTCTGGTTTTGTTTTGTTTGTTCTTTTGTTTTACTCAACTTAATTTGCTTTAAAGGACACATGACTTAAAAATTTAACTACTTAAATTATAGTTTCATTTATCATAACTTTGAAGATGACAGTGTATTTTCTAAAACAGTTTGTGAATATCTCTTTTCATTCTCGAAATATTGAAGTTTTTGTAATGTCCGATCTATACAACTTTCTACGTCATTTTGCATAATGAGAATTTGAAATAGCAGGTATATTTGCCGATATATTACCTCAACCGAGCAGAGTTCTCTTATTTTTGAAGAGACAATGGTATAAAAAATTGCATGATCATTTCAACCAAAACTTGACTTGAATATAAAAGATGTTGAAAACTTTACATGAACTCAAAATGACGTAGAAAGTTGTATAGATCGGACATTACAAAAACTTCAATATTTCGAGAATGAAAAGAGATATTCACAAACTGTTTTAAAAAATACACTGTCATTTTCAAAGTTCTGTTAACTATGATTTAAGTAGTAAAATTTTTGAGTCATATACCCTTTAACCATATCTTGTTGATTGCTTTAACACTTTTTATTTTTCGATTCAGCCGTTCATTCAGTACTATAAAGTCCACATAAACTTGGTTTCAAGATTATGTTTTTTCACATCATGCATGTTGCTTTTCTATAGGTTGTGACAAATGCCCAAAATGTTTTGTTTTTCTTTGAAGTTATGCAAACTATGTTTAATTAAAATTGTCTGTTGACATAATGATACACAAAAGGGGTGATCGCAAAACATAAGAGGTACACAGCATTGACAGCAATGTAAAAATAAGTGTTTTCCGTAAGCAAATTTATCGTTAATTATCAAGAAATGTTAAATGAGCTTTGCAAGTTTTAAAAAAATCACTTCACATTATTTTACAAAAATTAAAATTGCTTTGCGATTTGCAAATCGTTTGGACCTTATTGTTATACATTGTTATACATATTGCAAGGTCCGAATTATCGCAAAAAAATTGCTTCGCAACTTTTTTCGAATAAGTTCCTACCGACCCCCCCGATTTACTTTCCTCTCGCAATTTTTACAATGCACATGATTACGCCAATATTTTTTATTAATTTTAAAAACTATAAACTAAAATCCTCGCATTCGTTCTCTTCCAAATCGGAAAGCGTAGCTGCTGCAATATCAACAACGTTTGTAGATGACGCTGACTTTGATTGCCTTTCTGCTGGTTTTGCACCATTTGGGCGTCTAATCTTTTGCTCTAGCCAATATTGGAGAGCTTCCTCCGCATTGAATTCAGCTAGCGGGCATCCTTCTTCACCAATTCTTAGCTGAGCGTCGAGTCGTTGTGTACTCAAACCATTTCGCAGAGTTGTCTTAATTCTGTTCATTCGGCTAAATAAACGCTCCACCTTGGCATTCGTGAATGGTGTTATGAGCAACAATTCAATTATATGCAGTACATTTTTGCACTCTTTTTGCATTATAACATTTTCCCAGATGCTTCGCCATACATTTACATATTTTTCCTTTTTTTCTGCTCCAACAATGTAGCTTTTGACGTGGCACTAGCAGAAGAAATATTCAGTTATCCAACTGTATAATACGAAAGGAAAACGATGCATTTACTATTCAAACCTTCAAACGATTCCATTCTGAGACGACTTTGTCAATGTTGCATCCATTCTGAACAAGTAAAGCCTGGTAAAACTCTTTCAGTTCTAAAATTGCCTTGTCGCCATACCGCTTAAGCGCTTCGTCGTCCTTGGGCCACATTGCAAAGTCCAATATGACTGGCAGATTTTTAAACACCACACTTTCTCGGAACTCTTCAAATCTTCCTTGCACACTCCTAGACACTGCATTAATCATTTTTTCATAAGTTTTCGTTACTTTCCTACGGGACACATTAAACCCTTTTAGCTTTATTTTTTGGTAAGAAACATCTTCAGAAACAGAAAAGGCAATGTTACGACATAAAGTATTACATTTACAAAACACTAATTATAACATTAAAAAGTACCTGCTTCATCTTCATTGTCTTCAAGTTCTTCCACTTGATGCCTGGTAATTTTTTGATGTTTTGTCAAAGGTTGGTGAGGTTCTACTGTGTAAAAAAACATTTCAAGCGTACGTAAAGTCAGGGACTCATTCATCAATTACTTACCGTCGTCGGACGTTGTGGCTTCGCACTCCTTCAAAAACCGTGTAAAATTAATAAGTTTTTCGGAGTCGTCCTGAACGCATTTATTGATCAATTCTTTTAGTTTGACCATAGTCCACTCAAATTCATTAATGCGCTTCACCGCTTTAACAGGGTCGTGAACTTTCTTTTGGAATCCCAGGCTAAGAACCTAAAAATAGAAGTCACAACTCTTAATTTTGCACCAGATTATATATGTTGTGATGAGACAGCAAATCTGAACATTGAAGCGTTATACTAATTACCTTCAAAGGCGTCAAAATGTCAATGTATACTGTCATCAGCATAGGATACTTTGCATACGTCCATTTTGACAAAAAACCCCTTCAATTCTTCTCTTTTTGCTGGCACCGAATCTGTTTGGGACAAAGACTCAATGTGTAGCATGTATGCGCCATAATTGGCAACAAGGGTCTCCATGGCTTTCAACTTGTGGGTGGTCCATCTCGTTCCAAAGGCTTTGGCTGGCTTTGCTATGCTCTTTTCGAAAATCTCGCTGAATCCCTTCAATTCGCGATAGCGCTTTGCCGACTTTTGGAACAAGTAATACAATTTAGTCAGGAGCTTATCCACTTCGTCAAATTTTGATTAAATTAGTAATGTATATATTATGAAATATGAACACATTATTAAGAAATTCAACATCTTAAACAAAAGAAGTGTCTAACTGTTGTGACACCATACCTGTTCCTTTAAATGCGTCTTTAACAGCCAGTTCAAGGCGATGGTTGAAGCAATGAATAGTAAGCAGCCATGGTGAGTCTTTGCGAAGTTTGGCTGCAAGTCCGTTTATGCTACCCAAATTTACCGAAGCTCCATCCACGTTTAGCGCTGCCAGTTGTCTTGGCAAATTGTTCATGTGAAACCGGGAAAAGCAATCTTGTATCATCTTCTTAAGGCCATCTGCACTTGTTGATGTAGGTGATTCAATTGCTAAAAACCTTATTTGAGGGATACCTGTCCATTGAAAAAATAGAAATAACGCATCTAAAGACAAGAATCGAAATAATTCAGTTCAGTGTATTGCATTTACCTTCACTGCTTATAAAAAGGAGATACAAAACTTCCTGTTCACAAACGCCTTTGTCAGTGCTGCCGTCGGTCAACAAAGAAAAATAGCGTGTTTTCTTCAATTCAGACATCAGCTTCTGCTTGAGTTTGTCGGCAATTGAATCAGTGATGTTTGCCATAGCACGCTTTTCGGAATTTGAACTGCGAATCATTCCGTTCATTTCGTTTAACGTAATGATGCCCTCACTATCGCTATAGGGTCTTTCTGAAGTGCCTAAATAGTAGGCAGTGTTGAAACGAGTAATCATTACTTTCCTGTCAATCTCTGCTATTTTCATCAAACCTCTTCCAATTGGAGATCGTTCAACAACTTGTGCGCCAAAAGTTTCGCCCAAGGACTTCTGATCAAAAAGACGTTTTGCATGTTGATGTGCTTTACCTTGGACATGTTTTTTCAAGCTATCTAATTTGACAGATGTTGTCCCATCTATCAATGCTTGCGAAAAAACAGCTATTGAAGAAATTGTTGAGGAGAATTCCACACAGACAGAACATTTTAACGCTTCTACTTTTTTCTTATCTGTACTAAGACTTTTGATCAATTTAACGTTTAAATCTCGCCCCAATTTTCTACAGTCTTTGCTTCGCCATCGTTAACGTATATGGTGTGTATTAGTTTGTGACTTTGTCACTTTGCGTTTTCAGATAATATTGAAAATGTTACGTTTCATATTACAATTGATAGCGACGTTTTTTAAAAAGTTGCGACCATTTTAGGCTAAATTCCTGTTAGTCACATTCCTGAGGCATGATGTAATAGCAACGCTTTGAAATTATGCAAATAGTGCAAGAAATTTGATCATTTGATATTTCTTTTGACGTATTTTAAAACTTAGGAGTGGTCGCAAAAGCATAATAAAAACAACCATCACGCAATATAAAAGAGTGCTTTCAGTAAGCAAATTTACATTAAATAACAAGAAATGCGAAATGAGCTTCGCAATTTTACGAAATTTGCTTCGCAATATTTCGCCAAAATCGAAATCACTTCGCAATTTGCGATTTGCGAAGCGCTAATTCGGACCTTGTATTGTTATGCACTGTTATACATTGTTGTATATTGTTATAAATTTCAATATCTGAACAGGGAATTATAATCCAGATATTTAATAACAACTTGGACATATTGTACTGCCACTTTTAATTACATATGTCATTTTTAATTACATATGCCATTTTTAATTACATAGGCCATTTTTTAATTACATATGTCATTTTTAATTACATATGTCATTTTTAATTACATATGTCATTTTTAATTACATATGCCATTTTTAATTACATATGCCATTTTTAATTACATATGCCATTTTTAATTACATAGGCCATTTTTTATTTACAGAGTGGTGGTAAACCTAACCCAATTGATTTACTTCAGAAACAATTAAATGATAAAGAAGAAGCCTTGAAAGATGGTAACCTGCTTACCAATTTTCTGTTTGAGGACTAGTCATTTTATTTCAAGGAATTAACTATTGTGTTTTTTCATTAGAATATTTAAGAGCAGAAAACTTGTCAGTAAAAGTGAAGGAATTAAGGTAAAGGAAAGTGTGCTTATGAATTATTCACAATAGATAATATGATGGACTTTTTTTGATATAATTGTATTTTAGGGAGAAACTTGGTGAAAAACAGCTTGACGAAGGAACTTAAAGAGACAGTAAAGTCTAAACAAGACAGTGAACATAGGCCTGAGGTGGCAAAAAAAGACCTTGATGTTGCTCTTGCTGAGAAATCAACTTATTTACAGCAAGCAAATACATTGAAATCTGAGTTGGATGAGGAAAAGACAAAGAAATGTGAACTTGAGAAAATGTTTAATGCTCTTGAGCTGAGGATGAAAGAAACATCTGATAATCATGCTCGGGAGAAAGAGGTTCTTACATTTTCTAAAATACTACTTCTGAAGCTCTAAATATGTGTTCAAGCAGAAAGTTTTGTTGTCCTTTTTTTACTTATTATTGCACAATGAAAATCTTATAATATTAGTTATTTGTATGGATAATGTATTAATATTTTGTTTGCTTCAAATAAATATATTTATTTTAAGGATTTCATGAAACAGTTAGAGTCCCATGGAAAGGAAGACTAGGTACAAGTTGTTGAATTACAGGTAAATGCAACAAAGATAATATTGGTTTATGTTGAATTCTGATTAAAACTTGGATGATTATAATTTTAACTTTTTTGGTTGTAAAGTTTCTTCAACCTGGTAGGAATCAATCGTACAATTGTGTTGAAGACTTGTTCGCTCATTAAATTTTCATTTCTATAGAGTATTGTATTGTACTTTACACCAATCATAAACCTGATCGTATAGATAGACAATATTGTGAGAACTCCGTCATTTTGACTACTTGTGCTTTTTTATTTAGATATCCTTTTAAGTTGTGATATTTGGTATTTTTATTTTTCTCCAGAAACAATCAGAGGATACTTTAAAACAACTCGAGGAAATCAAACAGAAATTAAATCAAAGTGAAAAAGATCATGAAAACACAAAGAAAGACTTTGTGAATCAAGGAGCAATTTTGACTAAACAGGAAGCAGAGATTAATGATCTTAAATGTTCCAACAACAGTAAAGATGAGAAAATTGAACTGTTGACAAAAACTTTGAACGAAAGAAAGGAAGAAATTATTGTTGTAAAAAATGATGTATCACAAGAATTGAATTCAGCACCACAAGATGACATAAAGTATGAAATTTTTTATCAATTCATGCCTTTGTTCTGTCATCAATAATTTATGTATTTATCAGAGTTAAAGAACTTGAGAAGGAAATTGAAAAGCTAACTGGTCAACTCAATGAAAAGAAAACGCAAATGCCACCTGGGAGAAGTCGATCGAATCTATGAAAACGAAAAATAATGTAGGGTTTTGATTTATTTGACACTGTTATCGTTACATGTTTTTAGATGTTGACAGTTTTGAGAAGGATTTTTGGTGTTGATGTTGACTGACGTTTCGAAAATCCTAGCGGTAGCCATCTTCATAGCCAAGTGACTACCGCTAAGAGTATCGAAACGTGAATATAATCACCAACACCAGCATTCTTTCTCAGGACTTCGCCATCCTGTGCGATCTTCATCTACAAACATGTAACGATACTCCCGGGTTCAAACATTTTCTTTATTATTGTTATCTTCGCCAATTTCTTGCTTGAATTGTTATTTTTTCACAGGAGTTACGGGAGAAAAACTGGAAAGCAATGGACGCTTTGTCTACTGCGGAAAAACAGCGTGATGTTGACATAAAAAAGGCACTTTCTTCTGTTAAGGTTTGTGAAAACTTAAAAGTCTTGTCATTGTTGACTTTCAACTTCTTTTCTTTTTAGACAATTCACAGCATGCAACCTAAATAAATTTTCCTTTTTATAGGAAGAAAATCAACAGACTGTTAAATCTCTTCATGAAAGCATAAAGGTAGGACGGTTCACTAGATACGTATAAAATTGATGAATATTTTATTCAATCAAATTTAGCATCAATTTTTTATATTTTCTAAGATCTACTTATGTCAAATTCATCCCACTTTATCAGTGGATAAAGATTTAGTAAGAAATTTCATTTTCTTTTCAATTATAAGTAAAAATATTCAAGTAAAGATGTTGTTGCATTGTTAATTTTAGCCTTACGAGAAATTCTTAGAAATTTATCAAAACGAATTAAATGTGAATGAATCCTCATCAAATGACGCTAAGGTAAAATAAAGTTTTGAACCCTCCACATTTTGATAATGACTAAATCGCTCTATGATCATGAATCATGCACTATGACTTCAAATGTTCAAATTATATGAAAATGTTATTCAAAATTTAGGTAAAATATTGGAGGAACATCTCGAGATGTTAAAGGATCGCACAGATGTAGAGTATAATCAGTGTAAAGAAACAATTAAAATCAAGGTTTGTCCACCAAACTTTGTCCATGTTTATGTTAGGAAAGCAAGCTTAACGAAGCTCTTAAACAGAAAGAAGATATTGATAATCAATGTAATAAATACAAAACACTGTTGAGTGCTAGAGTAAGTATTTATTATAGTTTGTTTCGTTAAGCATTTGTTATTCTCCCACTTTATTTTTAGTGATTTCAATATTCATCTTAGGAAACTATGCTGCGTGACCTGGAAGCTAATGTGGAAAAAGAAATAGCCGAGCTTAAAGTTTCAAAAACACCGAGCTTGAAAAGGTTAAAAATTAACTAGGATTGTCTAACCCACCGAAACCAAAATCTCCATGTAAATGTTATTGTATTCAACCAAAGTACATTTTATCTCAATTTTAGAAGAATTCTCTGATTGATGATTTAAAAAACAAATATGAAAAAGCATGTGATGAATCCAAGTCGAAGGATGGTAACATTGCTTCATTGAAAACTGCTTTGGCGAAGAAAGAAGAGTCAGTAGATAAAGACTTAGAAAAGGAAAAGGTGTGAATATCGTAATTATTTATAGAAATGGCTACATTGTTGAATTATTGGTCGTCACAACCCCAAGTATTTGGTAAATTTTTATGCGAATAAATAAATCAACTAAAACTTTGATTTTCAGTGGCAATAGTTATCGTCGACTTTGGAAGAGTTAAAACAAAGTTTAAAGAAGGCAGAAGAAGATGTAAAATCGAAGGAAATCAAGATCGGTGCTCTAGAAAACGATGCTACGAGTAAAGATTCTGATATAAAGAAGGTTTGTTTTTAACCCACAATTATAGTCCTTGGTTGATTTAACGTAACTTTGAAAACTTTGTGTTCAATGGAAAAAGTTTAAAACGGGTTTCATGTGAACAACGAGTGCAAGCTTAAAGATAGCGAAACAAAATCGTTACGACTAGAGTTGTCCACGCTGAAAGTTGCCGCTGAAAATGCAAGTAACGATTCAACGAAGGAGCGCAAACGGTTATTGGATGAAATTGAGGGATTGAAAGCGGAGAGGAAAAGTCTTTTAGAAAAAGTGGAAGTGAAGGAAAGAGAAATGAAAGAAATAACGGAAGAAAATAAGTCGCCAGAATTGGAGAAATACAAAACTGAAGCTAGTGATGCTGCTAAAGTAAATGCTGCTTTGCGTAAGGAACTTGCGGAAGTTCGTCTTCAGAAAAGTGGTTCTGAAACCCCAAAAAAGAAACACGATAAAGAAATGGAAGCCAAAGCAAAGGTATATCACTACACATCAGATGATGTGGGAGAGAATTATAAGTCGATGTATTAGACAAGGGTGGCTTACAAAATGTGTATGACATGACACATGTAATGTTTTTTGGTTTTTTTAATATCAGTCCCTTGAAAATAAGTTGGCACATTCAGTAAAAAGGGAAAGCGAACTACAGGCGCAAATTGCTCATATGGAGGATTCAACATCTATTGATGACGTAAGAATTTACTATAAATGTTCATTATTTGTTATGAAGTCTTTTATTACTGTGAGTAAAGCTGTTTTTCTCTGTTGAGCAGCCATGAATTTCCTTTGCTTTAACTACATCAACAGCAATACTTTATCAAGTTTATCTAAGGCTGTGTAGTTTAAATATGAATAGTTATAATACCATTTATTTATTATTATTGTATTTTTTTAAGGACGTAGCGTCTGATTCAAAAGAGAAGAAGATCAAAGGTAATCAAAGAAAATCAAAGAAAATCAAAGGTAATCAACATCGTAAAGAGACTTTGTTGCATTGTGTGTATTGCTAAAACCATGAAATAGACTAAGTTCTTGAAGAGACCATTAATAATATGATTTATCATGAAGTGAATGATGACAACTGGTGAATGACTTAAAGAAGCAACCCCCACCACAAATTAACAATCGGTAAATTTTTATGATTTCAGTATGAATCGAAATTTCGCGATTTGAACGAAAAGTACGAACACCTGAAGGCAGAAAGTGATGCAAAAACGTCAAAAATTGCGGAGGTTTGTTTGAGAATTTTTTCTCAATATATTTAACGATTTGTTGATGAATGTTAACTAAAGAGACGATCATTTTGCAATTTCATGCAATGATATTTCTTGCAGCTTGAGACGGAGTTGCAAGAACAAGAGAAGAAAAACAATGAACTTACGGTTGATAATAATTGTAGACAAAATTTGTTATGTTTTCTTTGTTAATCTAGGAAATGACGTCATACTTACAGGCTGTCCACAGAGTTTTCAAGTTCAGATTCCATCTTGATCAAAAATATATTGTAAATAAAGCAACTTATTTGATGCACTGTTGATGTGAAAATTGAAAATTAAGCCCGCCGATATTGAGGAGCACGTCACGTGCGTTAGCCAAACTTTCAGGCATACGTAATGTGAAATGTGTAAAACTTTTTAAGTAAAATTTAACATTTACCTTACTCAAACTCTATTTTGTGCTGATACTCTACTTTTTATAACTACTATTCATTATTCATCTTCCTCCCGAGGTACAGTACTCACTACTCACTTGTTTACTGACGCTGCCAATCTTTTTACTTTAGGTGTTTGTTCGGGGAATAACCGGAGTAAGCCGACGGGACGCCGAGAATATTCAGTCGTGCAAAATGACGTCATGTTAGTTTAGAAGTTGTAAAACTGTAGTTGAATATATCTGGAGAAAGGTATGTAGTGTTATTTTCTAAAAGGTGGTAAAGGTTGGCAAAGAGGGCTTTTAAAGTTTCCATAAAATGGGAAAAGAAAAGCTGTCCATTGACGCCGAAAGCAATTAGCAACAGAATAAAAGCCAAGGGTTTGCAAAAATTGAGATGGTATTGTCAAATGTGTCAAAAACAATGTAGAGATGAGGTACATGATTACGTCAAGACTTGTACACTTTCTTCTTTGATTACTTTTGAAAAAAAAAGCGCCAGTGAACATGGTTGATGCTAGGGTGTCAATTGGGCCTGGATTAGTCATAAACTATATCTTTAATTCGAATTTAATGACTGTTCAAACTTCCTATGTCTCGTGTAAAAAGCTCGAGCCACACCGGGTTGAATTGATTGAATTTGTACCTGTCAGATGGTAGAATGCTACTATTCTATTCAAAATGAATTTATTTGCACACTGATGCGTTACACTTGCGAGCGATCAGCGATGATTAAATGTTTCATAAATATATAAAATGTCTTGAATATTACAGATGAAATAAATTGTTTGCATTTTGCTGGCAGGCAGATTTATGCCAAGAGAGGTTTACCATTGTTGCTAGTATTGTCCAAAAGAACTTGACCAAATCTGCCTGCCAGCAAACGTAAACAGTTCTATTCATGTATTATCTGGTGTTGTAGAATGGTTTCAAATGCCACTGCATGTCAGAATCATATCAACGACAGTTGCTGATATTTGCTGATAATCCAAATAGGTTGATTGATTCATTCTCAAAGTAAGGAGAAAAGGACATTTTTGTTTTTGGCCGTTTCGTTATCATAGCTCACACAGGACTACTGACAATCTTAATTTCATCATAGGGAATTTGACGATGATTTTATGTTGCTCCTGAGAAGAAGGTTTGGTAAGACGCAAATAATTTGCAATTTTGGGATTCTGATAAACAACAGTAGCAATTGTTCTAGTCCTGCAAGAATAAACTTAGCTTAAAATTAATGTGGGAATTTTTAAGAATAAACTTAGCTTAAATATACAGCAGTAATTTTTACGTACGACATTGACTTTTTCAATCATTCAGATTGAGCTTACCTTAACATTATTACTATTAATATACTTCAGTGATTTTCTCAGTCAAAAATTTCTAATAATGTACGTATGACAGAGATGATTTTATTCTACAATTAGATAGCAGGTTTTTGTTTACATGAAACTTTATTCTGTACAGTGGCATAGCCAGGATTTTGTGTCAAGAGGGCATTTGAAAGGAAATGGGGCCATAACTGAAGATTGTTAAAACAGTATAATGTAAGTAAAACATATTATTTTATGTTGGCAAGAATTTTGCCTGGGGGGTCTGCCCCATTGGCCCCCCTCCGGCTCGTCACTAATGCTGTAGCTGAACACTAAATACAGTACAGCATTTTGTTTTAATTAAATTAGTTTCTACTTTCAGTTGCGATCATGCAGCCATCATATTTCTTTGTTTTACTGTCTATTTATTTTACAACTGGAGAATTAATTTTAAATGTACAAGATTAGCTCAATCACAATGTATGGAAGTGGCTGAAAACATTTACTTTTTTAAAGGTACACGATGAGTCCATGCCAATATTGTATATCAGGAATATATTAGTGACAGAAATCATCTTCATATGAATTCCACACAGGTCAGTGTGAGAAAATTTTTGTTGAGCTGTTTAGAGTTTCAGAATGTAATTATAAATCAATGTTTTACAAAAAGCCAGCCAAAATCACGGGAATGCTACGTTTTACAATAAATAACATAATATAATAAGTAATATAAAATGTATAACACACTGTGCAAAATAATATACGTACATACGTGTGATGTAAAGTTTGCTTACCTTTCCGCGAAGAGTCTTTTCAGACCCAATGTACAAATAAAACAACAAGACTAAGATTACTTTGTGTGATAAAATGATAGTTTTTTTTCACATTTCTTATGTTAGAAAGATACATGCATACATAAATCCCACCACCCCTCAAATAAGATAAGATGCTCCGCTGTCTCCATAAATATCAAAAAGAAGGTCAACTTCGATAATTTTTCGTAAGCGCTATACGGCAATCATTTCCCCTCAGCCAGTGCTGGAAACTGAAGTAATTACCCCTCCCCCCTCTCCGAAGAAAGCTTTCGAGTTGTAATTTTTGTTTTATCTAGTGGGTAACATTGACAGAGTTTGTGAAATGGTTGGGTCGTGAAGGTAAAGTGCGTTTTATACTCGAATAAATACTTGAATGGATGATTTTGCATATATTGCTCCGTTGGTGACTATTCTGGTTTACATAGAATGGAGCAATGATTTTGCCGTTGTGACTAATCTCAATATTGCCTTGAAAAGCGCAATTGCTATGGTGAAAATAGCATTCAAAACAGTTTAATAAACTTGACAGTTTATCGCCTCCAGGATTTCATAAGGTTTTAAAGTCTTTAATGCAAAACAAACTGAAACTACTGTATACACTGATTTTCATCGTACATTTATGACGCAAAAGCTTTATAACATCAAAGCAACATAAACTGATTTATACCATCCACAAAAACGAAATCATATTTTTCTCAACCTTCCTCGGCTTTCGAGTACATTTAGCTAATGAATAAGTAACCTCACTATGCATACTTAAGCATATTTTGCTACGCGAGCAACCATTTAATTGTATGTATCTCTCACTGATTAGGTAAATGTAAAGTTGACAACACTGAGAAAGGATGGTTTATTACGTATATTGATAGAGATCCTGAGACGCTCGCGAGGCAAAAGGTAAGTCACCCAAGACTTACAAGTAAGTCTTACTTGTAAGTAAGACGCACCAAGTAAGACTAGTTTTCACTACTGACATACGTAAGCACGATAAAGAAAACAAAGCAAAGCATATTCTTCTAAAGTTGGAGGAAACAAAACAAAAGAAATTTTCTTTTCAATTCTCTCTTGTTCTACGTAACTTACGTTTCTGTCAAATTGCTGTGCTTGTGCTTATGCTTATGTTGATGCTTGTGTCAGACATTGCCATCTTTTGTATTTTCTTTTTGTCTTTATTTGTTCTATATTGTGTTCTGCTTATGTCGCTTGTGAAAACCAGGCTGTAAGAACCTCGAGATTCTAAGACCTGAGAGATTTTAGTTAGTACCTGCGAGACTTAGACTTGAAATTGTCGTTTTCGAATATTTATGAAGAAATTTCGAGTGTGAGTCTGGTTGAACTTTTGTAATGCCGAAAAAAATTCGATTGAAAAAAAGTTGAAATTATAAAAAAAAACTGGATTAACATTAAGGAAAATAGAACGAAACAACAAGCTTCAGGTATATACAAGTAAACTTCCTGCCTGACAGCAGGCACTTGGCGCTTAGAAAGTCGGAAGAAAGCAAAAAAAAGTCGTCTTTGCAGCTCTTACAAGTCATTTCTTCATCTACTGCATTTAACAGCAGTAAGTGATGCAAATGATTTCATTAATATTGGTTGAGTGAAAATTTCCACGAGGCTTTTTTGCAGAAAATGTTTTACCGGTATTGTGATCCCGGAAAATAAGATATTTTATTTAGCCCTGCGTTAAGGTAAGGCCCGCCAGACATATTGCAAGACTGTTCGCAGGATATGGTATAACCTGGGAGATTTTAGGTATGACCTACTGGGCAAAACTTAAGACCATAACACTTCAAGCATGATCCGCAAGATTAACGAATTTGAATCTTGAGATCGATGTCAAAGGCGGAAATCTTTTACATAGTTCAAGACGATTTTTGTCCGACTAATTTGTTAAATTTTTCCTTTTCAATCACCAGGCATCAGAAAGTAAGGGAAAGATGGAGATGGACGATGATGAAAAAACAGGTACTTGACACGTGGGAGAGTTTTTTGTTTTTCATTGATCGTTCAATATTTTTTATTAGTGATTCAACAGTTTTTAATTTGCAGCCAAGTTCATTGAAAAACAAATTGAAAGAGAATTAAAATTAGCAAGGAAAAGTGATCAGGTAGTACTACGGGGATTTTTTTTTCATTTGAATGAGAAAATAAAGAATAAATGTAGATTTTGCAGCGCAGTTCATCATAGCATAGCGTCTGAGTTCATTTAATAACCTAATAACCTTACACTGTGCATTTTTATTTTGTCTGTGTTTCAAATCTGGACTTTTGTATAAAGTGAGAGTTACAGTGTCGCATAACAGAGTTGAAATCTTTTTGCACGGATCGTACTTTTCAACTGTATCAAACCGTGACGATAAGGTCCTCGCTACCACCGCAAATATACAGATAACGTCCTACTGAACCCATACTTGCTCCCCAGCGACAGATACTCATGGAGCCTACAGTAAGGACAAATACGATTAAAACGTCATAAAAAGGGAAATTTTGCCTTATAGAAGTGAGGGATTCGGCCTTTGGGGCCGTGCAATTGTTGTGTAAAACGCATTCCCAACTGCAGCTTACAACTCCACGTACATTCACAGCCGTTCACATCGTTATTTATGTGTACATGTGCACTACACCATGAATAGCGCAATAAACCAACTAGTATACGTAGTAAAACTTGTTAAAAACAACTAATATTTCAAGCAAATTTACTGTGAAAGCTAGAAAAAAAGTATGATTACAGGTTGCCACGAAATTCACGAATGCTTACAAATTGGTGTCCATTTTCCTTCTTTAGGATCAAAATTTTCACCACTTTTACTAGCTTCTCTTCTACTCATTCATCCAACAGAATACAAGACTTGATGATCTGACGTTGGTCGACGTTGTTTTGAAACAGGCGTCTTGTTCATTACGTTGCGTAGGCCGGTCAATAGATAAGATCTAAAAATATTAAATATCAATAATTGACGTTTTAAGTCTTTTTGAAAAGTTCATATTGAGTAAATTGGCTGTTAAATCTTCTTGGTCAAATAATCTTACATGCATGATCTGTCCAAAACAATAATTTCCTCTTTTCCAACTCTATCAAAGAGAAATTCTGCCGATAAAAGATCAAATCTCACTTCTTTCATTACATCTTTTGCATGGTCCTATCAAGGAAAAATGTTATGTAAAAAGATTAGATAAAAAAATTTGTAAATAAGAGTTTTAAAGATAGAAAAGTTTTTGAAATTTTTAAAAAACTAGTAAAATAATCTCGACCCACTCCATGGAAACTTACCTGACGATTATCGGGATCAAATTTTATCCAAGCTAGTCAAATTATCATCAGAAATCAACATGTGTAAAAACATATACATGTAAGCATTCTGTCAACCATAGCTTCCATCACCAAAATATATGGAAAGAAAAAAAGGATAATAAAGTAATATTGCGGTAGCATGAAGGTAGTCGAAATGTCAGCCAACACCACAGTTTTTCTTAGGACTCTACTAACCTTGATGTTCTAAATATAAAAACATGTAAATATATCATTCATTCATCATTAAAGACTTACCCAAGCAATTGTCATCACTTAAATTTCGCTTAAAGAATTCACAACAGCCATCAAGCACACTGGAGACTTGAAGCAAGCTTGCAGCAGACAAAAGATTCTGTACATTTTCTTTGTTGATTTTCATTTCAGATGTATAAAAGAACTGAATTATTTGCACGAGACTATTGCCATCTATCTGATGCATAGTAATGCAATTTTTGTCGCATTCCGATAGTCCACCTGAAAAAGTTTTAAAGACATCAAGCTTTTTTACATTTCCTAACATAATTGACCAGATTTACTTCAACTGTGTACTTTGTGCTTCATGATAAAATTTATCAGTGAAGAAGTATTAATTGAATCTAGGACACTAGTTTATAAGGATTTAGTTCACTGTCAAATGTAACATTAAACAACCAATTGGTTGGACTTACACACCTGTAAACATGGCTTTAAAATAGGGACTTGCAGCTGAGAGTATTATTTTATGAGCTTTGATGGTTTTGTCATTCACAAGAAGTGTTATATCACATAGCTCATCATTTTCTCTTAAGCCATGAAACATTTTTCCAAGTTCTTTGAAATGGGCAACATCAGTATAACTGATACTTTCCACAGAAATGGGCATTGGCCTGTCTAACTTGGGAGAATATGAACGTGACATTTCTCTACGAAATCAAATAGGAGAGACATGAGTAAAACAAATGGTAAACTATAATTAATACTAATATCATTTGCCGTTATCAATTGTCATGTACAGCCATTTTGACGTTTCACACCTAGGTGAAAACATTCACATAACAACAATTTTAGTAATTTTCAATGAAATACGAACAGTTTTTGTGTTCGCTTAACATAATTGAGGAGATCAATTGTCTTTTAACTCAATTTGATTTAATGTAAATAAAACTAGTTACAGAATTATTCGAAATTTCCATTCAAATTTTTTGAAGAATGCACAATTTTTGAAAAGCAGCAACAGACGTACAATATCTATCAATCTTGAAAGACCTAACATATTATTGTTACTTCAATGATCATAAGATCAAATCACACAAAACAAACGACAATTTCGATGAGTCGACGACGATTACAAACTAAACAAAACTTAAAAACGCGTAAAAGAAAAAAATGTTACACACCTTTCAACAAACCAACGCGCTTTTCAACGCGCTTTTTTTACGACGCGCTTTTCAACGACGCTATTTGTGCGCGCACGTCCTGGGGCGAGACGCGTCGGCGTGGATTATAGATTTTGACTTAAAGGTCACCTGAAATGCTTGATATAACTTTGCTTCATATGAAAGCTTAGCTAATGATTAGCCTATTCGCCAAATTTGAAAGTCCAATGTTTTATATTTTATGAGATATGGTCTTCTGAATTCATGACATTGACGATTTCCGAAGGCCGAATTCAAATAGCGCGAGCGAATTTGAATTACAAGCTGGGGCGAGTTTGACGTAATAGTTGCCATTGCATGTTTTGCTCAGTGCAGCCAGTAGCAGTAAAATTAAATTTCGCCAATTTTCTTTTGTTGTTGCTGCTACTATTAATGCGTGTTTATCTCGATGTCTTCAACGGAGGAAGAAGTCGAATTTGACATCGAATATATTGCTACGGAGGTCCAGCCTTACATGTTTGAACCGCTAGCTAGTAGCAATAATGTTGAAACTGACGAAGATCTGTCTTCGTCGTCGTCAACGGACAGCTCATCTGACGAATATACTCACAGGATTGGAAATACAAACTGGTGCGTTGCTTTTTCATGATTAACATTTCAGATCGCGTCATAAAATTCTTTTCTTTATTTTAATGGCAGGTGTGAGTGTGGACACTGTGTGGCGATGACAACCGGCCGGGAAAGCATTTGTTGCCATGAGGAACCGAAGACAGACCCTAAAATTCATGGTGACCATTTATGCATCACAGAAGAACAAGAGTTTCACATGGTCTGCATCAACGAAACAGTCGTTAGAACAGCTATGGTTGTATTCGTTCACGATCACGGGGCAATACCAGACGCTCCAGAAACCGAGTCAGTTTCAGCTTTTTTGATATCTCCTCATATATCGACAATAATTTGCTTATGTTTGATTTTGTTTTGTTTCCCAGAACTTTGCGTTACACTGCCTATAGGCAATGGACAGCATGGATACATGGAAAGCTTGGCAAGAAATATCGACTTCCTATACCATCCTGTGCTGTTAAAGAAATAAGGAAAGCATTTCCTTCACCTTCTGGCATATATAAAGGCTTTGAATATGCACAGCATTTATAAATACCTGTGAGTGTTAGACTTCAGTTTAGTTAAGATTGAATCGTGAAGTATGTTGTTGCACTGCTGTTACTTTATCAACTTTTTCAACTCTACTAGTCAGTGGATCTGGTATTTTTTTGTTGTCTTTCTGTTGCAATTGCTTGGTTTAAACTGGAATTAGCATGTCTGCACCTTATCACTTCCTCCATTAGTTGTTTCACATAGTCTGTAAAACAGGGGGAGAAGAATTAAACTGAGAAGTGCAAGAAATGTACCATCAGTAGAACAATTATTTGGCTTTTGAGTGCTAAAACTTGTCCTTACCATAAGTACTATCAATTTTAACACCTTTGATGACTCCACATGACTGTCTTGATTTGGGGTGAGACACTTTCCACATTAATTCCCCATTTTCTTTTTTACGCCTTTGTTCTTTACTTCCATTTTCATTGAAATGGAGAGCAGCAATCAGTAATCTAAAAATTTAATTTTACTTTTTAGTGTGCCACCTTGCAATCATTTTCAGTATGAAAACAACATTGTTTATTGTTTGTTTACCTAGCTTGCATTGCCTTGTAAAAGAAATGTGTATGCTTTGGTGCATATAGTATAACAACTCGATGAAAACCTTCAAGAGCTGATGTTTGTTTCTCATGGCTGAGCTTCCCAATATCTTTCATGAGATACCTGCTTTCAACAATCGATGCCAATTCAGTAAATGCTCTAGATCCTTGGAAAAAAAGATAGAAAATTTTATGGTGCCCATTTATGTCATATGTTGACAAATAACACCACATTGTGGCATTGGCTGGCAATTGAAGTTTGTTGATAAAGAAAGTATCAATTACTGTAAATAACTATTATGTCTTATACCAGAGCATTTAGGATTAATTTGTACCTTTCTTTATCCATAAGCGAGGCTCAAGAGTACCATGCTCACATTTTGGAAATAATTCACTATGACCATCATGAATGTTGCAAATGTGATTCAGCAATGATAGCCATTTAGCCTTAAGTAGTTTCTCATCACCACCACTACTTGCAGCACACCAGTAGACATGGTTAGATATTGACTGTGCCCAATCAAGTAGCAATCTACATCCACTCTTCTTACCGGCTGCCATTACCTTTTTTTTGATACCTGTAGAAAAAAATAGACACTGTACATTGGTTGAAAAATTGTAATGCAAAACATAGCAATAATTGATCAAAATATCATGAAATTAAATGCAATTAGAAAAATTCTAAAACCTCTTAATCACTTGGTAATTTATGATTATAAAGATACTCTTTGATCAAATCAGGAAGTACTTTATTTTAAGACCCATTGCTGTACTTTGAGCAGCTTTTGGTAGACTTAATTTTACCTTTTGCCACATGCCAAACATCAAAATAGTGCTTCACTCCTGGCTGTTGGGTTTTCATGTATTTTTTAACTTGGCAATGCCTGTCTGTGATAAGATGACTCACTTGAAGATTGTGTGACTGAATAAGTTTAAAAGATCTTTTCAGTCCTTCCAATTCCATTGCCCTGAATTTGCAACTTCATTTGACTGTAATAGATATATTAATGTAAATAAAATCATACAGTGTTTGGGATATGTATGTCTGCAAGTATGCATGTATGTTGGTGTATATCACATGATTTAGTTACACACATTGTATTCATGTTGTATAAGTACATATTACACATTTCCTAAAATGTGTTTGCATACAATACTGTTTTGAATACAATACTATAAACTAATGAATTGAGCTAGTTACCTGAACTAATTGTGTGTCTAGAATTTTATTGCTTTCTAAATCCATGCAGCTGTATGAGCAATATTTTGCACAATAGCCTGGTGATAGGAAATCATCATTGTCGTTTTCATCTACGGATAAACTACCTTCCGTTTGAGTGCTTCTTGCATTTGTCGTGATAATTTCGGTTTCTGTCCCTGTGCAACGGAATAACATAATTAAGGAAACACTTTTCAAAATGTTTATTTTCCGCTGAGTTCATGTAAAAAACTAACCTTGAGACGTCACTTGTGCATTCGTTTGAGTGCGTTTGCTTTTTGCTTTGACTGGGATTTTTATATCAGATTGACACTTTACATGTCTGCGTTTCTACATCATCAAGCAACAGTTTAGGCTTTTGCACAAAACAAAACTGCATTGCATTCCCTTACCACTTTGTCAGTTTGTGTTCCATTGTCACTTAGGTTACATTTATCTCTTGAGTCCAGTTGTCCACTCAAAAAAAACGAACATGCTTTTGATGTATTTTCGTCCTCGTCAGGCTGTTCAATATTTTCCACGGAGTTCTCAAGAGCTTCGTTTATTATCTGAATTGTATATGCGTTTTTTTAAAGTAATGCATTATAATTACATTAAAAACTGCTTGGCTACAAGACTTTACCTCTAATTTCCTGCGCTTTGCATACGCGTTTCTAGTTGCCTCCGGTTTCCGTTTATCACCAACTTTCGACCTCGAATAGTCGAAGATCGTTGGTATTGCGTCTTTCTTTAACCTTAACCTGGTTGGTCGCCATCCTAAAGATTTCAGGAGTCCGGGGTTTTGGACAAAACAGCAGGCTTCAAAGTGTGCCGAACAGAGCTTTGACCTTTTCGAAGGATTCCAATCTTTCCTTTTCACCTTATCGACCCATGCTTGGCGTAAAGGATTTTAGCGGGAAACTGAAAACCCAACTTTTTCCGCCTTAGATTGGTTCTTAGAAGAACCGTTTTTGCAGTTAAATGCCACACAGTAAACCATCTTAAAATAGCCGATCAAAATCAAACTTTATTTATGAATTCATATTTGCCGCTTTCTCGCGCGAAATGTCAATGGCAACTATTACGTCACGCCGAGTACTTTCCGACGATAAACCGACGGAATATTTTTTACTTCTATTCAAAAAAAACACAAATTCACACGTTGATATCTCTTGAAATAATCGTGGGATTGTTTTCAAATTTTCTTTGAATAGTCTACGCAATATATACATTTTATATGTCAAATAAACAGAAATATGAATTTTGCATTTCAGGTGACCTTTAAAAAGCATGAAATACCGCTGCTTGCTGAAGCTTTAGGTTTGCCTTACCGATTCAAGTGCAAGCAAGGAACAGTTTGCACTGGATTGGAGGCTCTTTGCATAGCCCTTCGTCGTTTTGTTTATCCTTGCAGATACAGTGACTTGGTACCTCAATTTGGTAGATCTGTGCCTGAACTTAGCATGATTACCAATTCTGTGATAGATTTTATTTATGAAAGGCATGGGGAAAAAATAACAAATTGGAATCACGATCTACTGAGTCCCAATAACTTGAAAATTTATGCTGAAGCAATTCACCAGAAAGGAGGAGCTTTAGACAATTGTTTTGGTTTTATTGATGGCACAGTGAGGCCAATTTGCCGTCCAGATGACATGCAACGTTTACTATACAATGGTCATAAGAGGGTACATGCTATAAAGTTTCAATCGATTACTCTTCCTAATGGAATGATAGCCAATTTGTTTGTACCAGTTGGTAAGCACATCATTTGACTAATATCCTTATGTTTACTTTGAGTTTCATTTATTTTTTTTATTTTATAGAAGGAAAAAGGCACGATTCTGCTATGTTAGCCTCATCAGGGCTACTGCAGGATCTACAATTATATGCCTTTTACAATGATAAACCCATGTGCTTGTATGGTGATCCAGCCTACCCATTACGTATGCACCTACAGGCACCATATAGGAACAGGCAACTTACAGTCCACATGCAAGAATTTAACAAATCAATGAGTGCTGTAAGGATATCAGTTGAGTGGATTTTTGGGGACATAATAAACTATTTTAAGTTTCTTGATTTTAAAAAGATCTAAAAATCAGCCTTAGTTGTGTTGGAAAAATGTATATAGTGGCTTCATTGCTTAGAAATGCTCTGACCTGCTTGCACTCAAATACAACCAGCAAATTTTTTCAACTTGAACCACCTTCACTTCAAATGTACTTTTCCTAATTTTTTAAAAGCTGTTATTTAAAAAAAATTTCAAAAGCTTCATCATGTGATTATAAAGCCTATCGACAATAAATAAATAACTGTTTAAAGAAAACATATTGTCTACAAGTAACAGACATTGTTATCTCATTTCTCAACCAATTTAGCCAAAAGGGAAATCAAAGCTTGCCCTTGTTGTTGTTGTTGTTGTAGCAAAAGCAATTGATTTTGTTGCATTTTTGGTTCTGCTGTCTTTGCATTTCCATAAAACTCTCAAATTGCTTGTTTTGCTTTTCCATAAGTTGCTCCCTGCTTTCTTTTTCTGCTGCTATTTGTTGCCTCTGAAATTCCAGTCTTTCTCTTTCCAAAAGCAAACTGTCCTCTTTTACTTTTCTCTCTTTCTCAGCCTTCTCCTTTAGGAAATCTAAGGTTGAGTCCCCCCCTCTTCTTACTTTTTTCTTAACCGGACCCTCATCATTTTCTTCTCTCTGCTTGGTTTCTGCTAGATGCTCCATGGCTCTTTTTCGCATTTCTTCTGCAGCTAGTTTATCAGCATCAGTTTTCTTCCTTTCAGCAGCATTAGCTTCTGCAGCCACAACATCATTTGCCTCCTCTCTAGCATTAATTTCCTCTAGCAAGTCATCCAGCCCATCATGTTCTGGAGAAATTCCACTTGCAGCTCTTTCTTCTCTCTCCTTTTTACGGTAGTTGGCTATCAATTTTCGCATGCGATCTCTAACTGATCGCTGATCTACTCGAAAGCATAGATGGTCATGAAATTCCAACTTTCTGGCAATGCTGTCCCACAACTTTCCTCTTTCAATAGATTTCTTTCTTGTCTCAAAGATTTGTGACACCACTACCTCTTTGCACAATTCAATGTCATGTTTTGCAGTCCATTTCATCACAAAGCCAATTCTAAACAGAATTTAGACATGATGAGTAGGAATCGAGCAATATACAAAGTCAATTCTCTTAAGTAGAACCTGAATGAAAAGGGTTAAAAGTACTAGTATAATATGCTGACATATCTAATTCAGTATAGATTAGAATTATTTGGATGTATAATATTTCATACATGTTTTATTACTTTGCCGACTTAACAGTTCACAGACTTAAAAGTTAAAGTTCACAGAGTGTCTAATGCACATTAAATACCCAAAACTTTGTAAGGGCTTTATTCCTTCCCATACTTGAAAAAAACAACATGATAGCAGCAAAGAATACATGCTTTGTTATTGATTTGATTAAAATTATCAATATCTACTGATATCCTAGGATTTTATGCCCTTTCTCACCAAAGAAAAAAAGTTTAACTTACGGTGAACTTCTTGAGTGTGATGCTTCAGAAGTCATACTTGAAGTAAGAATTGCCTATTACAAATAAAATTTGAGTTTACAAGATGTCTTTGAGATTATATTTTATTATAAATTTTTTTACCAAATGTGTATGGCTTGGCAGTTAGGCATTTTATCGTTTGACAGAGGGAAAGCACATTTTCACTTACCAGAGAAGCAGAAATAGGACTTTTCAACCTTTTTATTTTCTCCAATTCGCAAGATGGTCTTCCACTCTACGACGACTCCAAAACAAGTAAAAACGCCGCGTCGTACGCGTGCAAAAAAATAAACGACGCTTGCGCATGCGCATTTGTCTTAATTGTACTTCCGTTCGCGTTGTTGACAAGCGCGTCGTGAAATCTTAAGGTCCCTAATATGTGGTGGCAAACATTTAAATCGTGGAAGCAAACATTTAAATCGTGGATGCAAACTTTGAAATGTGGAAGCAAACATTTAAATCGTGGAAGCATACAAAACCATTCAAAACCTACTTAATAAGATATAACCATAGATATAACTATATCTATGGATATAACTATGACTCATATCAAAAATGGCGGACAACTTAAATGAAATAGTTAGGCGTGTTGTGTCGTCTCTTCAAAATTTACCGGACACTGCTTCCAGCAATACCCCAAGCAGAAGCGATGATAGTACTAGTAGCAGGTCCTTTGGCTCAGTTGAAGAAGAAATCGGCCAAAGATTCCAAATTCCTCGTGTGTCGTCGGGAATTGCTAATAGGATTCTGAAATAATCCTAGTGAAAGAGGTCGGTTTATCCCTTACACTACAAAACAAAAAGGGAAATACAAAGCCAAACCTGCTGCAGAGTTGGTTGTAAAAGACGTGTGTCTACTACCTAATCCAGATTGGGATCAAGTCCCTCGGCGACAAGTAAAGGAAAACCTCGTGAAAAGAAGTTTATTTGTTGACGCATGGAGTCTTGATAAATCGTGGTCAGAAGATCAATTACGAGCGGAATTACACAGTATTTTCAAGAAGCATATTACAGGACCAAACACGTAAGCTATTGAAGTATGTAGTATTCAATTTTGTATCTTGCAGTGGAATTGAATGGGTTAAATTACTTAAATACAATTAATTTTTTCCAAGCTTTGAGTTTGTAAAGTCTGTCGGAAATGGCATCGCCCAATTAAAACTGCCACAAGGGCAAGAAGCAAATTTATGCCAAAATAATACGACACATTAGTGGGACTGGACCAATTTATATCCGCTCTCTAGTAAAGATTGACAGTGATGAGGTACTGCAACTCTTCATTATATGCCTTAAGATTACACACTGTCCACATTATGATTGTAGATTAATTGCTAGTTCAGTTAAGCTCTAGCGATTACAAAATCATCCATTTACTATGATGAGTTTTATTCAGGATGATGACATTGTTGAATTGAGTGATAATGTGAATAATTTTGTCAGAAGTAGTGATATAAGATCGTATGTATCACGCAATTTGGAGTCCAATCAAAGGCAAAGCAGTGAGCAATATGTTACTGTTATTCCAACTACCACTCCATCGCTCCCAATTGCTTGTGAGACAGGTGAAACTTCCGATGGCATAAGAAGTTCTTTAAATCTCTGTAGCATTGAAAAGCAGAAACTAGATGAAATGTTCCCAAATTGTCCTGCTGAAGTGTTTGCACAAGCTGTAAATTGTACAACACTTGATCTGGCTGTGGACTATGTTATAAGTCATATACCTTCCAAGTCAGGTAATTATTTCCAGGTAGTTAAGAAAGTTTACATAGTCAACAAATTTGGATAAAGTAATGTAAATTTTCACATTTTTTTCAGATGAACAACAATTTGATGGATCTAAAATTGAGGAGGATGCATGTTTAAAAGACCTATTATACTCTCTACAACCCATCCCTGGGACTCCTACACGCTTGACAGTCAGCAGATCATCAATTTTTGCTGATAGTGTGTCATTTTTCAAACACAGACATTTTGATTTTAAGAAACCATTGAAGGTCACATTTGAAGACGAATCAGCAATTGATGGTGTTGGCTTTAAACGAGAGTTCTTCACTTTACTGTTGCGTGAACTCTCCATCAGCTACTCCTCTTCTTTTTGAAGGAAGAGATGGAATTTTTTTACCAATGCACAATACAGATGCTCTTAGATCAAATCTGTATAAGGTGGCTGGACGGATTATTGCAGCATCAATAGTTCATGGTGGTCCTGGTTTTCCATATTTTCCAAAGGTTTTGTATGCATATTTCCTCAACCCTCAGCCTAATGACGTGGTGGATCACCTCCGTCCAGAGGATGTTGTTGATGCTGAATATGTGGATGTCTTGAAAAAGGTGATTAGAAAAGTAATCAATTTTTTTGTGCTCTTACAACTATGAAAATTAACTTTGGCTTATACTTTTAAAAGCTAGATGCTTTTGAAGAAGAAAACAATGAAACCTTGGCTTCTGAAATTCAACCTTTGTTAGTTGAGTCAGGTTTTCCTCATCCCGTCAACATTGATAATCGTTTTCAAGCTATTATGTCCTTGTGTCTGCATGGAGTCATCTTATCCAGGAAGGCTGAAATTGATCAATTGATGATCGGCTTATGCCCACTTCTTGACGTAATCAGAAGACATCCAGACAAGATGGAAACTTTATTTGTGGCTGGTACTTGCCCACCTTTGACACTCCATGATTTTTTATCTGTTGTTCAGTTTGATAATGTTGAGATTCGCATCAAATAGTTTTTCACTCGGTATCTTTCATCACAAAGTATGTTATATTTTTTTAGAATTTGTACATGTTGTTGTTTTGGCAACATTCTTTAAATCATGATGTTAATATACTTTAATTATTACAGGTTCTAGAATTCCTAGTGTTTTGATGTTTTCAACTGGTTGCAAATCCTTACCTCCAATGGGTTTTCATCCATCGAGTATAACTATTCTTCAAAATACATTCATTTACCCCAATGCTAACACATGTCCATTGGAATTGGAATTACCTGGTGAGGTAAAAAACTATGAAGAGTTTGAAAGAAATATGGTCTCAGCCTTGAATTTCCAAGAAGGTTTTGGAATTGTATAGAGGGTATATAAAACAGAACTAAGTTTTGTTAGATTTGAAACTGTATGTTGACTTTTACACTATTAGTGCTGAACTTAAAAGTTACTATATCTATTGCATTTTAAATGCTTCTTAACAAAGTCTTGTATTGGATATGATCAGCTCAGTCATTTTAGTAGTAAATATATCTAACTATGTTGCTGAATGTTGTCCAATACAACTAAAAAAGCTATCAGTCCATCTTGGTCTCCTGCCCCCCTTAGTCTCTGAGCAATATTATTTAGGTGTTCAACATGATTTTCTGTTAAACATACTGTTGAAGATGGCACTCTAACACGATAATTTGACTGCAATTCTGAAACTGGGCCATCTTCTTCAACTCCATACTCATTCCAATCTATTTGTAACCCATCTCGATGCTAGTCACAGCACTAAAATCACTATTTTGATTAGCAACAATTCCTTGTACCCAAAGCTGCCTTGGGCTAAGATTTCCCTCGGTGCTCAAAGAATGGCAATTCCACAATTCACTTAATTTCTGCAGTGCATTGTTAATGAGTGGGATGTACACCAAATGTAATGCAATCAAATGAATTTCATTATTAGTGTCTAGAATTAGAGTTTCAAGGTATGCAAAAATATTGATAAAACGACTACACACAATTGAGTTAACTTCACGCCAAAGTCGTTCAATGCTGGTTGTGAACAGATGTACCTGTTATGCAGCTGCCTCTATTCAGACCACGATATTGAAGCATAAATCGAGCAACTTCAATATTCTCTAACCCTAAATCAGTACGCACGTGAAGGTAAGTTGTACTGATTAACAGCATCCTAAAGCATTCCATTACAGTAGATGCTTGGTTGTTTGTTGATGCTCTTAAGAAGACAATCATTCTAGAATACCCATCTATGCCACCATGAATTACAATACGATACGGTTGAATAAGTTTGTGATTCCCATCCAAATGCCTACAAAAAATTTTTAACCCTTTTGACATGTGCCAATAAACTAACATGATTTTCAATGACTACAAAAGAAAGATAGAGTTTTATTTTACCACCAGTTTTCCCTTAATGAATATTTCACATACCATACAGGGGCGGATCCAGCTTCTGGGCTGACCGTGGCCCTGTGCCGTAGCGAGCACCTTCCGGTATGAGCCACATAGGGGTCTGGGGCATGCTCCCCAGAAAATTTTGAAATCTAGACTCTTGAAAAAGCGAATTCCGCATTTTTCATAGAATATAACAATATTTTAGTTATAATCTCATCTAACAAAATTCTAATATCGCCATTTTTAATTCTGTTCGGATAGAAAAATAAAAATTTTACTTACCTTGTGGTGTCTGATAAAATCAACGCAGTTTCCATTTTCTGTAATCACAGGATTGTTGCCGCAGGAGTGAGAGAAAGATGAAGCATGTTATTTTTGCAGTGAATAACCAAAAGACAGTTCACTACAAAAATATAATTCCCCATCTTTGTTGCCCCATCAAATGGTCTTTTTCGAAAAGCAGCAAGGATGCCTTTGCTAACAGCCATGGCAAGATTAATAAAAGCAATGTTCAAAGGTGATCTTCTTCCAACAGCAACAAAGATGTTTATCCAACAACCGTAAAGATGGCAAGATTAATAAAAGCAATGTTCAAAGGTGATCTTCTTCCAACAGCAACAAAGATGTTTATCCAACAACCGTAAAGATGGCAAGATTAATAAAAGCAACGTTCAAAGGTGATCTTCTTCCAACAGCAACAAAGATGTTTATCCAACAAACGTAAAGATGGCAAGATTAATAAAAGCAATGTTCAAAGGTGATCTTCTTCCAACAGCAACAAAGATGTTTATTCAACAATGGTAAAGATGGCAAGATTAATAAAAGCAATGTTCAAAGGTGATCTTCTTCCAACAGCAGCAAAGATGTTTATCCAACAATGGTAAAGATGGCAAGATTAATAAAAGCAATGTTCAAAGGTGGTCCTCTAAAAACAAAGTAACAAAATGATTTTTGGTGTATGGGATTTTTTGATCTACCAAATAAGAAGGTGGCATCGCAGCACAATGAAAGATATGGACATAGTCAATTGCACTCCCATAAACAAAATCTCTTGGATATATTGTACAATTGAACATTTTAGCCAACGAATCGCAATTTCCTTTCACTTCAGCATCATTAGTAATGGGGTAGTATGACTGAATAGCACACTGGATTACTGTGGACAAAGCAAACATACACATCAAGGATGAAAAGGTGTAATTATTGGCTGTTTCCACTGCTTCTTGTAAAACTGCTGCAATTTCATTCGCATTTTCTAAAGAGGTTAGAGCTGCATCGGATATACACATGGCAAAGGCATTTTTAAGTGAAGTGAACGCACCATTTTTATGCTGGGACTCGATGACAGGATGGGTAGAATAGTATTTTGCATTTTCAAACATTTCAACACTAGTTAGGAATCTCAAGTAAATAGAGAGAGTCTCATTCCCAACTAATGCAATAGAACATGCATTGAACAGACAATTCCCATTGGCTAAAGTACTAAAAGAAAAATTAGTATTTAAGTATTAAGCTGCTTTGTTATACCAAGCTATACCTGGAAACAAATCTGCTAGACTGACTCTGACATTAGAATGAATAAGGGTAACCAATACAGTTAAAGATAGACTAATATTATAATATTGAAATTGAGAAAGTTATTTTGTCTTTGTGTTAATTTGGTAACATCATGATAAAGTCAAAGTCACAGGCAGGTAGTCTAAGATTTGGAACTAGTCTAGGCATGTCGAACAGGATTCAGACGACTTATTGATTCCATCTACTATAGCATCAATATTCTATATAACCCGTGAAAGAAAGTAACAGTTATTCAAAATGATATGTTAGTTTCTTTAACCAGGGGATAACATAAAATGCCAGGAAAACAAGGATAATACATTATTGATTGGGTTAAATTTTAAAAAGGACTAGCTTTGACTAATATTGAAGTAAAACATTTTTTTTAACAGCCAGTAACAATTAAAATCATTTAGGTCGTACATTAGACAGACTGAGTATGCAAAATAATGACAGCTTTAGACATATATTTTACATGATACACTAAATATGAATAGCTGAAAATTAACGGATTGATCATATATTTCAGGCCAAGATGTCAAACGTAAATAAAAATATAAATTAATACCCCAATACATGTAAATTCTTACCTAACAGGGACATTGGGTCCTGATCTTTCAATTTGGCTTTCAGGGAACTGCATTTTTGAAAATAAACAAGTTCGTAGCATAATATCGCCAGTAGAATTTATACGACGAAGCCTTTCCTCGTTGATTATTGTAACACAGTGTTGTCTCAAGTTAGACAATTCACCAGAAATAATTTCGCAAGCGTTCTCTTGCTGAAAGGTTTGGACGAGCTTTTCAAGAACATCGATCTTTTTAGAAGTTTCCATTGATCCTAATCGCTGAGTAGAACTAGAAGTAGCGTTTTTTCAAGTCGACAAGAACCGAGCTATTGCATATGACTTGTATTTATTGCGCAATCAAAATACCTTCACCGTGGCTCACCGTGGCGCACATGACCAAAACGTTCCCTGTGATTGGCTTGCAACGCTGCACTGTGGCTGAAGGTTACTATATTTAGCAACTATTGCGAAATTTTTGAACGCTGACCGTGGCTCTTCATTCTGAGATTGCAGGTTCGAATCAGTGAACTCGACATTTGAATAACTGGAATGATAACCGAAGCCAAAAATTAAAGCCAAAAAAATATTTGTCGTCATCATTCGTCATTACACGTCAGGCTCTAGTCTCTCGCGTGTTCATTTTAATTTTTTAAATCATTTGTCCCTTGGTAATGGTAGAGTTCGGATCTTGATCAGAGCGTAAAAATAACGAAATTTTTGGAATGAAAAGGTTCACGGAAAGTGAATCAAAGTGACAAATCGAGAAGCAGGGTGAGGTGAACTTAGTCGATCTGCTTTTACGCTGCGGTTTTCCTTTAAAACATATCAAAGTCTTTACGGTAAATGGTTTGAACCCGGGAGTATCGTTACATGTTTGTAAATGTAGATCGTCTAGGTTGGTATAGTCTTGAGAAGGACTGTTTTTGTTGGACAAAGAGAGAAGGACAATCTTAGCGATGACTACTTAGAGTCATTTTTTTGACTCTGAAGATGACTGCCGCTAAGATTGTCGAAACGTCAGTCAACAACAACAAAAACAGTCCTTCTCAGGACTATACCAACCTGGACGATCTACATTTACAAACATGCAAAGTCTTTAAGATATTCAATTATTGATATCGAGATGACAACCATTTAGTATTTTAAGCACTATCAAAATCGATGAAAGATACAATCGCTCTGTAAAAAGTAAAATGCGAGTTATAGACTCAACATTTTTTATGAACCTGGATATTCATGTTTCTTTTTTCTTCGGAAAAACAGATCTTTAAATCCATTGAAACGACAAAAAAAGGCAAACACTGTCTGACACCGTTTGAAAATTTACCTTCCGATGTAAGAAAAATTTTTGCTTGAATATTTTCTCGTCATATTTTCTATTGTATTGTCTTTTTAGCAAACAGTGTAATTTTCAGTTGGCTTTTCCTCGGTACAAGTTGTAAGTTACAACGAACACACTGTAGTAAAGTTTCAGCTGTAAAAAATAACCTTTTGCGAAGAGTTGGCCTCGTGTGTTGTTTGTCGTGATGTTGTTTATATGTTTATGCTTTTGCAATTTGTATTCAAATTTATATTGGCCGTGTATGTTTGGCACTCAGGGGAATGATACTGACGTACAAACCGCGTGAATATTCGACTTTGAAGGACTGGAACTGACGTACAAACCGCGCAAGAGACTAGGACTTTGGCTTCAACTTTTTATCTATAAAATGTATTGTCGTTATCATTCCAGATATATGGAGTTCATAGGTTCGAATTTACGAACATATTCCGAGCATATTCATGGCGTATTCGGCAAGATTCGAGACGCTTTCGGTGATTTTACAGTTCAGAGTTTAACTGGATGATAATACTATTTTAACAAGACGTTTAATTTGAAGTTTTTTTTCTGTTAACACAAATTTTTGAGAAAAAAATTACAAAATTCATTCAATTTTTGCTTTTGATCGAATTTTGCTGTATTTGAGCAAAATTTTTAATCATGAAAAAGTCAACCATGGAAAAACTTAAATGGCAGAATTCTGACCGTGGCTCAAGCCACTTTCGCCATCGTCTAGATCCGCCCCTGCCATAACGCATTTGGACAAGGAACGGAATAGCGAAGTCATTTTTTAAAAATGCGTCGCTAAATATGGCGTTTTTATGTGTCGAAATTTTTAGCGAAAATTTGTTTCAGTGATTGCTTGCCATATTTGTTAATTTAAATTTAATTTTTTTAATAAACAGAAATTGGTCATCTACATGTCGTTGGTTTGGACTTCTGTCTTTATTGGCTTAGGTATGTAAGGTGTGTTTTATGTTTCAAATAGGTTAAGGCAGTTGCGTAACTACGTTAATACTTATCTTGGAAGTCAGTGAGATATACTTAAAAAAGTCGATCTTGAATTGCGACGTTGTGTATATTTCGAATTTACTGCATGACTTGCATTACAGTATAAAGTTGCGCACACATCTGCCTCGGTAAGAAACATTTTACGAGAAATAAAGTGCACTATTACTGTCCGTGAAGAAAGCATTAGTTGTGGAGTGCTTTAGAACAATATGAGAGTCATGTAAGACATCAATTTGTTGACTTTTATGTAATCGTCATGAAATTTCAAATACGAAATGAATGTTCATTCCGCAAACTTGCCAAAAACTGGACTTGTTCATCAATTGATGCAAACTGTACAACGTAAATATTTATCGAACACCGTTGCATTTTACTGCTCGTTGCCTTATTATTTAATTAGGTGGAATTTTGCGCTAAAAAATATCGCAAACAAAGCATTTTATTCTTTCGAACACATGAGCTTCGCATATGTTATAAAGAATCAAAAAATACGACATAACCAAAACAAGGAAAGTTAATCATGAGTGATTTTGTAAATTTTTAAGTTGTATACTGCAAAGTAAAAAAAGAATGTGATGCATGAATGACGAATGTGATTGTGGCGTGCCAAATGTCCTTGTTATGTATACGCTATGTAAGTGCAAATACGAAATTTAGGTTTATTTACGTCTAAGGCTATTCGTCAAGAAACAAACTGCTTTGATAAGCACTTCTCGAAGTGAATTTCAGTTAAGCATTTTTTGAAACGCCAACAGGGGCGGATTTAGGGAGTGGCGCGCCCTCCCTTGCTAGAAAAAAACCCCCCCAAAAATTGAATAATAATAAAAAAAGACAGGATAGTTTCCGTTTTCAATTAAATTCAAAGAGCTCGGCCCTCTTTTTCATAATCTCCTGGATCGCCCCTGTACAAGGTTCGATACTAAGCATTCTTGAAACTAATTTAATTGCCATACTTAGAAACATTTTTTCTGAGAAACTTTGCACTATCCATTAATCTCTACTTCATTTAGTTACAACAAAATTTGCGGACTTTTTCAATATTGCGTTCAAAAGCTTCCAAATGCAAAAAACAGAGAAATTTGCTTTCTTGTTCAATTGAAAAATTACAAACTTAAAGGTTCTTTATTAGAAAATTTTATTCATTAGAGTTTTTCTATCAAAGCAGCATTAGCTTGTTCATTCTGTTAATGTGCGGTAGGCGAGAGCACGGAAAATAACAATTTGAAATATCCCCCCATATCAACTACCTAGGTAACTATGCTAGCATAAATAGTTGCCACGGTAGAATGTGAGGTGTGGGTTGCAATTAATCATTTTAATAACATTCATTGCAAGGCTCTAAATATGGTGGAAGTTAGTCGTTTGTAAAAAACCTATTTGGTATGCACCACACACATTGATTCAAGTTGTAATTGAAATTTTTTAGATTCAAAGATGATATTGAAATCGAAACCAAAAAAAGAATTAAAAAGTCCAGCTATGTTAATATGGATCGTTTCATACACAGGTCATCAAAGACCTGTGGTACACATCAGAACAGTCCCCCATATAAAATTAGAAGCAACAAAAACTTCCAAAGAAATGCAAGGAAAGAATGATGTCTTTTTGAACATCACAACAAAATTTACAACAAAAACAAAAACGCTTGTATTTCTACAAGTGTTTTTGGCTCCACATGAACTACTTATGAATCATGTGACGATACTTCCTTCAGGTAAGTTAGCCTTATCAGGAATTTAAGTTGAATGATTTTGCTGCGAAAATTATGATCTAAAATTATGATCTTTCCTTATCTTTTGATAAGTGCTTTAGGCAATTTACTAAACAGTATAGTTGTTACAATCTATTGATAAAACTTAGAGACGTATTTTGATGCAAATAGTATTAGTAATATTTTTGAAATGCAGGAATTCTTACCTGAATAATTAGAACTTGAGGATACTTTTATATTAGTATTACTTTATTATCTAAATATCTGCACAAATGCAAAATAAACTTACACGTAAACATAGGCCTATAGGAACAGATTTAAATTTTGGAGGGGTGAAAATGAATTAAGTGGCTGACTTGATAAGATGGTCTCTTTCGTCTTCAAGTATAACTCTGTACAAACGCAGCACTTGTAGAAAGTTAAGAAGTGATCTTTATTGTTTAGTTGTATTTCATTACAACTCATTCTATAATTAATGCAACAAGCAAGTGTCGCAACTTATATAAGAAAATAAAAGGTAATTGTAATTCGAGATTGTAAACTTATGAAAGAACGGAAATAGGAACTTATAAAAAAATTTTATTTGTTGTCACATGTTGAAAGTCAGGCTTCTTTTGTCACTGGCTTTGAATGTAAAAGCTTGAAATGTTTATCTGTGATGTAGAATAGTTCTATCGGAAGAGTTATAAGCAAAATTGAAAATTGTGTGTTGACTGTGCATACAAATCGGATAGCATACAGTCCCAAAAACGAATCGGCAGATGCATAACTGCTTTGTGTTAACGCAACATGATTCTAAAGGCGTATAAAACAGGATGGTGGGGTGGTGGGGGTGGTGGTGCAACTGAGAGGCCTATAGCCCCCTAAAATTTAGGTAAACATTGACATAATAAAACGCATCTTAATTTATTGTAACATTTTATTGCAGTTTCTGTCGCAATTCATAAATATTGTATATACTTTCTATCTTATTTGGTTTAATTCTGTAGAAAATAATGTCAGAATAATCACCTAAAGCCTTACGTGATTAAACGGCGAATAATCCCATCCGTTTGGACTAATGATCCGTCTAACAGATCATACGTCTAAGTATAAACACGAGACGAACTTTCTATTAATAAACCACACAAAGTCCAATTCTGCCTTTGGAAGATTTTGGAGCGAGTTAAGAATTATTTTTTCCGTAGTTTGTCCTCATTCCACATTTATATTCACAGAAGGATGATGCGTCAAGTCAAAATACCCATGCAAATTCGTCTAAGTACACAAACTATTCAAATAATTCCTACGCATCTTGATGGACGATCTGTAAGTTTGCGCGTATATACACACAGACGAACTTGAAGACGAACTATGTTTTGCTTGCTCAAATTTGTCCAAATAGATAATCAGTCTTTAGCATAAATCTGGCCAAGCAGTAACTTCTTTACACCACTTTCAGAAAGCCACTGGCCTAATCCGATGATTGACTCTTCAAGAATAAAAACGTACATTATACCTAGGCACAAAACTCAGACAGATTATTTTAATCTTACTAATATTGTTCTAGAATACGTTGCTTGCAATGAGTATCACAAAACGTTCTGGTTATAAAAAGGGTCGAAATACTCTTCAACAATTTAGCCAGCCCCAACTCCCCCCAATTTAAATCTGTTACTAAGAATGTGATTTGATGCAGCTTGCAAATTTTCACTCTCTGAAGAGTTAAAAATGGGCCGATGTCAGCAGTACTCTTAAATTGGTGTAAAGAGGTTCATGAGCTTTGCCGTAAAACATTGACTAAGACGAAAATGTTCATGTTGTTGAAAAACGTGCTAATTCAAGCATTATCGACGTGTTCATAATGTTTAAATTGTGCATGATTTGTTCTTGTTAGCGGTTTTCTGACAGCATTGATATATAGTTATTCTTTTGGGCAATTTCTACTTTATTCTGGGAGTTCCTAAATTTTGTCTGATTGGTAAATTGCATAACAATTTGCTTGCTGTATAGAATCTAAAACAAGTTCTTTAACTTTTCATAACAGCTATACATTTTCTTGGTCAAATCAGAGCTCTAGTTCATTCTCATCAAGGTCTATCAATTCAAATCATTGCTTTTGGGTACAACACTTTTTTCCAAAAGGCATCAAGCACTACAATTCTGAAAGAACCCCTTGTCTCACAACGGTTAATTAGAAAGTATGATTTTGGAGAGCCATTTTAGCCACAAGTCATGCTCCCATATGGGCAAGGCCTTGGGTGATTTTTTCATTATTCTTGGCGACAAAGTTTTAACGAAAAAGATAGGTTGTATACCGACAATTAGACATCTTTTTGAATTTCAACTGCAGCTGCATTGACATGATGAGCCATAAATGCGCTCCGCTGTATGTTTGTCCATGATTCAAGTTATGGAAAGAATATAGGGAATGAGGTGCATTATATTTTATCAATGTTAACCTACACTTTTTCGGGGAGCTAAGCCCCTATATAAATTTTAGGGAGCTAAAGCTCCCTTAGCCCCTCCGCTTCCTACGCCTATACACACATATACACATCTATACACATATAATGGTTATCAACTAAGAAACAGTTTAATTCGTGCATATTATTTATCATATGGGGTTATAATTAAGGGTGCATGCAAATGACTGTTTTACATTTCATTCTCGTTGTATGAAGACAAACTTTTACCTCAGGGAAACTCGAATACAAAGGTTGCTATTTTAGCTAAATACTATTGTACCTATTCTGTTCTTGCTCATTTCACGAATTGTGTCAATACGATGTCTTATTTTGTTGGTCTTGACATCGAGTTGTATTATCATTAACTTTTAAAAAGAAGTCATTGTGGAAAATGATGTTGCGAGTTTCTCTTTGTTTTCTTGCTTAGGTTGGCCTTGATTCAGATGATTTGGAATGCCACACAAGCTATCGTAATCTTCTCACAATACTTCCGGATGGTCCCGAAGTCATAGAGAGAGCTTACGAGGCTGTCGAGAAGAAAGTTGGAGAGGAGGAAAAATATGTTCAAGTGTGGTTACGTTATCAATCCTTGTGGGACATGGAAACTGGTCTCATTTATAGCAAACTTGATAATAGTCTAGAGAGATGGATCATTCTACTGAGGAATATCAGGTACGTAGCTGATTTAGAATAGAACAAATGATATATTGATTTTTAATATGATGTGTTATACGTAAGTTGTAAATTTGTTAATTTCTACTTTTAGAAAGTCCCGTGTTAAATTTGATACACAAGAAACAAGAAAGGAATTTGGACCTATTGTTATTGACTTCCAACAGGTATGTTAAAATTTAAGAAAGAATTCGTGATTCATTGCGACGTTTACTTTGCTTGTAATATAATGCATGGTTTAACTCCTGTTCTTTTAATAATTATCTCTATGGTTCAATTTCTGTTCTACCAATAATTATATTTATGATTTCACAACTGTTTTGTCTGTGATGTTTATGGTTCAACCCTTATTCAGTTAATAATGATATTCATGAATGGTTCAATTCCCTCAACATACCCAATATTGTGTTCACATTTAATTTGTTTGTTGTAAACAATCGTATGTAATTCGACTCCTTACATTTTTTTTTAGGTTCAATCTAAAGTAAATCTTAAGTATGACAGTTGGATCCATGCTTGGCAAGAATATGAATGATTTTTATGGAACAATTACCAAGGGTTTGTACAATTATCTCTAGGAAAGTTTATTATAGACTATACACAGGTTGAATTCTTTGATAAATTATTGTATTGTAAATATTGCTTTATTTTTGATCAACTATACAAACCTCTTATTCATTGTCGACGTCCCTAGCAGTTAGCTTTCTGAAATCAGTTCTGAAAAGGATCGTCTTTTTTTCGCAGAGAATGAAATAAAATTGCGTTTCATCTTCATAGAGCCGTACAGATTTGGAACAACATTCTGTCGAAGTATCATCAACATCAGATACCGTCAGCTTTATTACTTTTGTTCAATCTTTAAAATGTAAACTGAAAAAGTGGGAAAAAGTTATGGAGGCAAGTGGATCTTGTTATTTTATCTTTTTGTTTAGATAATTTCTGGTTAATGAACTCGTTCCACCCCTATTATCTTGTGAAGTCCACCCCTGTTGTCTTGTGAAGTCCACCCCTGTTGTCTTGTGAAGTCCACCCCTGTTATGTTGTTAGTCCACCCCTTTCATCTTGTTAAGTCCCCTCCTTTTATCTTATTTCATAAATAAAGTTGTTTAAAACATTTATTTTCTCTTATCCATTCTACCCATCTCAACAAGTTATGACTTTCTGACTTCATTTCCATGCCACACAAGTGCTTACTTATTCACTCTTAATATTTATTTATATCATGATAGGTTTACAAAAACGGTTAGCTCATTCTAGAAGGGCAAAGATTCCAGTTTCCATCACAATGGTTGTACGACAACGTAGAGGGCGAATGGGGAGCATTCAATGATATCTTTAATCGTAAAGATATATCTATTCAAAAAGAGGTAAAATATGCAATATACATTTATGGCTATTTAAAATACATTATTTTTTGGCCACTGAAGAACAATATGGTGTATTGTATTTGTTGACGATGACACGATTCTCTTTGCCAAAGGTGTCAATGTTGCAAGTGAAGATCATTGCTGAAGATCAAGCTGTTGAAGAAAGAACAACAGAATTGCTGAATGACTGGGATAAAGGCAAACCTATTGAAGGTAGTACTCGACCGGATGCTGCTCTCAAATCTCTTGCTGTTTACGAAGGAAAGCTCAATCGATTGAAAGATGATAGAAGTAATGTTGCAAAAGCTAAGGAAGCCTTAGAGTTAATGGAACAAGGTATGGTTTGTTTCTTTTATGTATTTATAGCATGCTAGAGAAAGTCGTTGAACTTTCTCACTGCATATACTGTCAATAATTAATTCAACGCTGTTTTGGTGCTCAGACTTGGTGAGTAGGTTCAATTGCAAAGTTTGTATTTTATCAGTTTATATCATCTTTGCACTGTATTTTTCCTACTATATCCTCATTATCCTGCATTATGAAATGTGTCATATTTGTACCGTGTTCTTCCTAATAGGTATCTTGCATGACAAAGTCGTAAAAATGCGTAATGTAAATGTTTCATCTATGTCACTATAGTGATTCATATTGTTTAACATCAGGTGTTACAATGATCAGCGATGACCGTGTCCAGGTTTCATTGGAAGAGTTGCAAGATCTTAAAGGAGTTTGGAACGAGTTGTTGAAGATTTGGGAGAAGATTGATGAAATGAAAGAGCAACCTTGGTTGTCAGTACAACCGCGCAAGGTAGATCACTTGCAATATAATATGATTTGAATTTAATGATAATGATTGACTTTGCACTTGTGGTAATGTTGTGCTTTTATGACTTTTTAACGTTTCTACTCCAAATATACGTTTGTAATATTGCATATGTAGATATGTAGATGTTTAATGTATGTTTAAAGTACGCATGCTTTTTCATTTAAATTTAGATACGTCAATCTCTTGATGCTTTGTTGAATCAACTAAAGAATTTCCCTACTCTTCTTAAACAGTATTCATCTTATGAATACGTACAGAAACTACTCAAAGGTTACATGAAGGTATGAGGATTACATTGTTGTTGAATAACATACATCTCGCTGCTTCGCTTGACATGTTTCACATTCGACCTAACATCTTTTAAGGCAAATGTTCACATTGTTGAGTTAAAATCCGAAGCCCTCAAGGAACGTCATTGGAAACATTTGATGAAACAACTTCGTGTAAAATGGATTATCAATGATCTAACTCTTGGTGCTGTTTGGGATGTTGATCTCCTTAAGAATGAAGCTCTACTTAGAGATGTTATGTTAGTTGCTCAAGGAGAGATGGCTTTGGAAGAATTTCTTAAACAGGTTTGTTCAATTGTCCAATCCTATTGCTAAGTGCAAAATATCAAAAAACTCTTACGAGTATTTTGGGATTTATGCAGATAAAAAATAGGTTAATTTGATATATATTAGGATAATTGTGTTTTGTGTTTTCTGTGTACACAAGTGCATTTGTATATTGTATGAAGAATTAGCATAAGAAATGTGTCAATAAATATACATTATATTCAACTAGTTATTTTATTTCAATAACGTTTGAAAATTTCATGGGTGTCATTGTGGTGTAGTTGTTTATTTATTAAACTGCTTAGGTACGCGATGTGTGGCAAACGTTTGAATTGGAATTGATCAACTATCAGAACAAATGTCGAGTTATTGGGATGATCTCTTTACAAAAGTAAAAGAACATTTAAACAGCGTCACCGCTATGAAGTTATCGCCTTATTATAAGGTTTGTTTTGGTATTCAATCGTCATAACTACACATCTTGTTTTCTTACCATTGGTTTATCGTACATTTGAAAGTTTAAACATTTTATTCATTGAATGTGTCATGTTTATAATGCATAAATGATAATTTTTTTCCATTTTTAAAAGGTATTTGAAGAAGACGCTTTGCAATGGGAGGAGAAACTGAATCGTATTCATGATACGTTCGATGTATGGATTGATGTTCAACGTCGTTGGGTCTATCTTGATGGTATTTTTAGTGGAAGTGCTGATATCAAGACATTGTTACCTGTAAAGACACAGAGATTTTCAAGGTACGAAGAAAATAATTTAAGAGAGATTTATGGTTATTATTTATATTTTCATTGTTTTGAGTTACGTTACTGAAGGAAAATCTATGTTTGTTAATGTCGTTGACAAATTAGTAACTTGAGGATAACAATTTTTAAGGATTTGGGAAAAAATTCTTATTTTCACCGTTCGTGTAAGATAGAAAGAACACCTCATTGTTTTATTAGTTTAAAAAAATTGAAATATAACGGATTCTAAGGATTTGGTCATGTAAATATGAAAACATTTTAATGTCTTCGTGTATCTCCAGAAACTCAAGCATCTGACAACAATCATAAGTTAATAGACATGTGCGTTGAAGCATCGTGCAAAACCATCGTCATCTCCTGACATTGTCCAACAGTCAATTTTATGATTATGAGAAATATTTTTTCTGTCCTTTAGAACACGCTGTCCCATTTGTCGTGAAAGTTTTGCTCATAAACTTGAAAAGAAAACTCCATCGAAGAGACGTCACGGTGGAAGACATAAATGACAAGCAGCCATTAGATAGATTTACATTTTGTCCTTCGATCTGTATTTCTATATTGGCTGCTTTTAATTTGATTATAGAAAACGATGATTTGTGTTTTTATGATTTTGTTAAATTCCTCTGGAGATGTGTACATTATTTTGAACAAATTGATATATTTTGTTCCACGTTTAAGATTGTGTGATATTTTTCTTTTAGAATCACATCAGGTACGCGTGCCAAAATTTATATAAAGTTCAATTTTATCTTAATCTATTATTTAACTTGTAAAAGCTCCAGTTTTTCAAATTAGTGAAATAGTTAGTCAATGCACACCTTTTTAATTTGTGCGTAAAAGATAATTTATGTTTCTTATTTCATTTCTTCATATTATATAATAAATGATATAGTTAAGTTAATTGTAAATTTAACATGAATAGATATAGTCATGTATGCATCTTTGGTTTATGGCTATTTATAAATAAGCACAAAAAAAGGCAGCAAAAAAAGGCAGCAATAGCTGTCTATTCATGAATAAAAATTCTAAAGGCAGCAATAGCTGTCTATTCATGAATAAAAATTCTAAAGGCAGCAATAGCTGTCTATTCATGAATAAAAATTCTAAAGGTAGCAATAGCTGTCTATTCATGAATAAAAATTCTAAAGGCAGCAATAGCTGTCTATTCATAAATAAAAATTCTAATGGCAGCAATAGCTGTTTATTCATGAATAAAAATTCTAAAGGCAGCAATAGCTGTCTATTCATGAATAAAAATTCTAAAGGTAGCAATAGCTGTCTATTCATGAACAAAAAAAGTAAAAATTACAAAAGAAATTCCCAGTGAACGACGTGTCATACGCTTGTACGAAATCTTTTTAAAGCAAATTGCTGGAGATGTAATGTTTATCTCAAAAATAGTTTTTGTTCAAAATCGCAATGAACTTGTAACTTTGTTGATTATACTACAGCAGACAGAAAAACATGACGATCATTTCATACGCTTCAGACGAAACTGAAACACCACTACCGTTGAAGCTGTTCTATCGTGTAAAAAGAGGTTTGTCAGAAACCATCAAAAATGAAATCAAGATTATGGCAGCCACCATACAATTGTCTTCTATGTGTGAAAACACATTTATTTCAAGGTAACAGAGGCCGCGCAAGCTCGATAATTGAGGGGGGAGGCAAATGTTCGTATATGCATGTACTACCTTTCTAGCTTCTATTGAAATCAATTGTGGGTATGGATTTAACATAAGATTAAAACATACTAATATATAAATATTTTCTCCTTCAATTATCAATCTTGCGCCCCGTATAAATTGTCACACAATATGAGGTTTTATAGTTTATTACAGTGTTTGTTTTAGCGCCGCATACGGGCGGTGCACGTATAGGAATTAATAAGTGCTGCGGCGTTAAAACGAGAATTTACAGAAAATAAGCTGTGCATAGATGATGTCATAAAAACTATTAAAACCTTCTAATGTATCATGTTTCTACATATTTGATTCCTAATAAATGATGGAGAATATGTAAAGGTTGCAATTATATTTCATAATGTGATATGTAGTAACTGTTTCTCTCCCGTATGTATCCTTACGTGACTTTTTAAGTTACCAAGCATAGTAAATCTATTACCACAATGTTTACATTGATAAGGTTTCTCTCCTGTATGTATCCTTACGTGACGTTTTAAGTTACCAAGCATAGTAAATCTTTTACCACAATGTTTACATTGATAAGGTTTCTCTCCTGTATGTATCCTAATGTGTCCATTCAAGGCACTATTCTGAGTAAATGTTTTACCACAATGTTCACATTGATAAGGTTTCTCTCCTGTATGTATCCTAAGGTGTCTATCCAAGCCATCTTTCTGTGAAAATCTTTTACCACAATGTTTACATTGATAAGGTTTCTCTCCTGTATGTATCCTAATGTGTCCATTCAAGGCACTATTCTGAGTAAATGTTTTACCACAATGTTCACATTGATATGGTTTCTCTCCCGTATGTGTTCTAACATGGCGTTTTAATGAGCCAAGGTCTCTAAATGTTTTACCACAATGTTCACATTGATAAGGTTTCTCTCCTGTATGTATCTTAAGGTGTTTATTCAAATCACAATTCTGTGAAAATGTTTTACCACAATGTTCACATTGATAAGGTTTCTCTCCTGTATGTATCATACCATGACGTTTTAAGTTACCAAGCTGTGTAAATCTTTTACCACAATTTTCACATTGGTAAGGTTTCTCTCCTGTATGTATCATACCATGACGTTTTAAGTTACCAAGCAGTGTAAATCTTTTACCACAATTTTCACATTGGTAAGGTTTGTCTCCAGTATGTATCCTAACATGTTCATTCAATTTAGAAAGCTTTCTAAATGTTTTACCACAATGTTTACATTGATAAGGTTTCTCTCCTGTATGTATCCTAAGGTGTCTATTCAAGCCATCTTTCTGTGAAAATCTTTTACCACAATGTTTACGTTGATAAGGTTTCTCTCCTGTATGTATCCTAATGTGTCCATTTAAGGCACTATTCTGAGTAAATGTTTTACCATAATGTTCACATTGATATGGTTTCTCTCCCGTATGTGTTCTAACATGGCGTTTTAATGAGCCAAGGTCTCTAAATGTTTTACCACAATGTTCACATTGATAAGGTTTTTCTCCAGTATGTATCATACCATGACGTTTTAAGTTACCAAGCAGTGTAAATCTTTTACCACAATTTTCACATTGGTAAGGTTTGTCTCCAGTATGTATCCTAACATGTTCATTCAATTTAGAAAGCTTTCTAAATGTTTTACCACAATGTTTACATTGATAAGGTTTCTCTCCTGTATGTATCCTAAGGTGTCTATTCAAGCCATCTTTCTGTGAAAATCTTTTACCACAATGTTTACGTTGATAAGGTTTCTCTCCTGTATGTATCCTAATGTGTCCATTTAAGGCACTATTCTGAGTAAATGTTTCACCATAATGTTCACATTGATATGGTTTCTCTCCCGTATGTGTTCTAACATGGCGTTTTAATGAGCCAAGGTCTCTAAATGTTTTACCACAATGTTCACATTGATAAGGTTTTTCTCCAGTATGTATCATACCATGACGTTTTAAGTTACCAAGCAGTGTAAATCTTTTACCACAATTTTCACATTGGTAAGGTTTGTCTCCAGTATGTATCCTAACATGTTCATTCAATTTAGAAAGGTGTCTAAATGTTTTACCACAATGTTTGCATTGATAAGGTTTCTCTCTAGTTTGAACCCTCACATGCCGTTTTAATCGTGGCTTTTTTCCGCATTCATTTTTCATGTGAACATTTAGATAGTCTTCACTACTGTACTTTCGACCACAACGTGGACATTCCCAGGGATTCGTACAAACAAGCATTGGACATCGTTTTAAATGTTTCTCTAAATAATCAGGATTAGTATACATCATTCCACAGTGTCTACAGCTGTGACCTCCAACTAAAAAGAAAATTTAGAATTACATCACAGTTTAAAGAACTGAATGATCATACATAACTAAGGCATTTCGCATACGTAAACTAACTAACCTTCAAACTCATGCTTGTCATTATCTTCCTCATCAAGCAACGATATTCCTAACTGTTCAGCATACTCATCTCCATACCAAACAAGCAATTCTTTGTCGGCTTCAATCTCTTTATAAACTCGGTAGTAAATTTCTCCATTATATTGATATGCAATAATATTTTGTTCTTCTTCAAATCGTGCACAATTCACAAATCGCATCCAATTACCTTGAGCAAGATCCTTACCATCAATGCAATATACAATCTTTCCTCCTTGTACAATCTGTAAACACGGACAGATAAATAATTATGACAAAGCATTTATGTTTAATATCTGCATGGTGAAAGTAGAACGGGCAGAAAATATTTTCATAAAAAGAAATTATTCATTTATTTAAATATGTTCACCTCCCACATATACGAAGGATCTCTTCCATCCTCTGCGTCTTTAAGCGAAAGTACCTCTCCTCTGTATGGTCCAAAACGAGTGTCCATTTCAACTTTTTTCTTTGTAAAAACACCCCTGCCTGCGTTGGGGATTGTAGCAGTATTTATATAAAGATCTTGTGGAAGTGTCTTCATAGCATTTGATGTTCCCTTCCATTGATGTACTTCAAAGAAATGAAATTTGTTTGAAAAAGTTCTCCATCGTTAAAACAACTGCATTCTTCACAATTTTCAAGCAAATATCAAATCACAGTAATGAACTGATATTTAAATATTCATGACTGTACACTAACAAAAGTAAAGTACTTACAAATGTTAAGATCATCATCAGGTACATCTTCGCCTGTATAAATCTTTTTGGATGACTTTCTTAATGATCGTCTTAAAGAAGTCTTTTTCAGAGCTTTACAGTTATATTTGATGGATTTTCTTTTAATGATGGATTTAGTTTTTTTGTCATTTACATCTTTGACCTTGGGTTTTGACGTTGACGAATTATCGATTGTTTTAGAAGAAACCTGTAAAAACGTTTGATTGAAATTCATCCAAAAAATGTAAAAATGTTTACTTAGCGCTCATCCTTTCCTTTCATCCATTTTCTAAAACATACCTGTTTATTTGCAAATTTCTTCATGACTTCAGTTTTTAATGTTGTTTTAAAAACTATAAGAAAGCAATTTCATTTTTTAAAAAACTATACTTCTTATAGTCAAAAGTGAAAATTACAAAAGAAATTCCCAGTGAACGACGTGTCATACGCTTGCACGAAATCTTTTTAAAGCAAATTGCTGGAGATGTAATGTTTATCTCAAAAATAGTTTTTGTTCAAAATCGCAATGAACTTGTAACTTTGTTGATTTAAAGATAGAAAATATACAGTATAGATAGAAAATACAAAGTTACCAACCCGCCGAAATTTTGCATACAATTATTAACTGCTTTTGAAACAAACAAAAGTTCTTAATCAATACTTCATGTTGTTAGAGGAAAACTCGCGATATAAATCTTGTCATACGAAACTCGTAGGACGAATACTTGAAACATGTGAAGTACTTTGGAAAGGGCTTCTTTCAAGGTTCCTGAGTCTGTTAATCAGTATCCAAGTAGGTGGGGTTATATTTATGAATTAGACGAAGGTCAGTGAGTATATATCCTGCACAGCATGCGTTTATCTTTCCCAATCTGCGCACTTTGAAACTGTTGCCTCGTCACCTCTAAAATCCTTACTCTTCTTAATTAATTTACTTTCGCGAAAGCTTTGGATTTATAAGCACTCTATATTTTAATTTCAAATTATTTCTTACCAACATTGCACGTTTTCATAGTTTATTACATTAGAGTCCCGAGTGTATCAAACATTCCTCGGATGTAAAATATAAAATTAAACTTATATATTATAAAAAGTATAATATTTTTCTAATAATCTAAAGAACTACTTGCAGTTAAAGAAAAGAAAAGCAGTTACTTGCATGGTTTTTGAATTTATGAATTGGTTCTAATAATCTCCTCTTATAATGTGGTAAAAGTTTACTGAGATTTGATTATTCTTCAATAGGGAAATCTATAGTTACGGTGGCTCACAAGGGCCACCACACAAAATAAAAATATTACTACACACACAAAATAAAAATACACACACAAAATACATTATACACACACAAAATAAAAATACACACAAAATTACGTATGCACACACACAAAATAAAATACACACACAAATAAAATACACACACAAAATATGATTGCGGGCGCTTGCAGTGTCGGATTGTCGGACTATCATATTATCAGTTTGTAATTGTTGTAAGTGTCATGTTATGTTGTGTAGTGTTAAATATACGCATGATAAATTGTAAAATGTTTGTCATATATTACTAGACAAATAGGAAAATACGTATATAGTTATTAAACTGTAGAAATCAGTAGAAATCCTGTACGTAATGCCACATTGGGTAGAAAAAGTGTACAAGTATTTTGAATTTGCATACAGGACCACTGAAACCACAGTTTAATAACTATATCTAATATATGATAAACGATACAATTTATCATACATATCACTACAACATAACATATTTATTGTAATAGCATCAATCTATTATGTGTTCCCCAACCCGCACAATGTATTTGTGTATTCCTCGGCCTATTTTATTATTATTATATTTCCCAATTTATTGTATTTTATTATTGTCAGCATTATTGTGTGTATCCCCTATTTTGTGTGTGTATTTTATTTTTTATTTTGTGTGGTGGCCCTTGGCGAGGCCACCGTATATAGTGACATAAGCAAGCAACTCTTGATGTTTTATAGTTGGACGTTTCTTCAAAACCAAGCAATTTCAAGTGGAATTTAATTTATATTGGCATTGCATCATTCGTATTTTGAAAAACATTGTCCGTTTTATACTTATCACATAGAAAGTTTTCTTCTCAAAGATATGATACTAAAAGAAATGTATATGGTGATAGACTTTGACGCTGTTTAAAAATAGCTCTTTTAAACGATCTGAGATCGACGTAGTGCATAGCATATAATATCAGGAAATATTTATGTTCAGAAAAAATTTAATTGTAAATGTACAGCAACTTTATGTCATGCCTTGATCATTATAACAGGAATTGTTATATGTGTATGCTTTTTCTTTTATTCTAGAAACAGATAAAATGCTTGCAGTAATGCTTTGTATGAAGTTAAAAGTCCTGGTTGTGAAAATACTTGTATGGACTAAAATACCTTGTAACCAGTGGCGTGCGGTCATGCAAGCGTAGGCAAGCGCCGCTTGCCTAAGCATTTTACGGAACAAAAATTTTTTGGATCAATCTCTCAGCAAAATCAGTTTAAATTTTTCTGTTCTAAACAATGTCAATGTAAACTTTTGTCTAAATTGTCTTTACAGTTGAAATGCTTGCTATTTATACGCGATTTACTGTCGTGGTTTTCGGTTTCACTTTGCTACACTTGTAAGATTAGTCAAGTGGATTAAATACACCTTAAAAATTTCTTATTTATTAACCAAGCAAGCGCTTGCCTTCGAGCTCAATTTGAACATTTGCGCATGCGTTAATCTGGATTTGGAGGCTTCTTATTCGAGGAATATCGAGAAAAGGCAAGCGGCGCTTCTAAGGGCGCCGCTTGATAGCGATTGGTCAACAGTCTTGTACGCTCGCAATTTTAAACACATATCAGCGCACGAATAATATTTGTATATTCAACACATTGGACACCCGAATTATTCACGCCGTTAATGTCATCGTTTATTAAAAGATGGCTGAGAGCGAAAGGTAATGTTCTGATTTCTAATTCAAAGTAGTAGGTGCTTTACTGGTTATTTTATTATTTTCTGCGCACAATGTGTGTAAACAAGCAGGGGCCGCAGTCTGCAGAGATATCGAAATGCACGCAAACGTGTGTTGTGGTAAAGTATGACTAGCATTATGACCAAAACACTATGCTCTTGTCAGTCTTGTGTCGTTGAATTCGTAAATTAATGACTAAAAATAAAAGTTACAAGATACTAAATAATAAACACGACTCTCCGATATTCTGAAACGTACGAGTTCAGTGCCAGACACATTTTAAAGAACGGGAGAACACGTTGCCATGACGTCATTATACCAAAATATAACGCCATGGCCTCAGTTTGTAACACACCGTGCCAATTTTGTGCGCGAAACTGGCTGTTCTTAATTGTTATAATCACGACTGCTACAATACATTTCGCGCCTATTGTCTTGCAATTTATGTATGTAGAAGATATCTGTAGCATGTAATACAAGATTATGATATTGACAAGAGCTTCCTTTTGCGTAGTAGTTTTGATATTTGTCTCCGGTGGATTTTAGCGTTATATATAAGTCTTTCGTATGAGCTCTGAGTTCAATGTACTAGAACGCTATTAAATTTTGTGATTACTTTATTCACTAGCAAGAAGTTATTTACAACAGTCGTGAGTGTTCTATGTGTTAGAATTTATTTACAGGCTTTTTATATATTTGGTTAAAGTGGTAAAACTGAACGTTAAAAAATCATCGATTTTAGCATTCAATAGTTTAAACACATATCAATTATTGCTTTCGTAAAATTTAAGCAAAAATAATAGTATAACGAGGGAGTTATGAACATTTGAAAGGTCTAATTTTCATGTCCGCCATTAAAATCGGCCATTTTGAATATTTGCAATCAGCAAAGGTCTGTGACGTCATAGTCTTAACACGGCAAGAAGCGCACATTGGAAAGTATACAAAGTAATACATAAATAGAGCAAAAAAATGTCAAATTCATCGAGTCTAGCTCGCTTTCTGAGTCTTCGATCGAGACAAACGCATCGATTTCTTCATCGGAATTCATGACGGCAAATTCGGACGAATCTAATTCGGAAATTTTGCCATTTGCCGATAATATTGAACCGCTTGCTTCGCCCGATGAAATTGCTGAGTACGAAGCTGCAGTCGCAGAAGAACAGCAGGTTGAGAACATGCTGCAAGATCGTTTTGATGCCCGTGTTGATGTTACTTCATGGTAAGATGTCATTCTTAGTGTGTTACTTTGATCTGAATCGTCTGCCGTTAGCTATGATAACTTTATGGAAACATACAATTTGGCCAATATTAAAGGTGTGAATGTGGCCATTGTTCGTTGGATCTTGTTGTCAACCCTCAAGAGTGCCGATGCTGCATGGAATTAGAGCAATGCCGTGGCAAAATGAATCAGTTCGAAGTCGATGAAAGGAAATGCATTTTGGATCAGCCTGGCTTTAACGAAGTTTGCCTGAACGAATTTGTTCTTCAAGCAGCTTCGTTAGGTTTAAAGACCAAAGGTCATCGCAGTTATGCGACCGTTTTTCAAGATGGTCAAAAGACCAGAGAGGAGTAAGCCTTTTTCTTTGTGAAAATTCTAAAAATATTATTTTGTGCGCCTGCGTCTATGTTTACTTTTTGAAATTTATAGGTTCTTTCGAGCAGTATCGTACAGACAACTTGTGCGTCTTGTATGGGACTTTACAGGCAGCTCCAGACATTTGCCACTGCCTTGTTGTTGTTACAACAAAATACGGACGACATTTCCGAACAATAAGTGTCTTCCTTACAAAGGATTCGAAGAGGATGAGGACACATAGCAATGTAAAAAGGTGATGGAAAAAGCTATTATAGGTGGTATATTTACAAGATTTACAAATATACATTTATATTATTGACAACTGCCCTTCTTGTGACCTTTCATAGGCTTTGCACATTTCTTGCACAATGGTGCAAGAGCATCGGGCGTGATCTGTTGGTCCTGTAAGAATATTGAGGAATAGTTGTTTTACGAAGTGCACGTATGTGTGAAGAGCAATTGTTGGCTTTACGTATGCATCATTCTCAGATTGGTCTGGAATTTCAGTTGTGCCTTTTTCTTCTTGAAAATAGCACGAATCTTCTTTCTTCATGCATGATACAGACACTTCATTTTGTATTTCCTTTAAAACCTTAGTATAAATGTATATTATATATTGAAAGTTTGCCTGGATGTATTATTGGTTCTCTCAAATTGTGAAAATTTATCATCTGCAATATGTGTAAGTATATAATAGTTGTAACTTGTGCTAACCTGACGCCGCTCTCTTGACGTTGTTGGTGTTGGCGATTTCTTCCAAATAGTAGGTACGGCACCAGGTTTGAGCCGTCTAGTCATACCACCCAAATGGAAAAACGCTCAAAACAATCATCCGAGAAGTGATTCGAACAAATCATAAATCGAATTTCGCGCGAACTCGGATTAAAGTTTGCGCGCTTCGTCTCAACAAATTTAACCCAAATTCTTCTTAAAGACTCGTCGTTTGGGCTTTTATGTAATGAAATGCCTGTACTTCTATCAGACGTATTACTGCAATCTTGCACGACACAGCGTGTTGAAGGCATGTTAAAAAATTGAGTTATACAACCTTTTATATCTCTATTTGTATATAGTGTTATATAGTAAACAGCCGCGAGTTAAGACTATGACGTCACAAGCACCTTCCTTCTCGAAAATTCAAATATGGCGCATTTTAATGGCGGCTCTTAAAGTACAAGTTTTATCGCTACGTAACTCGAGCAGCATTAAATACATTGCGCTAAAATTTCGCCAGAAGAGATTTTTTTACATACACTATTAATCTATGAAAAAAAAACGGGAGGCAAAATTTTCGTTGTAGTAGTTTTTTGAGTAGTTTTACGTAATTATAAAGTTAAGTGCTCACCCCCCCAGCGCTTGCCTATTAAATTCGGTCACCGCACGCCACTGCTTGTAACGTGTTACGTGAAATGAGTAAAAATGCGGTTGACAAATATTTTTGCAATTGTTGACCTTTCACCTTTTTGACTAGAATTACATGTAATGCAGTGAATGTCACCTAAATGACGTATGCTCAAATTTCATAACAAGAACTTCCCGTAAAAATGTGCACAAAATACAACTCAAACTTTTGACTATTTCTCTTAGCGGCTAGCACTCGGTATACATCAGTATTCTATAGTTGTAATACAACAAAAGCTTTCGGTAAAAATTCGTCACTTTATCTGCTGTTTGTATAAGATTTGTACGTTTTTGCCGTATATGCAAGCTGTGCATATAAAAATTTATGTGGGCAGGAAATTTAGACAAAAGAATGGTTGCAAATTTAAATTATAAGTAACTATGCAAACTGGGCTTTAAAAATAGTATTATAACACTAAACGCACAGAAAAAAAACAAAAGATTAACAAATGTTTTAGTGACAACAACTCAAAAACTACAATTTCAAGGTTGTTGTTGTAAATTGTCATGTTATGTTATGTTACTTATGTAGTGTGTGACTGTGTCATATTTTTGATATAACGGATATTATGTTGATGTAAAATAGTATAGTCATGGTGAGAGAACACTTCCTCACCGCAATGCGTCATTGGCAAAGTTGTGCGTCATATGTAGACGCAGTTCTAGGATTGACGGTTGTCCGTAAACTTAACGAGATCAAATTTAATCATTCCGTATCGCAAAGAACCAACGCTTGGAACGTAAAATCGTGCACAACACTGTAAATATCTTATTGAAGTGTTAAAATTATATATTCAAAATACAGTCCCATCGTTAGTGTGAAGTTTTAGAACAGTGAACCAGCACTTCGCGCAGATTGTGCGAAATTTGTAGAACTTACTGAAAATAATTCAAGGCCAACTGGCCAACTGAACAACTATATCGTGTCAAAGATAGTTTGATAAAAGACTATTCAGCTCAAACTAAGCAAAAACGCGGCGAAATTGATAAAACATGTTTTAATTAAAATACAAAGAAAAAGAGACCTTACTTTCTACTTTCGGTAACTCCTCCAAGATCTTGTTTCCAAATAATGGCAACAAAGAAGTAGCTACTGATAAATTATGAAAGTCAATATTTACTTTACACTTGATACATTCATTTGTGAGACGGGAAGTTGAAGTTTCAGACGTTTTCGTGACTTTTATAGAATATTTCTTCTTTAATAGCAATCAACGTTTTTCGCTTTGACAAACAAACATACAGGAGCTGTCAACAGCGTAAGATAAAACTTAATAATTATATCATTTTTTAAGTTGGCAAAAATAAGATCTATTTTCTGGTTTATTTTAATTTATTTTCATTCTATAGCAGAGAAAACGGCTGTTAACAACAGATAACGTTGTTTTTGTTGCTCAAAAATTGTACAAAATTATCAAAGATATCTGACAATCCCAAACACCTTGGAAATTTTCTTACCCCAACAGGCGGCACGAGTTTGCAATAGTAACATGATAGGTCTAATGTGCTCTTTACAAAATGTTTTCATTCTATAGCAGAGAAAACGGCTGTTAACAACAGATAACGTTGTTTTTGTTGCTCAAAAATTTTGTAGAATATAATTGTCACGTCAATTTGAGACGTCAAGACTTTAAACCTCAAGTTATGAAACATTAGAAATAGCTTTGTCGAAAAAAATTTGGCAATACTTCTTCTTAGAAACGCCCCAATTTCGTTATCTCAAGTTGTGTATAAGCTAGAATAGTTTTGCTAAATATCAGTTAATTCGTATAGATTCCATCACAAAGAACATGTAGAGCGATAGATCTTTAATTTTATATGCAAACTTAGGGAAACAAAAGTAATTTTTGACTAAAAAACTTAAATTTGATGTCTGTTATATATCTGCTAGTTAAGCTCAGATATGATATCTATAATGTGGGTGACTAGCGGGCATTAGGCGACTAGCCAAATTGTTATCTTAGGCCCAGTTCAAACGTCGCATTTTACATGCGCCGAATCAAATGCAAGAATTATGTGCATGTAAAATGCGACGTTTGAATCAATTAATTTCGACAGATTTTAATTTAATTCAACTTTAGTCGCATATTCGATTGAGTCAGTCGAATATGCGACGAAAAATTCGATGTTGATTCAAACGTCGCATTTTACATGAGCCGAATTTAATGCATAATTTATTTTAAGATATTTCTAAGCAAAAACAATTATTTCCATGCAAAATGCCATGCGCAAAGTTGTAAAAACATGGCGGCGACGAGTGATGCTAATGCATAGATATAGTAGGACCATTGAGTTCTATAATAACTGGAGCGGCTATCTCAAGCGCGGCCTTAGATATCTGATGATGCCAAAAAAATGGCGGATTTCGTCCGTTGCCGCTGAGATTTACCGAAATTGACCGCTTTTCCGAAAATTTCACAATTTCCCACTCCCTCCTAAGGAAAGAGTGAGGAAAATGTATATGTGTATTTGGGATTCGGCAAGCAATTTATTGTTGAAAATCAAGGTAAAAACCTTAAATTCATATATATCTGGTCAGACTACGAAAGAAATAATGGAATTAAAGAACGAAATAAGAGATGATGAGCAAAATCTTTCTACAGTGACCAAAGAAATTAAAGAAATGAAAGCTACCATGTTTCAAGTCAATAGAGACATTGAATATAAAACAGTTTCCTTTGACATGGAAGATATTTCCCACATATTTTCCTTATCAATATTGCCGTCATCAAACTATTGTTTATAAACAACAAATCCTTTTCATTTGGAGGAGACATTGCTGGTAAAGGGAAATCAGATTTTATCAGTGAAATAAAGATTACAGGTACAACATCTTATGTTTTAAAAGAGTTGTGTCATATGCCTGAACCACGGGATGACCATGGAGCTGTTGTTGTTGATGATAAAGCTCTTATTTTTGGAGTACAGTTAAGAAAAGACAATTTTTTTCAAATATTTAGGAGTTTGATCTAAGGACTCTTATATTTAAGGAAATGCCTCCATTACCTCATCAATTGGCTGACATGGCAAAAGTTCGATGGAGAGATCAAGTTGTTCTTCTTGGAGGTCATGATGATGGATGAAAAATGTTAAACAGTGGTATCATGTATGCACTAAGACAGGTAAAATTACAGTCTTACCATCCATGTTGGAAAAGAGAAAGTGGTTTCTAAATAAAAGCTTTGAATTTTTCAGACAAGTTTTTACCGAAGAGGAAACACAACCAGATCCAAACATGTGGAAGATTTGCAAAATGCACCAACGCCTAAGAATATTCATGATGTAAGAAGTTTGTTGGGCATGGCGAATTATAGTAGTCAATACATCGCAAATTTTGCTACAATAACAACACCGTTGCACGAGTTAACAAAGAAGAATACAAAATTTCAATGGCTAGATGTGCACCAAAAGGCATTTCATATTCTCACATCAGCATTATCAGCAAACGAATGTATGGCATACTTCGATACTCAAAAAGACACTTACATTACCGTGGATGGGCATATTTCGATAATCAAAAAGACATTTACATCACCGTGGATGGGCATACTTCGATACTCAAAAAGACATTTACATCACCGTGGATGGGCATACTTCGATACTCAAAAAGACATTTACATCACCGTGGATGGGCATACTTCGATACTCAAAAGACATTTACATCACCGTGGATGGGCATACTTCGATACTCAAAAAGACATTTACATCACCGTGGATGGGCATACTTCGATACTCAAAAAGACATTTACATCACCGTGGATGGGCATACTTCGATACTCAAAAAGACATTTACATCACCGTGGATGGGCATACTTCGATACTCAAAAAGACATTTACATCACCGTGGATGGCATACTTCGATACTCAAAAAGACATTTACATCACCGTGGATGGGCATACTTCGATACTCAAAAAGACATTTACATCACCGTGGATGGCATACTTCGATAATCAAAAAGACATTTACATCACCGTGGATGGGCATACTTCGATACTCAAAAAGACATTTACATTACCGTGGATGGGCATACTTCGATACTCAGAAAGACACTTACATCACCGTGGATGGCATACTTCGATACTCAAAAAGACGCTCGCATCACCGTGTATGCAAGTCCTGTAGGTTTATCTGCTATTCTTTCCCAAGCAACAGCTGGCAAGAATGATAAAAAAGTTGTAGCTTATGCAAGTCGCGCTCTGACTGACGCTGAAAAACGACATGCTCAAACAGATCGTGAAGTTCTCGCAATCGTCTGGGGAGTAGAACATTTTCATTAATTTGTATATGATAAAGAGTTTACTTTAATAACAGACCATAAGCCTCTCGAGGTTATCTATGGCAATCGGAATGCAAAATCATCTACTAACCCTGCTGATTATCTATCCAGACATCAGGTCCAAATGAACCACAAACAACAGCAAATCACCAAAGAATATGTAAACTTCTTTGCATTTAACAGCGTTCCAAAAGCGATGACAATTGAAGAAATCGTAAAAGCGTCTGATGAAGATCAAGTCTTAAAAGGAGTTTGAGCTTCAGTTAAATAGAACCAGTGGGACTCTGATATAGTTAAACAATTCAAGCAAATCAAAGACGAGCTGTCCGTTACAATAAAAGTAGTAATACTCAGAGGTACCAGAATTGTCATCCCAAAAAGTCTTTAGCAGAAATCTATTGATATCGCACATGATTGTCATTTGGGCCTAACCAAAACTAAAGCACTCCTGAGAGAAAAAGTATGGTTCCCTAGTATGGATCAATTGGTAAAAGAAAAACTTGGAGTAAAGCATTCCGTGTCAAGCAGTGGGAAAATCACAACCACCCGAACCAATGAATGTGAAAAATATGCCCAAAGGCCCGTGGGAAACTATTCATGCTTATTTTTTGTTCCCTTACCTTCCGGGGAGTATCTGCTGGTCGTGAATGACAGATACTGTAGGTACCCCGAAATAGAATTAGTGCCATCAACAAAAGCTGCTGCGGTTATTCCGAAACTAGATAAAAATTCGCAATACACGGAATCCATCAACATATTTTATAATTCTTCAGGATTTAGATATGATAATACTGATGCCTAATGAGGCCCACAAATCTTGTACCAATCACAATTTTCTTTGTTCCGGGCTTCCAACGCAATGTCTAGATTTAGGTATACGTATTTGTTACTGCTCTCCTGAAGAACCTTATGTGCTAAAAAATAATTTGTTTTGTTTTTTTTTGTCGTAAAAAAAGACCAGCACTCCTGAATCACCATTGCAAAGAAAAATATCATCGCTTTTAACTTTTATTGCATTCTCAAAATAAATCTTTCCGCCATGACACATAAATGATCTGGATTTTCAATTGATCCTGTTTTATTCTGCAAGTGTGTAGTGACTTCAGCTTCTCATTTTTTCACTTGTCTCTATACTTGCTTCCGTTTTCGTTTTTGAAGACATGCAATGTTTATATCAACAAGACTGCAATCAAGATTGTCCTCATTAATAACTCTGCCGTTCACTCTGGTGCTCATTATTTCTTTGTCAAGAGCGTTTGACTGTAGCTACACTTCATCAAGCGCGTGTTATAAATAATATGATTTCTAAGTGAAAGATCAACTGCGACTACGCTATTCGTGATTGCAAAGAATTTGTAAATGTCGAAGATCTTGAACGACATGTTGAAAATTAAGATTTTGCTCCAGTGTTGTGTTCTAATGAACGTTATGGCAAGGAGATAAACAAACGAGACAAGATTAAACATGAAACTGAGTTATGTGAATACAGAAAGATTGCTTTTTGCGACTTTAAAGAGATTGGAGAAATGTTTCAACGAAGTTTAGAACAAGTGAAAATGCTGATGCTTAAAATAAATGAAAAAATGGATCAAGATAGAACTGAAATAAATATAAAAATTAATGATGCATCTGGTCGGGCTACGAAAGAAATAATGGCATTAAAGAACGAAATAAAAGATGTTCATCAAAACCTTTCTACAATGACAAAAAAGTTAAAGAAATGAAAGCCATCATCTTTCAAGTCAATGGAGGCATTGAATTTAAAACAGTTTCCGTTGACATGGAAGATATTTACCACAGCACTTCCTTATCAATGTTGGCGTCATGAAACTTTTTTTTGTAAACAACAAATCCTTTTCATTGGAGGATATATTAGTGGTAAAAGAAAATCAGATTTGATCAGTGAAATAAAGATTACCGGTTCAGCATGTTATGCTTTGAAAGAGTTGTGTCATATGCCTGAATCACATTTGGGCCATGGAGCTGTTGTTGTAGATGATAAAGCTCTTATTTTTGTAGGACAGGGAAGAAAAGAAAAATATTTTTCAAATGTTTTGAGTTTGATCTAAGGACTCTTACATTTATGGAAATGCCTCCATTACCTCATCCATTGGCTGACATGGCAAAAGTTCGATGGAGATATCAAGTTGTTCTTCTTGGAGGTTATGATGATGGAAGAAAAATGTTAAGCAGTGTTATCATGTATGACACTAAGACAGGAAAGATTGCAGTCTTACCATCCATGTTAGAAGAGAGATTGAAGGGTTGTGCAGTTTTAACAGGTGATACAATCGTTGTCATGGGAGGTAGGGATAATGAAGGTGCTAATCTTATATCAGTGGAGTGTTTTAAAGTGGGAAGCAGTTCTTCATGGACATATCTTCCTTTAATGAATGAACCATGATTGGAAGATTGCACAAAAGTATGTATAAGCAAGAGAATGCTCTTTAAATAATCAGAACATTATAAGTAAAACTTGTCTGTATTTATTTATACAATAAATATTTAAAGTTAAATACGTAAACCTCCAGTCTTCATACAACCTTTGATTATGATAACAAATTACTGGCGACATAAATGAATTTAATGTTTTACTACGAGTCAAAAGAAAATTTAAAGCTTTTCGTTTTTGTTCAGAATCTTCAAATTACACTGTAAGGGTTTTACAACTTACAATTACTTCCTACCAAAGCCCTAAACACAATTTCAGTCTTCAAAGTATTAATTCATAAATTATTCGACACTTACTCAATAGTTAGCAGCCAAAGAAAAATGAATCAAGGTTTGACGCAGCGTCTCATATAGTTGTACAAGGATATTTTATTGTATAAGGTTTCATTGCAAAGTGTCATTGCTTCTTTGCGCTGTGAATCTATTTTTATTGAGCTTCAGGTTTTATCTTGATTGCAGTATTACGCTACAGTCTTAGTACATCTTTTGTCGTTGAGAACGGAAAAAAAGTTCATTAAAACCAAAGGCGTTTCAGAAACAACAAACTCGTAGTAATGTTTGCAAATTGCAAAACAATGTACTATATATCTGACTGACAGTATCTGTGGTACTATAACGTTTGGCCAGTCATCATCCAGTGTTTTGATGTTTTGTGAGCTGGGGTGGGCTCAAGGAAAATGGCTCATTGGTATTTTCTAAATGTCATTAGTATTCTCAACATACGCAGATGGAATACTAATTTAGATATTGTGTTATTATTGTCCATTTAAAAATAAATATTAATTAAGTTAAATTGACACCCTCGTGGCTTTGGCCATGTTCTAAGACGGTTAGAGCATGATCACTTGTGTTCCATGGAATTTAGGGGCTGTTCACATGAACCTGGCAGCCGGGATTCAACGAAGCGTTAAATCATTTTGGAAAAAGGAAAAGATTATATATTCCTCAACAAAAAACTTAGTCGAGAAATTTCTCTATGCTCTTACTTCGCAATTCACAAAACCTGTTAAATGAAAAAAAATAATTTAGCCTGATTAGAAATTTACAACTAAAATGACTTTTGACGCTTAAGAAGGGTTGTAGATTTAGCGCTTTAAGTTTTTCCTCCTTTCAATGAATCAAAATCATTTCTAGTTACAAGGCTCATGTGCATGAACAGCCTCTTAGAGTTTCTTGCACTAGATAAAAACTCGCTCAAACCTACAAATTCCATAGAACACTAGTGATCATGTGCTCTTACCCTTACGTTTTTGATTCATTTTAAGCCTAAACTTAAGTTCGTTATCCTCACAAGACTATCATTAGCCACATTGATAGATATTGATAGATATGCATGAAATGTTAGAACTCAAATCACAGATCACAAGAAGAAGGCTAATTAACAATCAAACAAAAACTTTTTCCTCCACAAAAACTATAAACCTGGTGAACGTCAAATTTATCAACGAGAGCAATTACATTGTGATTTGTGAATGAAACCATATAAACAGTATATATATTAAATACTATTTTATATAGTCCACTATATACCATACATATAGTGCTTTCGATAGTTATGTACGTGTGATTGCACGTGCATGTGCAAATATATAAACGAGATTGCTGGTCATAAATAAGTTGCCGCAGTTGATATCAATGTATCGTGCATTCTATTGATGAGCTTAGATATTATGATGCGTCTTAGTGGTAACTTATTTGTTTTTTTGCAGTCCACCTTCCAATGTGTTATCTTCGATGCTTGCCCAAGCCATGAGATCAGTATTAAATGCCTTTCCAATGTTGCCATTACAGTCAATAGCAATTACTCCTCCATCTCCACTCAGTCTAGTTTCAAGTAAGTTCACAGCATTCTCCGCTGCTTCCTTCAATAAAGAAATAAAATACGTTTGCCGTGTTTGCACAGGTTTATGCAAATTGTGTAGACCTCAGGAAGAACTTTAACACTGATAAATGAATCACACATCATGGGATGACTCAAAACTGTTTGAAACCCATCAATTGAAATAATTTCCAAAGAAAAACATGAAAATCGATTTACTCTTACTTATCCTACCTGAGCATTTTTTCCTGCTTCCATGTCAAATACAACTTGCCTTGCTAAAGTCAATTTTATCAACTTCTCTCCATGACCAGTTGTTGCAGCTGCTCCTTTATCATTTACATATCCACCACAACCAACAAATGGCACGTCGCCAACACGACCTTTCATTTTTTTCCAAATGCCTCCTAAATTATTTAAGGTATATTTATTAAAATGATTTAAATTATGTAATAAAGAATGACGCTGAAGAAATGCTAATGGTTTTTTTGCTCATTGAAAATGACAAGTTACAAAACCAGTTTTTACCTGATGACAAAGCGCATGCCAAGTGGCCTTTTGAATCAATTGCAACGGCACACACAGAATCTCTTGGCTCGCCATGTCCACGATAGCATCTATCTATAAATTGCTCAAATTCTGAAGTATCCCTGCCATAGCTTACAATCTTCAAATCTTTTGGCTGGCAACAAGGTAAATTGTTACTAAGAGCAAAATTCAAAGCACCATCACCACTTAGAGCACAATGTGGTGTTTTTTCCATTATTTGCCGAGAAACACGAACTGGATTTTTGAAATGTCGACCCGAGATTACTGCACCTATAATAACAGAACAATAGTTAAAGGCTTTTTACTAATAACTTATTTGGAAAAGAGTTCAAAAATTCATTTTCGTGTCTTTTTTTTATTATATACAATTCTCCCTTACAACATACGTTACTTATGACGGCCACCAGATGCAGTAAATTATGGTGTGATAGTACATTTTTGGTTAAAATATCATCATGCGCACCAATGATTTTAACCTTATTCTAAGGTGTATCCATCCATAATCATTGCATCACATTCAACTTCCATCTCTTCATTCACCACAGATCCATATCCTGCTTGGAAAAACTCACTGTCTTCCAAAACACGAACTGCCTTTTCAACAGCTTCAACAGCAGTACCATTATACTTGGATGAAAAAAAACATGCATTGGCATTTATATTAGCCCATAGCGTTCTGTTTGTACGAATTAAAAAATTTGTGAAAATTTTGCTTTAGGTCTTCTACCAAACAATACTTACCTTTAATATATTATATCCTGTAATAGCTGATTCGTTTAATTTGCTACGATATTCATCACAACTTAAAGTTCCTATTAGCATGTTGCTGTAATCTCCTCCTTGAACAATGATAGCAGGGCTGAAATCGCCATCTTACAAAAAAATAATTATTACCCATTATCAAATAATTGTAAATAATTCTGTACATAAATGCTGGTACATAAATTTTTTGAAAATAATTCAATTAAATATATGTAATCCAGTGCTGGAAATTCAAGTGGAGGTTGAGTTGTCGCTTTGTTGAAATATTCTGAAATACTTCATTTGCAAGTTCCAATGAAAGATTATAAAATTTCAAAGAGTTCGGAACATTTCCACGAACCAAAATTAAAGGTAAGGGGTTATAATCCCAGTTACGACATTTCGTCTAGACAAAACATTTTCAATATTAAAACTTATCAAATACGATGTCTTAAAGAATAATTTTTTTTGAAAAATAATGTTCTTATTATATAAACTATTCTCTTTGCTTATAAGCATACTTTAGTGCAAAAAGTAAAACTTCAGCAATGGCTCCCAATCGTGGTTTATTCCATTGAAGGGCATATACATGAAGAGCTGCTTCCCATTTTAAAAACACTCCACTGAATTAAGATTGTCACCTTTCATTATCCTTACCTCCCATGAAAACAATTGGTATCACCCTGTTAAAACAGCACAGCACTTCAATCCTCTTCTAACATGGATGGTAAGACTGTAATTTTGTTTTGCTGTCATACATAGTAACACTGTTCAAATTTTTTCTTCCATCATAACCTCCAAGAAGAACAACTTCTGATCTCTCCATTGAACTGTTGCCATTCCACTCAATGGATCGAGGTAATGGAGGCATTTCTATTAAATGTAAGAGTCCTTGGATCAAATTCCAAATCACTGGATAAAACTTCCTCATGTCATTTCCATCCTCCAAAAATAAGAACTTTATCATCAAGTATCTCAGCTCCATGTACACATAGCGGTTCAAGCATATGACACAACTCTTTTAAAACATAAGACATGGTACCAGTAATCTTTATTTCACTAATTTGATTCAATGTTATACTTTATCGTAATCATATCCTCCAATGTGAAAGATTTGTTGTTTATAAACAACAGTTTGATGACCACCAAATTCATAAGGAAGCTCTGTGGGAAATGTCTTCCATGTCAAAGGTGACTGTTTTATATTCAATGTCTCCATTGACTTGGAAATATTCCTCTCCAAGAACAAACAAATAATCAATTTAAATAAATGATGAAGCATTCCAGTGTTCATTTCGCGATTCTTGAATTCTAAACCCATTTCTCTTCTTTTCCATGAAAGATCTTGCTTATAGGAAACCAAAACCTCCAGCCATCAAAATATCACCTCTTACTGTGTTCATAACCATTTTAGTTGATGATGTCAATGTTTGAACATGTTGTCATTTTATATTTCATCTTTTGCTGCTTACTTGGAAACATTATGGCTTTCATTTCCTTGATTTCTTTGGTCACTGTAGAAAGATTTTGTTGAAAATATTTCATTTCTTTCTTTAATTCTATTATTTCTTTCATAGACTGACCACATACAACATAAAACTTTTGATTAATTTTTCTACTTATTTCAGTCAGTTGCATTTTCTCTTGTTCCTCATGATCAAAACTTCGTTGGAACACTTTTCTAATCTCTTCAAATTGGTGAGAAGGAATCCTTCTGTATTCACATAACTCAGTTTCATGTTTTATCTTGTCTCTGCTTGTTTATTTATCTCCTTTGTCACAACGTTCGTTAGACCACACACTGGAGCAAAGCGATAATTTTCAACTTGTCTTTCAAGATCTTCAACATTGATAATTTTTGATAACCACGATTAGCGAAGTCACAGTTTATTCTCAAACTTTGAAATTAAGTTGTTTACAAACGCGCTGGAAAAAGTTTGGGTACAGTCAATCTTTCTTGACGTTGAGGACATCTTTGTGCATTAACTCTCGTAGATGTTCTTCGATACAATAACGACAAAGATGTGTTCATTATTTTGACACATTCTGACAAATAGAACAGTAAAAATTTTCATCAACAGCATTCTTAAATTTCGCTTCTTCATATCCACTCTCATAATCATCTGGACGATAAGCCATTTCATAAGTTTCTCAAATAATTTAATGTTAAAATTTATCCATGCAAAATAATGCAATGACGTGGATCTACAAAAGGCATAAACAGTTAAAAACAATATTTTATATAACAGGTGCAATCGCAGTCATGCTCTAACAGTGACGGTTATCGATTGAATAATTAGTTACTTTGCTATCTGTGCTTTATACAACTCAGTTTTATCCTGTGGATAGCTATCCACTGTATAGAACACTTTTCCATTGATATTACTTATCCAATGGCTGTTTTATCCATTTGATAAATAATGATACATCTGGCCTTTCGACTGAATTCACTGTCTGTCTACGTCACTGATGGTGTATATAAAAAGAAGAACTTCAGAACTAAGTCTTTAAAATATTTCAAAACCTGCAGTTGTGGCTCCACTGTAGTTTTCATTTTTAAAGTTTTGGTTGAGAATGCCCCTAGACCCTCTAAACGTTTTTAGTTATCTGACTATATGTGAACTCAAAGACAAAGCTAAACCATACATAATGAAATATTTTAAATTGAATCACTTTATCAATTTTTAAAAGGTTGGTCAGAATCCAAGTTTGGAATCATTTTTCGTAGAATGTTTGAAGAAGTCGAGGTTGGAAGCTAAAAACAAAACGTACGACAACTTGTTTATGGAACCCAGAGGTCTCTTAGTCAAATCTCGTTGAGATAGTCGTACTTGTAGTTAAATATGAAGATTACTTGTTTCTAGGAGGTTGATTAGGGTTTTCAATTGTTTGTTCTCAACCACTAAAATCACCTGTTCTCATTTCTGATTAAGGATATTTCATGGGATATTTAGACCATGATTTAGACTTTGTGTCATTTTAGTTGTTTGGAATGCGAGAAACGATAAGCTGCAATGACGAGTTTTGTGGTACAATAAATTGTTATAGTCCAAAAGCAGCACAAACATGTTTCTCAAAAATGAATGGTTTAAAACAATGAAAAATACGAGCAAAAAGAAAAACATATTTCAGTGAACTGATTGTGACCAGGGCGTAACTAGACTTGAAGTAATGGGGGTGTGGAGAAAATTGTCTTGAAAAAAGCGTTGTCCACAAAACCCTGCAAAATCATTATGGCTAGCAAATTATAATCATTTCTATTATTGCATACGTTGTTTATTAGTAAACATTATTGAAGATTAGGTTTCTAACACATACATTATTACAAAACCTATTTTGAAATATAAACCTTAACCGTTTCGGACATAACAGTAAACAATGTATATTTGTTCTCATATCAAGAGTCTTATGAGAATAATCTCAACGTAGTCTTGAGATGCTTTTACTTGAATTTTAATCTGAGTTTACGGTTTTCTGGCTGCCCAAGATTTGGCCACATCCAGATGAATTGTATCTGTTGGGGTTTCAGTTTGAGAAGACAATGAGTTCTTCCAGCCTTTCACCTTTTCATTGTTGAGCGCAAATAGTTCTTGACAATTTTCATTTGCTGAATGATCTTTCAATATCAGCCACACTTACTGGGCGTAAACAGAAGTTTGTAACATTTATAAACGTTTGGGAAAAATTTCTTTATTTTTGAAAGCAGTGTTCTGGCGTCGTGGACTGTCTTACATTCTTTCTCTGTCTCATTTACACAGTTAACAAAAAACTCAAGTTCTGCATACTGGTATACAATCTACGCTAATTGATGGAGGAAAAAGTTCGGTTACCTTTTCAACTTGTTCAAAATTTGTTTAGTCAGTCGAGGCGAAGATAACAGCTAAGGGTTTTATTTTTTGCAAACAACTTTTTATGTTATCTCTATATTCTCTGATGAGGGAATCGAGGACTTCAATCATGCATTTTCGATAGTTAGTTTTTAGTGACATAATTGCCAAAGTCTCAGGGTTGTCATCCAAACGTCTACTTAATCCTTTATTACTTTTCTAGCAAACTCTTCCTCGGGATTTCTAGAGTCTTCGCAAACTCAACACTCGCATCTATTTGGTCATTCAATTCCGATTCATTGTGCCAGCTAGCTGTTGTCGTGCCAATGTTCTTGCGATGTCTGTATCTTTAGCCTTCAGTCGCAAATTGTTTTCTTCTTGTATTCTTACTTCTCTTAACTTTTTTCCAACATTACATCGACGTTTTTCATATTGCATGCAAGAAATAAATCATTAAAAGCAATTTTGTGGGATCGGAAGAGAAATGCTGCTGTATTTCTTTTTATCTTTACCCACGCTTCTCATCTTATCCCATGATCGAATTATTTCCACTGAAGTAATCATTAGTTGTTTTCGATGGCATAACAATTTTTCTACTTCCTGAACACTGCCCTGCTACCTAACGTAATATGCCCTGCAAAACACTTTTAGTAGTTAGGTGTCGGTACACTTCACACACCCCCAACAGTTACGCCCTGATACTGACACATTTTCATATTCCACAACATGACTCAAAATATCCTCACCATCACAATACAGCTTTTACCAACACACCATCGTCATTATTTGTGGAAATTTTACAAAGTAACTCATTTTCCGAAAACATTTCAAGAAGTTTACCAGCAGTATTTTCACACCATACCCCGTCAACTGTCGATAGATCCAAAGAGCAACAAAACAAAACTCGGGCAAATTACAAAATCTTTCATTTATCGGAGCAAGTTCATCAAACAAAAGCCATTCCTTATTACCATGGTCAACATAAAATAACTGACATTCTCCCCATCAACTTCTAATATCTAAACACAGAAAGACGATATCATGAGTTAACAAACGATAAATCAAAGCTTTTGACTGTTTCCTAATGTCTACTGATAAAACCGACGTATTTTATGATCGAGTTTACATGACTAACGTTTACAGATCATACATTCACTTCACCTTTGCTCGGTACCAGGCCTCGTCTTCAGTAAAGCGAGCAAGGCAATAGCTCCAACTTCGATTTCGTTCTTGTCAATCGGATCTGAGGAGGATCTGTTTGCTATATCGTCCATCAAAGTCTCCAAATCACTTAAACTACTACTTATTTG